TGCCCCCGCCCGCGCCTCCCCCCGATTTCCATCTCCAGTCGTCGCCTGCCAACTCTCTCGGGGCGGTCCGCGAGCTCTGTCCTCCCTTCATCTACACTCCCTCTTGGGCGTCAGCTCATCCAGACTGGCTTACGTCGCAGTCGCCTGTTTCGTCGCCGTCTGCACCGTCACTCCATCACCACCACCACCGCCATCACCGACCCCCTTTGAGCGACGTCGTCTTCCCCTCACCGGCCCCACCTTCAATTGCCACGTTCGCACACTTGTTCCGCTCTGCTGACCTGTACCCTCTCGTGGCCCTGGCATCCTCGCACGACGCCTGTCTATCCCCTCCTCCACCACCCACCCCGATCGACGCAGCTCGAGCTCCTACTGGCAGAGAAGCTGTTCTCGCTGCTCTCTCCGACGTTGTCACCGTCTCGCCGACCTCGGCGGCCGATCCTTCCCGCCCAGACCGGTACGAGCCTTCGTTCTCCTACAGCGGCGCACAGCCCATGCCCGTCACGGAGCCTCCTCCCATGGTGCCCGCCAGGAGCCCTTTTGAAAACAACAACCTCCCCGCACCACCGCCTCCCCCTGCCAAGAGCGGCATGGCCGGCAAGTTCGCCAACGCCTTCAGGAGGCAGACGGCCGAGGAGAAGGAGGCGAAGCGCAAGGCAAAGGAGGCGCGCATGCACGAAGAGATCAACAAGAGTGCGGCAAAGTCGAGCAGGATGGACGTCATTGACCGCCTTGACCTCAGCGGAATTAACGGCGCTAGCAGTGAGTAGCCGCGGCATGCTCCGCCTTCGCCTTCTCTGGTCATCAGGGCCTGCGGCATTCGCGGAGCGTCCATGCTGACCCAGTTCCTGCGACTTGGCTGCTCCTCTTGCGCCAACTGCCAGTGTTCCACCACGACTCGCCATATGACGCCTGCACGCCCCACATGAACCGGGGCAAGCGTGCCCCAGTCAAGGCGTTTGATCCCAACATCGACCCGATGACTGGCCTTCCGTACCGCAACGGAGCCAACGGCGGCAGGTCGGACGGTCGTCGCGGACCAAGCCCGCTGGCAAAGAACAAGGACCTCGATGACGACGACGAAAAGGCCGGTGGCTCCAGCAGCCGGCCGAGCCTGAGCACCAACGGCAGCCGCGGCGGTAGGAGGAGCGCCACGGCGCCGATGGTCCCCTCGCTCGGCCGAGATGCGCAGGCTTCGACGGCAGAGCTCTCTCTCGCAGACGACGACTACGCGCCCGATGCCGACGTCGATGCCGAGCGCGAGTGGAGGGCCAACCAGGGCTACCATACGCAGCCGTCCGCGGTGCCCGACTCGCGCCTCGACGTGAGCAACCCCAACGCCGACGTCTGGGGCGTCACGGCAGAGCCCTGGCAGGACTTTGCGCAGCCAAAGCAGCGGGAGAAGGGATCGCGATCGCTGCTGAGCCCTCACGGCGCCGGCGGCGCCTACAGCGGCACCACCAGCGCCGCCAGCAGCGTGTTTGACATGGAGGCCGTCATGACGGGCAAGAAGCCCGCCAGGACAGAGGATGAGCTGGCTGCCGGAAGCGCCAGCCCCTTCCCGGAGCCCAATTGGCAGGAGAAGAACGGCGCTTCCGACGGCCCCAAGCGCAGCAAGAGCCTGATGAAGAGGATCAAGAGCATGAAGGAGAACCCCAACGTGCCGCCCCCCGACGACGGCGTCGAGATGGGCGCCCTCAACGGCAGGCGCAGGAGGGGCCAGGCGCACCGCCACTCGCCCAGCACGCCGCCGATCCGCACCGACGGCTTTGCGGCACAGAGCAGCAGCCGTGCCGCCGCCGATGCTGCCGTGGGGCTCTCGCCCGGGGAATACTCGGGCCGAGGCACGGGCACGCCTCTGGATCGTCACGCCGAGGAGGCCGGCGACAGCAAGGCCACCCCCCGCAACGAGACCGACACGCTCGGCTACTTTGGAGGCGAGAGGAACGAGCGTCCCGGCCGATCGCCCGGCGAGGGCGGGCTCGGTAGGAGCGGAAGCATCTTTAACAAGTTCAAGCGCGGCGGCAAGGCGTCCAAGTCGTCGGAGCGCGAGTCAGTCTACGCCTGAACGCGGCGGTCCGCCCAGCCTTTGCTTCGCAAATAGGGCTGAATTGACCCAGGCCTGCACCAGCTGGGCACAGTCTGGCCTCTCTGGCTGTTCGACGTGAGCAGCGACAGATCCTTCCTCCCCATCGGTCCTGTCTTGCCACGTCCTGTCGTCTTCCTTGAGTCTTGGCACCACGGTCCCGCCGGCGTCTTCCCTGATTCGCCCAGTGCGAGGCGACGCCCATTCCCTGGTCTATGCTGGACCAGGTTGTCCCGCCGCCTCGGGGCCGCTTTTATCACGCGGTCCTGCGCTTCCCTTCGGACCGTCGACGTGGCACTGTCGCCGCAGCGCCTGCGTTCCCCTCTGCCGTTCCCTGCTCCGCCTTGCCCTGCTCTGCCCACGACGGCACGACGCCCGTTGCGACTCTGAACACCCCGGGCCGGCATCCACACTACACACACTATACCTTCGTTTGGCCTTGTCCGCTTAACTAGCTTTCGTAGCTCTCTCTGACCGTCATCTTGCTCGGCTTCGTCTTGGCTCGTCTTCTCTTTTCAAGGACTGTTGCATTTTGCCCGCTCGTTGCCCGCCCGATGTTGAAAACCCTCTGCCACTCAATCACAAACTGCTGCCATTGCCTCATGTCCTGACGAGTCGAGCGAACCCCTGTCTCGTGAACGAGGATGCGCCGACGGACGGCCGAAGGGTCTCTTCTGCTGCTTTGTTGACAACGGCAAATCTCAATGGCATTGCCATGGCAGGTCATCTTTGGCTTGTTCGCAGACACGGACGAGGACGATGCGCAGCAGGGGGAGTGGCGCAACGGCATTTCACGAGCATGGCCAGCTGGCCTGCTTGCGCTGGGGGCCGCCTTTTCTCGCCGCGAGAACAAAAGGCCGGCCAGCCATCGGCCTGGCAGGTGGGCTTCCAAGCGAAAACAAAATTGCGGGCGGGCGGGCCTGCCACGTTTCAACACGCACGCACGCACCTGAAACTCAGAGAGTGAGGCAGGCGGCAGGGAGAAGGCAGGCCAGCTGGCTGCCACCTTGGTTGCTTCTTCTGCTGGCCTCTTGCTTTTCCTCGTCTTCTTGGGGCCCTCGCTCTCTCGCTCGCCCGATCAACCCAAGAGGTGAGCTCTGCCCGCCTGCCCGCCTGCCTGCCAGCGCAAAGGAAAGGGCGCCGCCCTCTTCGACCCCTGGGCTCGCCCTCATCGTTGGCTCACAACCGCAGCACCCACCGTCATCCTCATCCTCACCACACCGTCAGGTAGCGCGTCGACGTCCTCTCCCGCCCCATCCCCTTTGCCCGACATGGACCCTGCCACCGCGACCGACTCGGGTCTGCGCAAGAGGGCCACCGTCCAGGACCATCGCGACAACGACTCGCCCCACACGTCGTCGGAAACGCTCCAGGCCGCCGCAGACCCCGCAAACGACTCGTCCCTCAAGGACCACCCCGCATCGCACCAGCATGACCGGGTAAAGGGACGCACCCCGGACGGCACCGGTGAGTAGGCATGGACCCCTCCGGCCCCACAGCTTCGGTACACGCTCAACGCCCGGCAGCATAGCAAACCGCCGAGTTGGCCCGCGGCTCATCTCTGCCGTACTCCCGACCCGCACAAGCTGACCCGTGGCAATTGTCCATCCCTGCCCCTCTCCCTCCCTCTTTCCTCACCTTCACCCTGCCCGTCGCCCTGCTCCCTCGCTGTTTGCCCTTGACACCTGGCCCGCTCTTCCGGCTGTCCGGCTGTTCTGTACGCTCGGCATCTCCAATCCTCCGCTGCCCGCCCGCATGCCACGCGCCCACACCCGACCGCCCTCCCTGCCACATGGCCCGCCCGTCCCGACCCCGGCCGCTTCCCTGGATGCCGGCGGACCCCTCTGACCTGACCAGTCTTTGACGTCCCGCACACCCCGGACATGCTGACGTCGATCTTTGACCCTCGCCAGCCAAAGACGCCGCTCGACCTCATCACGATCGCTTCGCTCGCCTCCCAGCTGCTCGCCTACTTTGCCCTCTCGCGCAAGTCGGCCCAGGTCTTTTTCTTCTTCTACTTTTTCTTCTGGCGCGCGTCGTACAATGCCGGGCTCGGTCACATCCTCAAGCAGCAGAGCGAGTCGGGATGGATCGTCAACCTCGTCAAGCAGCAGGGCTGGATGGACGAGAAGCGCAAGCCAAAGGTCCGCGCTTGGGTTAAGCAGCAGCTCGTCACGAAAATGGAGAAGGACTACGACTTCGACGTGCGTCGCCGTGGGCAGAAGACGCAGGTCTTGGGCCGCCTCGCGCTTCGATTGTCGTCTGACCATATACTCTGTTCCTCGATGGTTCTGCCAAACGACAGGCCCTTCCCCTGGACTACAACATCTGGCTCCTGTTCCGCTCCATAGTTGACCTGATTCTCATCAACGACGTAAGTGCCCACCGGGAGCTGCCGGACGGGATCTCCCCACCCTTGATCCTTCGCGTAGTCTGGCCATGCCTTGATTGACCGGAACGCCTCCTGCTCTTATTTATCTCCCCGCTCTCAGTTCGTCGCCTACTCGCTCTTCGCCTTCTCCTGCACGCGCCTCCCCGAGGGCCACTCGGTCATGATGCACGTGCTCCGCTGGGTCGTCGGCTGGGCGCTCATCTTCTTCAACCTCTGGGTCAAGATGGACGCCCACCGCGTGGTCAAGGACTACGCCTGGTACTGGGGCGACTGCTTCTTCCTCTGCCTCCAGAGCCTCGTCTTTGATGGCGTCTACGAGATCGCCCCGGACCCGATGTACAGCATCGGATACGCCGGCTACTACGGCCTCTCGCTCGTCTCGGGCAGCTACGCCGTCCTCTTCGTCTCGCTCGCCGCCCACTTTTTCCAGTTCCTCTTCATGTGCTACTTTGAGGGCCCGCACATCGAGCGCGTCTACGGCGAGAAGAAGCCCCTGGCCGCCAGGGTTCCCCTGCGGACCGCCCCCTTCAACGCCGCGTCGAGGCGTGCCGCTACGGGGTCGATCTCAGCCTCCAATGCCGGCTCAGATGCCGTCGCCGAGGATCAAGGACTGTCGGCGGCCACCTCGCGGGTCGGCCTAAGCACGGCGACGCCGAGCCAGACGGACGGGAGCACCGCTGTCACCGACGACGACGACGATGACGAAGAGGAGCGGATGGAGAGGGCCATCCGGCGCGCCACGCTGCAGACTGCCGCCTCGTCCAACGACGCCATCGCCTCGCGCCTCCGCGGCTCGTTCTCGCAGCAAGAGTCAGAGGTCCGCGCGACCAGCCTGCACGACCTCCACCACCGCATCTTCCGCAAGGACACGGTCGTCTTCAAGAACCTCGATCTGATGCGCGCCAATGACTTCCTGCTGGTCGTCGCCTCGGTCTACGCCTTCTTCCCGCTGATTGTGCCTTCCCTCGGCAACAACGCCCGGCTGACGCTCCTCTTCCTCAACGCCCTCGCCTGGCGCGTCTTCCACTCGGCCGGCCTCGGCGCGGTGCTCAAGGCGCAGTCCGAGAACAAGTGGGTGGTCCGCCACTTCCTCAAGCACTACAACTACGGCCGCCCCGACGACGCCATCTTCGAGGCGTTTTCCAACTGGAAGGTCATCTACAACACCAGCCTCGTCATGACCTACGCGTCGTTTGGCGCGCTGTGCTGGAACTGCTACGCCCCGATCGGCACCGACTGGACCGTGGGCACCGACCTCCTGCGCCACACGCTCGGCCTCGTGCTGATCGCGCTCCACGTCTGGACGGCCAACTCGTCGTACAACGTTCTCGGACCCTTTGGCTGGCTCTATGGCGACTTTTTCGTCGACGAGTACCCGCACCAGCTCTACTACACGGGCATCTACCGCTTCCTCAACAACCCGGAGCGCTCCATGGGCGGCGCGGCCTTTTTCGGCCTGACGATGATCAGCGGCAGCAAGCTGGCGCTGACGATGGCCTTCATCTCGTACGTGGCCCACTGGGGCTTCCTCTCGTTTGTCGAGGGACCGCACATGAACAAGCTCTACGGCGAGGCGGCGGTGCGCAAAGACTCGGGCGTCACCAAGCAGCTCAAGAACGTCACCCGGACCGACCTCTTCCGCGCGGCCCAGGAGCATCCGGGCTTCAAAAACATGCAGGGCACCTTCGAAAAGGTGCACCGCGACGCCACGTACGCCTTTGAGGACTTTTTCAGCAAGAACCGCCCCAAGCTCGAGGGCGTGCTCGAAGACACCAAGATGATGCTGCAGCAGAGCCGCGATCGCCTGCTCATCGTGCGCGTCAACGATAACCTGCAGGTGGACCGATCCAAGTACAAGGTCGAGGTCCAGCCCTCGGCCAGCACGGGCACGCTGCGCTTCCACCTGGGCGAGGCCATCAAGGTCAGCTGGACCGCACCCACCACCCACTCGCGGCGCGACTGGATCGGCATCTACCTCGTGTCGCGGCTGGGCGAGAGCCGCACCGGCGGCAGCGGCGAGATGGAGCTGGTGACGAAGATTTCGTCGCAGGGCAAGTGGCTGGGCGTGGCCGAGGACGAGTGGGAGGGCGACGTGCACACCGGCTCGACGGACTCGACGTCGGGGCTCGGCAGCGACGGCGCAGCGACGCGCTCCGCGGCCGACGGCGTCGTCCGGGGCACGACCGTCTTCCAGGGCACCAAGCTGCCCTGGCGCACGGGCGTGTACGAGGTGCGGTACCACCACGACGGCAAGCACAACCTGCTCGCCCGGTCGGCGCAGCCGCTCGAAATCTACATTGACGCGCCGCAAGACGAAGAGGACCTGGAGCAGACGTACGCCGTGCTGGCCAAGATTGTCGCCTTTTCGCTGCAGGCGGCCGACCCGAGGGCGCAGCGCACAAAGAGGCTCAGCATCTCGCAACCCGCCGAAGACGCGCAGGTGCCCGCGGCGTCGCCGCAGCCCGAAGTCGAGGCCGGAACCGATCCGGACGATTTCACCATCTGGGACCTCGACCAGGCGCGGCGCATCGCAGAGGCCATCAAGATGGCCTTTGGACTCGAACTCTCCACCGAAGTCGTCGTCGCCGAGGCCAATACGCGCCGACTGGCCCGCGACGTCGTCGAGGGGAGGAAGGTGCTCCGCCCCGAGTTCCGTCCTAGGCTCGTGTGACGGCGCCGCGTCGTCCCGCCCCGCCCCAACCTCGCTCCGACCGCCTCAGCATGGACCAGCGCCGTTTAGCGATCGCTGCATGCACGCTTACTAGCACCAGCACCAGCACCAGTATCATGCCCCACACCGGCACCACTCCCAAAAAGCTCGAGGGCCTTCGACAAGCGCTCTCTCTCTCCTCATAACGACCCACAGGCGACAGCAGAGCAGGATCGAGGGCACACCACCAAGTCCTCTCCTCCCCTCCGCTCTGCATTCCTCGCCACTTGCTCATCCCCTTCCCATGCAGACATACACAGTCAGTCAGTCAGTCGATTCCGTCGACATCCTCGGGCGCGTGACGTCGCCCTCCGGCCACCGGAACCGCTTCTCTCCTGCAATCGGCTTCTGATCTCGATGGATATACATCACTACCCGGCACCTCGTCGGCCCAGGCCTGCCGAATGTCCTCACGACCACTTGCTTCGCTCTTCGCCCTCCCTGCCTTGACCTTCCCTGCTGACCTGCGACGACAGCGACGACGACGCAGCGGCGGCGCCCGCGGCAGGCGCTCACGGATGCATAAAGGTGACGATGACCTCGCGGAACTCGGCGAGGAGGAGGCGGATCTCCTTGCGCTTCATGCCGACGCGGTACTCGATTTCGTCGATGGTGTGCTTGCCGTTGAGGTAGGGCAGCAGGCGGAAGAGCTTCTTGACGAGCCACGTCGGCTTGCCCTCGATCATGGTGGCGATCCACTCGTTTTCCTCGCGCGTCGCCCGCGACGGCTCGACGATGAGCGTCTCGGTCGTATCCGCCCGTCTGGCTTCGTTGGCCAGCTCCTCCTCGTCGTCCTGCTGCTGCTCTGCAGCTTCCTCGTCGACGCCACCGCCGCCGTTGTCGTCGAGATCGGAAAAGTCCGAAGGCAACGAGGACGAGTAGGAGCAGGTCGATGACGACGACGACGACGACGACGAAGAGGAGCTGCAGCTGGCAGACGCGTGCCGACAGTCGGGGCGGCACTCGGCCCCGCACTGGTGCGATCGTGTCCCTTCGTCATCCTCGTCGGACGAGGCGAGCGGCGAAGGTGGAAAGTCGGGCCGTTCCGAGGCTATCGAGATGCGTCGTAGGTTCTGGCGCGCCAGACTGGCGACCGAGGTCGGAGGGTTCTGGCTGGGCCGTCTCCCACGCTCGTAGACGCTGCCCGCGTCTGCAGTAGGAACGATGGAAGTGGGCGACACGCCCTCTTCCGCGCCAAGCGCCGAAGGAGCGAGGGCCTCGTCGTCGTCGTCGTCGTCTTCGTCGTCGGCCTCTTCGCCGACGAGCGAGAGCCGCCTCTCGTCGTCGACGGGCGTCGTCTCGTCTTCCACGTCTGCCAGCGCGCCTGCGCCATCGAGGGACGGCGTCTCGCTCTCCTCTTCCTCGCCATCGACCTCGACCTCCTCGTCCTGCCCGAAGCCCGTCACCTTGAGTCGAGCGCGCGATGGCGAGCGTGACATGACTTTGCGCTCCTTGGCGTGCATGCTCATCGCGTTCGGCACGCTGGCCGAATGCGAGCCGGCAGAGGCGCTCGCTTCTGCACCAAAGGCGAGAGCAGCGCCGCCGGAAGAGGATGGCCGTGAAACCGCCCGGCCGGCAGAGCCGTGGCTGAGTCCGCTCGTGGCGCTCGCGTCGCGCACATGCCGAGGCACGCGCCTGCCGCGGGGCGTTGTTGACCGAATCGGGGAGCGATGGCCGAGGGAAGAGTCGTTGGGCGTCATGGAGAGCGGCTCAAGCTTGCCTGCGCCCGCGCCTGCGCCGCTCGACGAGCTCGAACCGCCCGTCTCGGCTCGCGGCCGCCTCGGGCCTACGGCGTTGCTGAAGCTGACCGAGAGCGCGGTCGATGGCGAGCGCGACCGCAGCACGGGCCGACGCTCAAATTTGAGCTTCTCAAACATCGGGTTGCTGGAGCTGCCAATGAGGATGGGCGCCGATGGCTGCGAGCTCGGCTGGGCTGAACCATGATGGCTGTGGTGGCCATGGTGACCGTGGCTGTGATGGTGATGGTGATGGTGATGGTGGTGATGATGGTGATGACCCGGAGGCTGAGCGCTGGACTGGCTCGACCTGCCATTCTTGGATCCCGAGTCTGAACGCTGCTGGACGATGGCGGCCGCTGTTGCTGCAGCTGAGGCCACCGAGTCGGGATGAGCCAGAGTGCCCGGTCGGGATACGCTCAGGCCAGAGACTGACCGTACCATCTCCTCGCTCTCGGCAGACCCCTGCGCCTCGGCCGTCTGCAGCGTCTGCCTGGCATCGGCCGATCGCGACCGGTCTCGCTCACGGCTGCGGCCTCGCTGCTCTTGTTCCTGGTCCTCGCGTTTGCTTGCTTCGATCTCCCTCAGCCTCTGCAGCTCCCTTTTCCGCTCCTCTTTGGCTGCCTTGCGTGCCTCCTTGGCCTCGAGTCGCGCCGCCCTGCGTTGTCGGCGTTCCTGACGCTGCTTGGTCTTCTGCACCCTCTCGGCGCGGCGCTCGATGGTGCGGATCTTGACCCTCTCCGTGGCGACCAGTCGAAGACGGACGTGGAGCTTGACGACGACCTCGCGGCGCAGCAGCCACACGAGGACGTCGAGGCAGAGCTGTCTCTGGTACCTGCCCGGGAGCAGGGCGTTGAGCGGCCGCAACGCCGACGACATCTGCGACAGAAAGGCCGGCAGCGGAAGAAGTTCTGGAAAGGTAGAGGCCCAGGAGCGACTCAGCGAGGCAAGCCGCTTGAACTCAAAGAGCGGCGAGATACCATAGACGTGTGCCGTCCGCGGAACATCGATGACGCGGGCCTGGCGATAGTAGATCAGGTGGCGCACCATCGGGTACACATCGTCGTACAGGTCCCAGTCGAGGACGTTGGCCACCTCGTCGAAGTTGAGCATCTCCGACACGCGAGGCCGGAACAGGGCCGTAAACTTGCGAGTGAGCTGCTCAAAGCCTAGGCTCTCGCTGTGGACGTGGTCGGTCTCGCTGTCGGCGGAATCGGATACCTTTGGCGATCGCTGCCGGGTGTGTGGATCGTCCGGGTGATCGTGCAGCAGCAGCAGGGTCTTCCACGGCAGGAGGTACGGGCCGGTGGTGCGGGTCCACTCCTCAAAGGTGAGCTCGCTGGGCCCCAGGCTCATGAGCCGATCGTAGCCGCCGTCGTAGTCGTCGCCGTCGCCGCCCTCCTTGCCCATGCCGGCGAAGCCGCCGCCGCTCAGGAAGATCGGGTCGTTGGGGTCCAGCTCCGTCTCGATGTCTGGCACCTTGAGGATCTTGTTTGGGTTCTGGAGGATGGGCGGCAGCTGAATGTGGACCTCGATGCGGTCGTTGATGGTGAGGAAGGCGTCCGACGAGGTACTGATGGACTTGTGCAGATCGCGGAGGCAGCGTGCCATCGACGAGATGCCCAGCGCTTGGGCAGCATAGGCAGAATACGATTGCCCGTCGTCCATGCAGCGTTCCCGGAGCGCCAAGAGGCTCTCAGCTTCCTTCGAGACGTAGTCCGCCCGCACCTGCTCGGCGAAGAGCGATGCGGTCGTCTTGAAGACGATGTGGTCATAGAAGAGCTGCAGCCAGGAGCTGAGGTCCATCCCGGCCAGCGCCGCCGAGGGGTCCGGCCGATCGAGGACGAGCACCAAGTGGAATTGGGTCAGGGGCGCCAGGGATCTGGCGGATGCGGTGTCGGGCTGCAGTGCCTTCTGTGCTGATGGGCTGCGACTGCTCTCGCCAGGCCTCAGGCGGTTGCCGCTCCGACCGTCGCTCTGGGACGAGCCGCGGCGTAAGGCTGCGCCATACCGTCCACGCCGGGCATCATCGGCGCTGCGATCGCCTCCGTCCCCGTCGGCATCGTCCCCGGGGTCACCCCACTGTCCCCCCGGGCCCACGCAGACGGGGTGCCCGAGGAATGCCAGGTCGTCGATCACCAGCTCGAACTTCTGATGTGCCAGCTCCTGCCGCGGGCTCAGGATCGATGCGAGGAAGTCGGTCTCGTAGCCAAGGTAGGTACGATATGCTCGGGCGGCTCGCTCTTCACGGCGGGCCTTTTCCTCGGGCGAGAGGTTGTTGGAGGTGCCGCCGTTGTCAGAATCGGGTGGCTGGGTACCAGAGGCGTGGCCGTTGCCATTGTTGCCGCCAGCGCCATTGCCGTCATACTGGTTGTTGGCCGAGTCGATGGTGCGCAGGCTGTGCAGGGATTCGTCGAGGGTGGAGAGGGGCTTCCTCGCCTTGGACTTGGACCGGCTGGCACCGGCACTAGTCTTTGTCCTGGCTACGCTGGCCGCCTCGTTGAAGTCGACGGCGGCATTGCGACCGGGTCGCGGCTGATCCTCATCGCTGATCGAGGCATCCGAGTCATCGTCGATCTCGGAAGAGGAGGGGGTATCGCTCTGGCCGAGGTCGTCGCTGTTTGCGTCGTCGTCGTGCTCGTCGTCGTCTTCGTCGTGCCTATCCCAGTTTGCCTTTTGCCTGACGGGATCAAAGTCGAGCTCGTCCTTTGTACGATGGGAAGAGCTGGGATCGTGGTGGTGTTCGGCGTAGTACTTGATCTTTGAGTAGCGCTTGAAGATCTTGGGCTTGTTTGGCCAGCGGAAGACGATGTGCGATCCGCGCGAAGACGACGTGGCGAGGATGACGGCGAGCAGAGGGTCGTTCATGTCGGAACAGTCCGAGGCGTCGTGGGCAGTGTGCAGACAGAGGCCCGGCCGGATCAGCCGACAGGTTTGGTTGAGCGAAGTCGACTTGTAGAGACGGCCTCGGAGAGAAGCCGACAGCTAGCTTGACTGGCCGAGGGGCGGGGGCGGGTCGAAAAGGGAAGCTCCGACTTTCAGAGTGTCAAGCCATGCTGCTTGGGGGTCGACAGTGAAAAGTGCGGGGGCCGCCTGCGCCAAGGCGAGGCAGAGGCAAAGGCGCTGTGGAATGCGGCCGGGCGACGATGCCTTGCTTGGGATCAGAGCGGCTCAGCCGACGCCGAGCAGGAGGGGGATGGTGGCTCGACGGAGACATCCCGAAGCCAGGGAGTGGAGCAACCAGGTGGGGGGCGGGCCCCCATAATGGTCCGGGACCCGGAGGTCCTGGCAGGTCAAGCCAGGGCCGAGAGCACAGATCAGCTCGGCCAGGCGCACCGAGCCTGCCAGGGCCTCGGGGCTGGCTGGCAGGCAAGGGCGCGAGTTGGGCGGCCAGGCCAAGGAGCAAAGCGAGGGGCTGCCCGACCGCTCTTCCTTCTTGTCGCCATCAACCGCCTCGTTTCTCGCCGTCCCTCCCTGGAACGGCATCTGGTCCAACAGCCAACATACTGGCTCATCCGACCACACTCCTGGCTGAAGCCTTGATCCACCGCCGCACCTGCTCAAGATGACCGTCGAACAATCCCTCTTCCTCGACAGCGCAATGCGCGACTGGGTGCTGATCCCCATCACCATCGTCATGATCCTCGTCGGCGTGCTGCGACACAACATCATGTCGCTCCTCAACTCGACCCCCACAAAGATTTCGGCGCCAGCGCTCAGGGAGCAGTGAGTGGCGCCGTCGACCGTGCCATGCCTGGACCCTATGATGGCGGCCGCCGACGAACCATGCTCGCCGTGCTAACCCTACCCTGGTGCTTTCTCCAACCCCTCGCCATCGCAGGCGCATCATGACGCGAGCGGGCGCCCTCCGACAGAACTACTTCAACCTCGTCCCTTCGTCGTACCTCTCCCGTCGAGCTTACCTCATCGAGTCGCTCACCAACGGCTCCTACCTCCAGCCAAAGGAGCAGGACGAGGATCCGGACGCCCCCAAGAACCCCTTCGAGGGCGGCGGCATGGACGGCATGATGGACGCCATGAAGAAGCAGATGGTCATGATGGTCCCTCAGACCGTCATCATGGGCTGGATCAACTTTTTCTTTTCGGGCTTCGTCCTCAGTGAGTGGGGGCGTTCGATGGCCGCTCGCCACAGAGCTCGCGGCCGCCGTCTCGTGGTCCCGGTTTCGCTGACCTCTTGGCAATCGTTACCGTGCCGCCGCGCTGCGCAGTCAAGCTCCCTTTCCCCCTGACGCTGCGCTTCAAAGTCATGCTCCAGCGAGGCATCGACACGCCCGACCTCGACGTTACCTGGGTGTCGTCCCTCAGCTGGTACTTCCTGAACCTCTTTGGTCTCAACGGCATCTACCGCCTGATCCTCGGGCAGGAGAACGGTGAGTTCGACGCCGCTGTCCTGGCAAGACGGCACGACGTCTTTTGCTAAACGATCCTGATCCCCTTTCCGCTCGTACTTGCCTCGACAGCCGCCGACGGAACGCGCGACATGGCTCTGATGGCCGGCAACTCTCCGATGGGCGCCATGAACCCCGCCGCGCCCGGCCAGGCGCCCGACTATGCCAAGCTCCACCTCGCCGAGCGCGACAATGTGCAGCTGGTCGGAATCGACCTCGTGGACCCGTCGGCAGCTTCGCGCAAGGCCTCGACCGAGGCCAGGTGGATCGGCGACGGCATCGAGGATCGCGTGCTGGCCATGTACGCTTGAGGTTGTCAGGGAGGTTCTTGGTGAAAGATGCGCTTGCGGAGATCGACGACCGGTATGTCGCTGTAATTGAAAGGCGGAAACAGGCTCGCAAGAGGCCAGCCGAGATGATGCCCCACTTACCACGATGATTGCTGTGCAGACGCTCGAGGTTCTGCTTGGCGCTCTGAGCGGCGAGCCGTGGACTGATCGCGCACGCGTCGCCGATAGAGAAACCAAAGGCGGCGTCGGAGTTTGCGCTCCTTCAGCCGATCAAGCAGGCAAGACGATCTCAGGCAATGGCAAGACAAGGACAGGGACTGGTATTACAGGGCTGCCCGACCGCAGCAGACAGAGCATCGGTCGATGGCGAGAGCGTCACTAGGCGCGGACGGCCTTGGGCTTCTTGACGGTGCCGGCGACAGTCTTGAGCGAGTTCTTCTTGGCGGCGTTGCTGCGGGTCGACTTTGCGGCCTTGGCGTTGGCGACGGTGGCCTTGCGCGACTTTGCGCGCTTGGCGGCGCGCTTGAGGTTGCGCTCGACGCGGCCGGCGCCCTCGTAGCTCGAGGCGGGCACGTTGGTGATCAACAGGCTGGGTCGGGACGTGGCCGCCGTGGGCGAGGGGGCGTTCTTGACCGACCTCGGCTGCACCTTGCCCGCGGCGGGACCGCCCGAGGGCAGAGAGGCAATCATGCTCCTCCGCTTGGCCGACAACTTGGTCATGGCTGGTGCGATGACCGAACGCGCGTTGGGCGACGCCGAGTCGGCAAACTCCTCGTGCTGCGGCCCTCGCGTGCTGGCGTCACTCGACTGGACGGCCGGCGCGGGCTCATCGACACCCTTCGTCTTTGCTCCCAGCAATCGGTCCATGTTGGACTGGAACTCGGTCTGCAGCGGTTTGGCCTGTTGGGATCGAATTGATTCAGGGAGAGATCGCGTCAGTAAACGCCGATCGCGAAGCTCCATCGCAAAGCAGCATGGGCAGCAGCGGCAGCGACCGTCGCAGATCACCGCCATCCATGCCGGCATCGGTATCAGAGAGGTAAAGCGTAATAAAAAGTTTGTAACCATGGGTTTGGTCTTCAAGACTAATCGAAATTTTTTATAGCTCATCATGCGAAGCGGTGTCGGAGGGATGGGCGGCTGGCGGCGGATGCAGACGGCGATGCTGCTGCTGCTGCTGCTGCTGCTGCTGCTGCTGCTGCTGCTGGGGTTGATGAAGCCGATCGGTAAGCCTGTAGGCAAACACTCACCTGCGAAGTCCACTCAGTCTCGAGCGCCTTTAACCGGAGCACGGCAGCCATCCTCTCTTTCCCGATATTGAACTTTTGCGACAGCGCCGGGATGGTCCACTTGACCGGGTCAGAGGTGTGCAGCTTCCAGATATCGGTCTTGACTGCATGTCTTAGTGGCGGCGGCGGGTTGAAGGCTGGGTTGAGAGGGAAGGGCTGAGCACGAGAAGAGGCGGAGAGGAGCAAGTGGGCTAGGGGGTTCAGCTGCCGCTGATCGACGAGTGCGCGCGCGCCGCCGAAGCAGACCCGCCCAAGTAACCTGCGGACAACTCACAGTTTCGCCGATCCAGCTAGGACCCGAGCCCGGCTTGGGCTGCTTGTAGTGTCGCCCGTCGCCCGCCATCCACTCGGGAAAGGGCGGGAGCATCTTCGGGCGCCCTCGTCCCGCCGACTTCCTGCCGCCGCCAACGATGGTGGGCGAGGAGGCGTTGGAGGCATCGAGCGACTCTGCGGATGCCGTATGCGGCGGTTTCCGCGCGGTGGCGTCCTCGGGAGTGGGTGCCGAGTACGAAGACGAGGCCGTGGTGGAAAAGGGGGCGACGATGACGCTGCGCGACGACGAGGCGACGGGCTGCGTCGAGGCGCGCAGGCACCCGAGGCACGACGAGAGGGTGAGCCGCGATGTCGAAGCCATGATGTTGGCGGGCGTAGTGTGGCGTGGCACCGGTGCGGTGGTGGTGGTGGTCGTAGTGGTGGTGGTGGTGCGCAAGATTAGACGGGTCCCGCCGAGTGAGGATTGAACTGGACTGGACTGGACCAGACTGGACCGCCGCCCGGCGCTGTCGCCTCTGCCTCTGGGAAAAACGGGCGGGCGGCGGGCGAGAAGAAAAGGCAGGCGAGGGGGCCGTCCTCGCTCCGATCGCCTGATCTCAGCCCGCCTCGGATCCGCCCCTTGCCGCAGGCAGCCCGAGCACCTCGTCTTCTTGGATTTTTCCTCTCGCCGAGAAGAGATCCAGGGCGCTCAGAGGTGAGGGGGCAACCGAGTATAAGAACCCGGTCGACTCGGGCATCCCTCCTTGCCGTCTCTCCATTGTTTAACAAAGTAAACGCCCCTACCTCGCCCATCAAGAACGGCTCGACGGTCCGTCCCGACGATTCTCCTGAAAAGGCGAACAACCGGACCGTGCTCGAAGCGCCACTTTGCGAGGGTCGGGAGGCAAGACAAAACGCTCAGAGCACTCTTTGGCTGACTCGTTTGGTCTCTCGTTCCCCTTTGGGGGAACGGGGGCACCCCAAGGACGATATTCGGTCACCTGGTGTTCTCACATTTCCCCCTCTTTCATCTCGTCCATGCTGCTTGTTGTTCCCTGGTCTCGGCCGCTGGCCATGTCGTGGTCGGTCTGTTGCTGTCAATGCCCATGGTTTTGCTCTCATGTCGTCTGCAGCGGTTCAGCTCTTTCCTTGCGTGCCGTGTGTGTCTGTCCGAGTCTCCCCGTGGCCCTGCTTCTGGTCGATGTGAAGGATAGCCTGCTTTGTCGACGTCGTCGACAGCAGAAGAGATCGAGAAGGCTGCCCAGGACAACGGCCAGGAGGACAACCTCGTTCGGTCGAAGATGTGCCCGATGCCGAAGCCTGTTTGCCATCGCGGCATGGCTCCCGATTGCGTTAGGTGATGGTCTCAGTCTCCGCCACCCGGACCTCGTCCCCTCCACTCTTTCTTTGCCTCGGGTTGGTTGTCTTCTCGCTTCTTGTCCCGCCCTCGCATTCACGCCTTTCACCGCCACCCCCACCGACGAGACCAAGCAAAGACAGCCCATCCTATCTCGCCCGGCATGGAGTCCAGCATCGACCAGGTGGCCGCCAAGTGTGGCAAGCAGCTGGGTACGCATCGTCTCCTCGCTCGACGTCGCCCCTGACTCTCTCGTCGGTGGTCAGCGACTGACCGCCAGCCCCTCGTCCCTTCCTGACTCTCCTTTCTCCCCCTCCGACCCGCTTCGCCCCGATCCGGACATCGCAGACACGTTCCAGCGCTGCATCCTCGCCAACCAAAAGGATCCGGGAGCGTGCGAGCCGTACAAGGTCGAGCTGTCGAGGTGTGCCGCCAACGCCGTGCCGCTGCTCCACGAGGTCAAGTCGCGCTGCTCGCCCCAGGTCTTGGCCTACGACCGCTGCCTCGCCCAGTTCACCTCACAGGGCGACGAGGCCGTCGAGAAGAACTGCACCCCGCGCCTGCGCGACCTCTGGCTCTGCACCGAAAAGGTCAAGAGGGACGTCGAAGAGAGGGACAACAGCGACGTCCGCAAGAGCAAGCAACAGGGCAAGGCCGCCCTCGAGTCGGCCTAGCTTAGCTTAGGCCAGGCTCCTGGCCCGCCGCAGAGCACGGCTGCAGATCCGCTCAAAGAAGCGCCGAGAGGCGCCCAGCAGACAAACCTCAGAGCCTCGCAGACGCGCCTGGCCTGCGGTCCCTCCCTTTCCGCCCCTCTCCCCACCAGCTGCCGCCTCGATGTATTTGTACGCAACAGCAACCAAGGCAATAGACGCAACCGTCCCTTCTTCCAGCCGCAGCCACGGCTGAAACCCTGGCTCGGTGCTCTCGGGACGGAGCCCCTCCGGAGACCGCACGTGTTGCGATCGCGTGCACGCTTTTGCTGCTGCGAGTCTCTGATTCTGATCGCTGCCGGGTGCCTAGTCCGCCTAACTAATCTTTTCTTTGGGATGGGAGGAGTGGGTGCTGTCTCCGAGCAGCGACCCGGCGAGCGGACCGCCACTCGCGCTCCGACTGCCCGCGGTGAAGCCGGCGGTGAGAGAAGTCAAAGGGGAGGAAGACGAGACGTGTACGAGAACGGCGTGGAGGGCCGACGTCAGCTCGCTCCGGCAATCTTGCGATGTGCACGAGGCGGCGCCGATCCGAGAGCGCGGGGAAGGAGGTGGTGGTGTATCCGATGGGGCTGTAGACGTCGTATCCGAGAGGTTTCCGTCGATAGATGGACGAGGCCGGCTGGTCGGTCTTTACGATAGATTGTCGAGGAGATGTCTCCAGTGATCTCGAGGCTCCTTGCACGATGGAGGCCTGGCCGGGGCGTCGACCTGCGTGAGCCGAGGCTCGGTGGGAAGTTTGTGAGGCCGTGCTGGGACGCTGGCGCCGGCAGTGACAGCTCAAGCGACGCTGGGCGCGCTCCTGCGACCGCGGCGCTTCGCTTCCGTCTCGACGGTGCCGACGCTTGTGCGCTTGATCTTGCCTTCCTTGATGGCAGAGTCGGAAGACGTCGGAGGAAGCGCTACCTTGACGCCAGAGCGCGATTTACGCGAATCGGCGGCATTGGCCTGGCTGGCGGAGGGAGCTGCGTTGCTGCTCGCGGTGGGGGAAAGAGCTACCTGGTCGGGGCCTCCGTCATCAGGTCGACGGATAGGGATGGCGCTGGACCTCGATGGTGCAGGGGCGGTCGTGCTCTGCTGGCCGCCGTACTGCATGCCGCTGGCGGAGAGCGGCTGGCTGGGCGGGGGAAGGGCACCGACTCCCCAGCCGGCCATGCCGCGCTGCGCCGCATCCAGCTCTCGCACCATCGAGCCGGTAAGGCTCGTGTCCTTGCCAAAGCCGTGGCCCGTGACGCCTTCGCCGTATCCACGGAAGCTGCTGGTGAGGGGCGTTGTCGGGTCGTAGAAGCCCAAGCCGGCTCCGTTGACGGCGCCGTAGCTCACCATGGGGGTGGCAGGCTGGCTGATCATAGCGCTCGGCGAGAAGCAGCCGAGGTCGGGCGAAGCCTGCGGCTTCATCGGAGAGGCCGGCATCTGCTGAAGGCCGCCGAGGTGGTGCGAGGCGCCAAAGCAGTCCATGGGGCCCGAGCCGATAGTGGGGCTGCCAGAGAACGGGGTGAAGGCGCCGGACGACAGGCTGCCAGTGCTGGGCGTCGACAGGAGGCTTCCGAACGAGCTCGAGGTGCTCAGATCCGGAGATGCCGTCAGCTGCGATGGACTGGTCGGCATGAGCTGGGGCGAGAGCGACAGACGCTGGCGCGCGCCGATGCCGCCGATGCTACCTCCGCCGCACTGCGGAGCGGGAAGCGGGGCAGTGAACGTCGGGGCAGTGAACGTCGGGCCAGAGAGCGGCGGGTGCGTCATGCCGTGCATGTTGAGTTCCTTGAAGAGGGACTCGATTGTACGCTTCGGCGAGACGCTCTGCTTGAGCTGCTTCTGCGCCTCGCTGTCGGCGAACCTGACCTGCAGGGGCTGTGTCGTGCCGGGCAGGATCTGTGGCGGTGCGGAGAGCCAGACGGGCGAGTAGAGGCTCGAGGGTCAGCGGAATATCTTGATCGAGCAGGACAAGGCTCGGGATACGACCGGCGCTCCGTGCACTCACCCTGCCGTGGAGTCGTTCGATGCACTCCTGCGCCACCTCGCGATCCCTCAGCCTCACAAAGCCGACGCCGCGACTCTCGCCATTGGCGTCCGTGAGGATGCGGAGACTGACGACCGGGTGCGGGGAGAAGAGCTGCTCGAGTTGCTGTAAGAAGACGAGGGCACGAAGGGCGAGGGCGGCCGCCATGACAGGCGAAGTCAGCCAGCAGGCTCGCACGTAGGACAGACGATCTCGATCACCACCGCCCGACGTCTCGCGAAGTTGACTGGTAGACTCACCTGAGCGTTCAGCTTGACCGGAAGGCTGGTGAGTGCAGACGGGTCCAAACGCCGGCGAGAGCGAATCAAACGGTCAGCCTCACTCGCTGCGCCACTGCAGCGGAGGGGGGGAGGGGGGGTTGTTACTGATCGCGATGTGCCCTACTCACTTGCTCAGGTAGACGTTGGTCGAAGACTTGTCCGCCATTCGCCTCAGCTTGGCGCTGAACGATTCCTGCTCGCAGTTCAGGAGGCGGGCCAGAGACCGAAGCGTCAGATTGAGGTGCACATTGACGACCGCGTCCGTGGATCGAAAAGCATCAGAGAATCCCCGGACCACCCACCTTGGCGTACGAGCTCTGAAGGCCGTTGCTGGTGAAGAAGATGATGGCTCTCTGGGCCTCTTCGGGAGTCGCGTACATCACGAAGCCGTACCTGTGGTCCGCGTTCGACGCGCGTGCAGTCGACAGACGTCGTCAGCTTTTCCTGAACGTGGCGCCGAGGCGCCTGATGGTTGGCAAGAGAATCTGGCCGTGCTCACCCTTTGCAACGGCCGGTGTCCAGATCGAGCATGGCCTTGTGGCTGACGACGGTGCCGCACATGGATCCGAGGCGGTACAGGACGTCGTCGGTCGTCCTGCGGTGTGGTATGCGTGGGCAGCAGTAGTGTCAGCTTGTGTGCCGCTCCTGGAGTCGGGGCGCCGGGCTGGCCACCGCTTCTCACGATTCGGGCAGGTTGTTGACGTAGATGTTAGTCATGGCTCGCAGACTGCTGGCGTCGAGAAGCGTCGGCGGTGCAGATGCTGAATGGTGACGCGGAGCGCATGCAGCGAACAGGGACGATGTCAGCTGTCGAACCCGAAGCGTGGCAGTCGAGGCCGCGACGCAGCGACTCACCAGGCATGGACAGCAACGCATCGCGCTGACGCTGCATCACTGAGGCTCGCTCGGCCTCGACCATGGCCGAAGCCTGGCGAGCGGCGAGCTCGCTGAGATGCATCTCCAGCTGCAGCGCCCTGATCTTGGCGTCCGAGGGCGTGTGGAGATCGGGCACGGTGAGGCCCGGCGGGGGAAAGACGCCAACGGTGCTGTCGAGCGGACCTCCGAGCATATCTCCTGGGAACGAGCTGACGCGAGAGCTGTTGCCTGGGTAGGTCGTCGTAGGGAAGGAGTCGGGCTCGAAGCCGGTATCGGAGGCTGGCTCGACGAAGAGCATCGGCGGCTCCGCGAAGGCGTCACGGAGCGTTCCAGCGGAAGGCGCCGAGGAGGGAGGTTCGAACTGCGGCATGAGTGGCCTGGTCGCCTGGGCGACGTTGCGGGTGGCGACGTGACTCTCAGGTTCGCGCGACGGCATCTCGGGAGCTTCGGCGGGGATTGCGGCGTCCCGGACGGCTGTCGAGGTGGCGTTGTCGGGGTCCGACTTGCCCTGGCCTCCGTTGGTCTTGCGAGACTGCGTGATGTCGGCGAGCGGCTCGCGGGTCGGAGCCTGCGTGGCGACCGGCTGATCCTTGATCGACTGCGACGACATGGCGAGCGAGCCTTGACTGACTGAGAGAGGGACGTTGGTCTGTCGTCGTCCGGGGGAGGTCTGGAGGAGCCGATGAGGTTCAGGATCCGAAGCCGTGGACGAATTGAATGCTGCGGCCGGTGGGTGAGCTGGATTGTATCGAGGGGAGGGGAGCGGTTGTCGTCTATCGAGACTCTTGCTGGGGTGGACCGAGGATAATGAGGGGACTATGCTGGGGAAGGTACGAAGGGAAGCGCGCAAGGACTTGGAGTGCCTGGCGACCCGCCTCGAGGATGCTGGTGTCGACGGGGCTGAGAGGTACGCTATGCTAGCTGCTGGAGCTGGTCGCTGTCTAGAACACGAGATGCGTTGAGAAAGGTCGCTGGAGGTAGCGTGGCGGATTGGTGGCTGGATGCTTGAGGCTCAGGACGAGGGGAGAGAGAGACTGGGAAAGGACGGCGCGGGGGTTTTGAGTTGGGGATGGAGGGAGAAAGGAGGGAAGGGGACGGGGCGAGCCTTCGGTCCTGGTTCTTATAGCCAGTCTGCCTGCTCCTGAACGCAGCAGCAGACAGAGAGCGCCCTTGGACCTCTGCGGTCTGATCGACCTCTTGTGCGTTCCTCCTCACGTCAGATCGACGACAGAAGCTGGGAGAGAGGCCAGATTCACTCTAGCGTGGCTCGACTGCGACGCTGCGCGTGGTCGGACAGCAACGAGATGCGGCGAGGGCATCTGGCCAAAGTTTCGCCTCCCCGCAGCCTCGTGGCGCAAAGGGGCGTACCAGAAACTCCTGGCCGCCGTGGAAGCGACGACGACGGCAGCAGCGACGACGTCCAGCAGGCGGGACGTACGGCTCAACGCCGACAGAGTCGAGTCGATGTCGTGCAGGAAGCCTTCCAGCGTGCGTGCTGCTCGAGAGCGGCGGCGTCGTCGATGCTCCAGCCTCGACACCTCTTCCTCCTCTGTCTCCACGCTGCCGGTCTTCGCTCTCTCCCGTTCTTGACTGTCCCGGTCTGTGCCTCGCTCTCCCTGCCCGCCATGCCCAACCGTCTGGCGGGCAAGCAGGTCAGCTCGACAGCGTCGCAGGCGTTCTGCTCGCCTTCACGCCTGCTTGCCCTTTCGCCTCGAGGCTAGCATCGTCGTCGTGGCGCTTGGTTTCTGCGAGGTTCGATGACGTCGGCGAGGCCACGCTTCGTCGCACGTACGCGCCAGCGAGGCGGATGTGCAGCTGAGTCGGTCGTGGCCATCGTCGTTGCCGTCGTCGTCGTCGTCGTTGGAAGGCAGTGGGCCCACCATGGCGGGCGTACGTGGAGTCAGAGTCGCTTCTCTTGGCTGGCGTCATTTTGTGGCGACAGGCAGGACGTGGAGTAGCCTTGCCTTGCCTGACGCGCATTCAGCCAGCCCGAAAACCCAGGCTAGGCCAGGCCAGGCCAGGCCGAGTGCGCAGCGTGACGGGCAGCAGGCAGGGCAAGCTGCTGGCAGGCCAGTTTGGCCGCCAAGCAGGCAGGCAGGCAGGCAAGCAGCCCGCCATCTGACACCGCACCGCACCGCGTCGAATCCATGCACGCCCAGCAGCTTTTCTGGCCCGCTTCGTTTCGGCGTCGGCTTGTCCCGTACGTGGCTTTGCTTTGCGCGCGCCTGCCCATGCCCTTGCTGCTTGCCTGCCGCCCTGCCTACCTTGACGTCCGACGCTCCTCCCAGCCTAGCTTGTCGGGTTGCCCGCTGCGTTGCCTCTGCGTCGATGCAGATGTCAAGCCGCTGCTTGCTTGGTTCCCCTCCGACAGCAGCTGAAGGGGCCTAGCTAGCTGACGGGCAAGCTTAGGGTCCGCCCTGTCTCCCCTTGCAGGAGAGCGGCCTGGGACGAACGGCAGCCCCGACGTCGCCCATTCGTATTGATCACGGGCAGAGTAGAGTCTCTCCCGGGGCGCCAGAGCTCAAGCAAGGCACGAGCTCAACGAGCTGACTCCGGCCTCGAGCGTGCGTTCTGCCTGTTCGCGGGCAGCAGCGGACTGGAGCAGCGGTCTGGATCGGCCGCTCTGGCTCTATCTCTGTCGGACGCAGTCTGATCTGCCGGCCGCCTCTCGGGACCCGAGCACAGCTGTCTATGCGTGAAAGCCAGGCGCAGATCAGCTGGCTGCTCGTCGAGCTCGGTGCCAGCCGGCCAGCTAGTCTAGCCAGGCCAGCTTGCCGCGTCAGCCTTTTCTTTTCTAGCGAGAGCCTGGCTGGACCGGGCCGAACCGACGTCTGGCCCTCCCCAGCCTTGCTTGCTTGGCCTGGCCAGCCCCACACTCTGGCGGCTTGCGTCGGGCAAGGCGCTCTCAAATTCGCCAGCCTCCTGGCGCGTGCGCGTGTGCAGCAGAGGCAGGCGGGGCTCCTTCGCGAGCCCGATGGAAGCGATGGCTGCCGTGCTTAGACGCCGCCGAGCTGGCTGCTCGACCGCCCAGCCTGCACCCGGCCGTGCGCGTGGGGCGACCTCCGGAACCGGCGCGATGGCTTTCCCCCGAGCCTGTCTGTCCGACAACGACCATCTCGGCAGCCTTCGCCCTCTCGACCTCAACGCCTTGGTGCTTCGCAGCTGAACGCACGGTGAGTGACAGAATGAGGAGGCCGCGTTCACGCCTCGGATGCCGGCGACGACGACGGCTTGCTGATTCTCCGTGCGTGGGCCTGCCAGATTTGCCAGCGGCCCTTGTCCAGTTGCCCGTTCGGCCTTGAGGTCTCGCTCAGAGCGTCCGACGCTGAAGCCAGGAGGGAGGCTTGAGCTCTGTACCGCGGCGCCAGCTGGCTGTGTCCATACGCTGCCATTAAGGCCTGGCTGCAGCCGCCGTCGTTGCCAGGTGAGTAGGCGCGTGTCGCCTGCCTCTGGCTTGGTCACAGGGCGCTTGAGCTCCGGAAGACTGGCTCTTGCGCCTCGTTCCCCTTTCGTTGCAGTGACCGGGTGCTCCATGCACGAAGACGGGAGGAGTGCAGGCTCCATAGGTGAGGGACCCCTTCCGGACGAGCCCGAGCGAGGACGGGGAATGCCAAGTGATGGTGGAAAGCAAAAGCAAGGCAGCGCCCAGTACCCAGGGCGGTCTTGGACCCTGCTTGCTTGCTTGTCCGGAGACGGGCCACCCACGTGGCGCAGACGGGCGGCGGGGACGTGCAGCGCATTCGGCGCAGCCCATCCTCCAAGCTCAACACGACCTTGGGCTCTCCCCTGCACTCCCCTCCAGGCCATCTTCGACGTGATCACGGCAAGGCGACCTTCGTGTTGCTGAAACCGGTTCGCAGCGCAGCGTAGTGTACAAATACAGCCGACGTTCGTCGCTCCCTCCTTCTCGCCACACCTTGAGCCGCACCGCTCAGTCGTCGCGCTCGACCCCCTCGCCCTGCCGCCAGAGGACGTGGAGCTCGTAGACGCGCCGGCTCTTGTTGTCGAACCTCGCCACATCTGGGTCAAAGTTGGCCCTGCCATCCCGGCGCGGATCCGCGACGACGGAGCGGTAGCATAGCTCGATCGACGTCGAGTTCCGCTCCGACCCGTGCGCCACCAGGCTGAGCGGTGCCGTCGTTGCTGCTGCTGCTGCTGCTGCTGCCGCCGCCCCTGCCGGTGAAGCCCGACGAGGGAAGCCAGAGCCCAATCGGTTGCGTCGGCTTGTCAACGCAGCAGCCCCGATGCCAGTCGCAGCACCGCTTGCGGAAGCAGGGCTGTTGACGATGCTGACCCGCTGCAGCGCGATCACGTCGCCCGCCCGCAGCGGTCGGGGATCCGTCGAGCGCAGCATCCCTACAAGACTGTCCAGCGATCGATCGCTCCAGTTGCTGTCGGCATCGGTGCCCAGGCTGCTTCCGTACGACTGCGGCGCGTTGGTCGTGTCGTCGAGAGCGCTGCGACCAGAGGCATCCCTGCGCCTCTGCCAACGTCTGCGACTATCATCCTCGTCGCCGTCCGCATCGCCGTTCCAGCGCCGGCCGCGTGGTTTGGAGACGTCTGCGTAGCCAATAGAGGCGGAATCGTCATCGCCTCCCACCACCCAGCCCCTTGCCAGGCTTCCCCAAAGAATCACTTTGAAGAAGTACTTCTCGCCTCGACCGCCCTGCCCACCATCCGGCCTTCCGTCCATGACGACGAGCTCCACCCGTTCGGTCTTGCCAGAGTGCAGATCAAAGCCGACGCCAGCCGCGCCATCCGTCCTCGCCCGCTTGGCGGCATTGGCGACGCTATCCGTCGGGTACTTGGCATTGACGTAGCTGACCTCTCCCACCTCCTTGATGACGACCAGCAGGTTGACCTTGCCGCCAGTGAGGCCGGCAGCTGCAGCGGTGCGGGCGCCATAGCCCAGCGGAGCATGGTGGCCCTGAAGGTAGGCTTGCGGCTGCGCCAGGATGCGCGAGAGGGGCGTGATCGAGGCGAGCGCAAAGTGCAGTGTCGGCGGCGGTGGGATCGAGTCCAGGCCGAGCGATTCGGTGGTGCCCTCGGAACATTCGGATCCTCCTTGGCCCAGGTCGAGCACCTGGCTCTCACTGTCCTCGAGCAATAGGGAGGCGTCATCGTCCTCTTTGTTGTCCGCTCGCGAGATGGTGGTCGAGGGCGGGTCCCTCTGTGGCAGAGAGAGACGTTCCGATCGCCGTAGACGGTCGATGGCAGGGTGCACCTTGGGGACAAGAGGTGCGGCAGTGCGACGCGGAATTCGCCTGGACCCATCCCTCAGCACGCTGGACGACGCTGCGCTAACATCGGGGTCAACGGCGGTGCTGTCTGCAGCTGCCTGCTCCCGAGGAGCGTTCACAAGGAGTCTGGTTCCGTCCGAGCGCGATTCCGTTGCACGGTGGGGCGGCCGCAATCGAGATGCAGAGCGAGAGAAGAAGGAAAAGCGGCAGACGGAAGATACGTTGCCCCGATGGCCTTGCCCTCCTCTCGATGTCGTATCTGCCGCCGAATCCGCCGTCGTATCTGCCGCCGCCGGCAAGTGTTGTCGATGAGCGTCTGTCTCTCGTTGCCGCACCATGCTTTCATCAGATGGCCCTGTTTTCGGCAGAGTCTCTGCTCGAGCCGCTCCTTGGTCCGCCTCGGCCATCAAGACGATGCGGCTGCGATCTGCCGCATCATCTGCCTCCCCATCTTGACCGTCTATGCGCACGGCATCTTGGCGTACGGAGAGTCTACTTGGCCTCTTGATGATCGAAGAGCCTGCCTCGATCCTGCTGCGCTTGGTCGCCGGCGCGGGGCGGTCGGGTGTCTCGATGACGAGGACGGGCGAACGTCTGATGCGCACCCGCTTCGAAACGGTGCTCCGGACGGGCTGGCTTGCGTGGTCGCTGCCGGCCTGATTGAGAGCGTCTCGCTGGCCGATATCGGTCGGCTGCGAGGCATGATTACGATCCAGCCCAGCGTCTACTGGTGGATCTTGCGACCTGGGTTGGGCGAGGCTGGTCGTGGTGCTTGCCCATGATGTCGACGAGGTGGCAAAGTGGGAGAGCGAGGGCGGCGGCAGGAAGACGACGAACGAAGGCGGCCCCGACGACATGGGGGAAGGACGCTCCCGGCTATCGCCAGAGCAGGTGCATGTCGCGGGGAGCAGAGTGGCTGCGTTGAGTCGGCGGTCGATGAGGTGGTGGTCGAAGATGAAGGTTATGGTGGGGACCCCCTCAGACCAACACTCGGCCGCACGCGGTCTGCAAAGACGGCGCGCCAAAGGAGGCGGGTGGAGGCTGAGCTGCCTCTCTGCCCTCTTCTCCTCCTCCCAACCACCACTACTACCACCACCGCAACCGCCACCCAGCCCCTCTCCATCTTCATCTCGCGTCCCCCTAGCCGCCGTCGCCCATCATGCAGGGCTTTGGCATGGGCCGCTACCGGCCCCCGGACGCCGACCCGACCAAGCAGTCCTTCAACCAGGGCCGCCACCCGCTCGGCGTGCGCGCGCGCAAAATCGACCAGGGCATCCTCGTCGTCCGCTTCGAGCTGCCCTTCAACATCTGGTGCGCCGGCTGCGACAACCACATCGGCCAGGGCGTGCGCTACAACGCCGAAAAGAGGCACGTCGGCGACTACTATTCGACAAAGATATGGGCGTTCCGGTGCAAGTGCCACCTCTGCTCAAAGTGGTTCGAGATCCGCACCGATCCAAAGGTGGGTGGCGTGGCCTCATCTCGAACGCATCGGGAACGGCCCACTGGCGTTGCGACGGCCTTCTGACCCTTTGGTCTTCACCCCTTTTGCACCGACAGAACGCACGCTACATCGTCCAGGAAGGTGCGAGGCAGCAGAACCAGGAGTGGGATCCAGAGGAAAACGGCGGTCACCCAATCTACGGTGAGACTTCGACGGCAGCTTCCTCGATCTGCTCCCACCACGACAGCAGCTGACGCCCTTCACTCTTCCTCTCTCGCCCTCGTTGCAGACGAATCGGCCGCCGCTGGTCCCTCGAAGCCGCTCGACGCCTTCAGCCAGCTGGAGAAGCGCGAGAGCGACCGCGACAAGGCGCTGCGGCTGACCGACCGCGTGCTGGAGCTCGAGGAGCACAGCGAGGCCCGGTGGTCGGACCCGTATACGCTCAACGCCAAGCTGCGCAGCTCGTTTCGCAAGGACAAGCGGGTCCGGACCGACAAGCTCATCCGCGACCTCGAGCTCAAGGAGCGAATCGGGTGGAGGGAGGATGCCGTGCTCGCCGACGATCACACGCCATCCTCGACGACGCCGAGGGACCCGGCCAATGGGCGGCTAGAAGCCGGAGCGCAGTGGCAAGACGCGAGGCTGGCCATGCAGGCCGAACGCCTAGGTCGAGGCGCAAAGGCGCTCGAGGGCCCAGCGCCATCGACCGCTCGCTCCGGCGGGCAGCGGCAATCGACGTCGTCCCTCGGCAAGGCCAGCCCCTCGTCCTCGTCCTCACGAAAGACGTCCACCGCTTCAAAGCCACGCAAGACGGCCTCTAGCGCGGCGGCGGGAACTAATGCAAAGGCAAAGGCATCCGCCGTCGAGGCGCTCCGCCGTCAGCTGATCGCCAACACCCGCAAGAAGCAGGACCCGTTCCTGCAGCAGCTCGACCGCCACGTCGCTCAACGGCGCTGACGACAGGCATTCTCTCCAGCTCCCGGCCCCTTGCAATCCCGCCCTGCACAGCTTTGTGATTTGGCTCCTCGGAGTCCGCTGTATTTGTACTCCTTCCGCGTCCGTCTCGTGCACGTATACCTTGCGCTACGCCGTTCCTTCTTGCCGTTGCCGGTCGCCGTGCGATGCTCTCACCGCCTCGAGCGCATGAGGGCGAGGAAAGCCTCCTTGTCTTCCCAGCCCAAGTTTGTCCTCCTCAGGCGAGATCTGGTTTGGCAAAGCAGCAAGAGGGGAGGGACAAGCAGGAGGCGAGAAAGTCAGCGTTTGCTCTCGCTCGATGGAGGCCCACACATGGCACCGGTCGATACCCACAGGTTTGCCACGAGGCCGGCACAAGCATCCGCGAGCGGATCGAGGACGTCGACATTGACGCTGGCCGGATCGGCCACGTACTGGCGGCCCGTGGGCGATTCGGAAGGGTCGAGGAGGCGCACCGTCAGTGCGCGCGGCACCGGCAGCGTGCAGACGAGCGACCACATGTGCCGGAGCGGGTTCCAGCCCGTCTCGTCGGCGGAGCCAGAGGAAGCAGGGCCGAGGTGGGTGGGCACCGAGAGGGTTGTCGTTGAGAGCAGGTTGGAGGGCGGGTCGTGCTTGAATGAAAGGAGATACAGGTTCGACTGGCCCGCGCCGATCTGGAGCGCTCCGGATCGGCGATAGACGAGCCGCCAGGACGCGGGGAACACCGTCGAGAAGCGCAGCAAACCCCGGTTGTTGGACGTGACCAGCTGCGGATCGAGTCGGCAACAGAAGGCAGAAGAAGAGGAATGCGTGAGCACGATGGGACAACTCGACTGCCTTTCTTGCTACCCCTCCAGCGGGCGCCCCCTTTGATGCGCACCTCGGGGAAGACGACGACGGGCGCCTCTGCGCTCTCGGCGATTTGGTCCAGCCTCAGCGGCGTGCCGGCATCCTTTGACCCCTCAACGAGCGGGGTGTAACCGGTCCTGCGGATCATCTCCCACAGCCCGGCCCTGCGGAAGCCCTTGACGTCGCGGATCTCGGTCGTGGCCTGCTCGGCGCCGGGCGTCTCGATGCGCGTATTGGCCGACATGGCATTCTTCTTGGGCGTGCCTCGGCGGGGCGTCGTCGCACCGCCAGGCGTCGACGTGGCCGACGAGCTGGCGCCGCTCGGCGGCCGGCTCGACGCCGAGACGATGGGCAGCACGAAGACGGGCGCGAAGCGGGCTGCGAGGTAGAGCAGATCGGTCCAAGACGTCGAGTTGGCGACGATGATGTCCCCCTTGCCCGGTGCGAAGACGATCGAGGAGGATGCAGACGTGGCTCGCCTGTTTGCGGCGCGCACCCAGTGCAGCAGGTGCAGCATATAGCAGACGTTTTCGACGTCTGGTCAGATGGATGCTCGGCAGGATCGGTGCTGCGGCGTCCACGTTCAGGGCACTCACCCGCGGCTGCGTAGAGATATCTTCTCCTCTCTGATGCTGTAGAAGCCGAACAATGCCAGAATGGCCCGCGCGAAAAAGGCGTTACCGCGGCCGAGCGGGGCTCCCAGGTTCGCCAGAGCCCATATGCCAGCGAAGAGGGCGATGAGGAGCGACCGCAGCGCTCCAAACACCAGGCTGAATGGGAGGAGGACGTAAGAGAAGGACGACGCCGAGCTCGCCGGCTACGATGCGGGTGCAGACAGGGACAGCGAGGTAGAGGGGTCCTCGGGCATCAGCAACGGCGGCCACGGAGATCGATGCTAGACCTGGTAGGGGACATGCTCACGGGCACAGGGTTGAGGAAGACCTGCCGCGCAGTCCAAGCAGCGTAGGAGAAGGTTGGGGTGATGGTCGGTCGCACTGGCAGGTCAGCGGGGCGTCTTGTCTTGGTCAGGCGAGTGGACGGTCCAGCCATGCCTGCCTCACCTGAATGCCCGTACCGGCGTCCCTGAAGCGGGAGAACTTCTCGGCCATCGTCTTCGGATCGAAGGAAAGTGCAATCTGTCCGGAGTGTATGGAAAGACGGTGGCGGCCGTGCGAGGGCGAGGCGGGGGCTGAAGGCGGTGGAAGAAGAGCGAGGTGGATAAAGGTGCTCACGAGAAGAAGGCAGGGGACGGCCCGCACGCAGGTCGTCCGCAGCTCCTTCGCAGACTACAAGACACGCGCGCGACCTCTGCTCCACACCCGACCACATCTTCCATGGCGTCCCTCCGCCCTGCGATCCTTCCTTCCTTCGACTTCGCCTGGCGCCTCTGCCGGGCAGCCCGCGACACGTTAAACGACCAAGCGTACAGACCAACACACGAGACACGAGGCCATCGGCACGCGAGGATGCGGGACCAAATCCGGGAGAGCGGGAGAAGCAACAGCCAGCCAGTCGGTGGAAGGGCGGTTCTGATTTTGGTTTATAGACAGTGCGGCCCCGTCCCTCCATGGAGGGGGCGCACGATGGGCTGTGATGCGAGAAGCAAAAGGGGGAAGAGGACGGGCGGGGGTAGCGTGCGCGTGTAGTAGAGGTACATCGTGAACCTTAGACAGGAGAAGGGACAACGACGACGACAACGGGTAGACGGGGAGAACAACACAGGAGCCCAAAGAGAAACCGCGCGGGGCGCAGGTGCTTTCTAGGTTGGAGGGGAACAGAGAGGGGGTAGCACCTTGCTCCGTGGGTGTCCTCGAGGAGCTCCTCGAGCGCGCGTCCGTCCGTCACCGAGATCGCCGAGGTGAGCGCCATCGCAAGCGAATCGCAAGCGAGGATGCTGACGATCGCCTTCCGCCACCGGCAGCGACGCCGCCGCCGTCGACGGGGCCTCGGCTCCCGGCATCATCGAGCCCGGTGGGCTACGACTGCAACGTCGTCCAAGCGAGACCACGAGGGGTTTACTTGTAGACCTTGCCGAACATGATGGCCTGGAGCTTGTCGTATCCGGACAGGACACCGGCACCGGCGATACCACGGAGAATGTTGGCGCCGGCACCCTTGAAGAGCGACTTGACACCCTCGGCGGCGACGATCGAGCGGCCGGCGTCGAACATGTTCTTGTAGTGGACCTTGCCACCCGAGGTCATCATCATGCGGCGACGGATGGTGTCGAGCGGGTACGAAGCGATACCGGCACCGGTGGTGACACCCCAGCCGAGGAGGAACGAGGCGAGGAAGTTGTCGGCGAGGTTGCCGGTGAGGAGGACGGGCTTGAGCGAGTCGTACATGCCGAAGTAGAGACCGCGGTAGACGACGATGCCGACGACCGAGGGGACGAAGCCACGGTAGAGACCGGCGATACCGTCAGAGGCGATGGTCTTCCTGTAGACGTCGACGAGGCCGTTGAACTGGCGCTCGCCACCCTTGCCGGCCGACTTGGCGTCGTTGGCGAGACGGGTACGGGCGTAGTCGAGCGAGTAGACGAAGAGGAGCGACGAGGCACCGGCGGCACCACCCGAGGCAAGGTTGGCCGAGAGCGACTTCCAGTAGGGGGCCGACTTGGGGACCTTGAAGAGCGACTTGAAGAAGTCCTTGAAGGCGAAGTTGAGGGCCTGGGTGGGGAAGTAGCGGATGACGTTGGCAGTGTTGCCGCGCCACAGCGAGACCATGCCCTCCTGCTGGTAGGTGCGGACAAAGCAGTCGCCGATGCCCTTGTAGGGGGTGGCGAGGCGGCCCTGCTTGATCATCTCATCCTGGTTCTGGATCAGGAGCTTGATGCGCTCAATGGGGGCAGCGGCGGTCTTGGAGACGGCGGCCGAGACACCTCCCATGAGGAAGTCGGCGGCGAAGCCGCTGAGGGTCTTCTGAGTCTTAGCGGGGTCGGCGACGGTACCCATTTTGACTGGGGAGAGGGGCGGGGAAGGGAGGCAGTGGGCGGGGCGTCGAGGGTCAGCATGTGCTGAGAACGGTCAAGGGTGGCTGTTCGACGCTCGACAGCTTGCGGCCACCTGCGCTGCGAGAGCCCCCGCCAAGTTAGGGCGCAACACACGGCTGATCCCTTCCATAGCTGGTGGGCGCGAGAGCATCGGCAGCTCCGACGGTCCCTGCAGAGCAGGCGCCCTTGCGAGCATGTCCCTGAACGTCACAGTCAGGGCACGACGAGAGCGGTCTAAAGCGCCGATGCTCGATGCCCCGACAAAGACAGCAGACGACGACGCCGAGACCGTCGACGACAACCGACACCGATGGCAACGACGTTGCGAGCAAGATGCAGCAGCGGCGAAGACGGTCGATGACTGGCAGATCGAGCGCGAGAGAGAGGTCGTCGAGAAACTCACCGGATGTAGTGATGATGGGGAGGAGGGGGAGGAGTGGTGGTTAGGTGAAGGTTGAGAAGAAGGAAGCGCGCGGGACGGGCGATTTTGAAGGAAACCGCCGCCCCTCTTGTGGGGCCTGGCTTCCTCCCCGTCGATCGACGACCAACGGCGGGCAGGCAGGCAGGCAGGCAGGCCAGGGCCAGGGCCAGCGGGCAGGCTTTGGCTGGCGAAGGGGAGACAGGGCGCGGGCAGGCGGACGGCAGCGGAGATTTGGCGCCGGTTCGATCCAGCTGGCGCACCCGGCCACGGCCACAGCCAGGCCAGGCCAGGCGGTCGGGCGGACGGACGGGCGGACGGGCGGGCGAGCGAGCGAAGAAAACGGCCGGGGGCAGGCAGCCAAGCAACGGGCAACGCAAGGCAGCCAAGCCCGGGGCGACCGGGAAGAAGAAAATTTCAGAGCCGCGAGCACGCGCGCAGGCGGCAGCAGAAGGCAGGCAGGCTGCTCGCTGGCTCGCTGGCGGGCTGCTTGTCGATTTCGCCCTGGTGCGCTCGGTCCGCTCGCCAGCAGCAACCAGCAGCCAAGCCCCACGCGCATCGTATCGGTCCCTGCCTCGGTCGCCGAGGCGCGGCGCCACCAAACCTGACGCTCCGGCTACGACGCCGGCGACGAGCCAAGCAGGGGTGGCGAGCGAGCAAGCAGGCAAGCAAGAGACAGACAAGAGGCCGGCCGGCCGGCCGGCCTGCTGCCGCTGAATGGACAGCGCCCGCCCCCAGACTGGCCGCAGACGAAGCAAGGCAGGGCTCACCCCCGACTTAACAACCCACAGGTGAGAGAGGGGAGACTTCGACTTCGCCCATGACGGCCAAAAGACCAAACGCGGGGCAGGTCGAGGCGAGGCGAGGCGAGATGGCCGTATCGGTGTGCTGCCAGCGCAAACCCAGCCACCCACGCAGGGCACAAAGCAAGCAAGATTCGAAATCGGCGCATGGCAAGTGCCGCAGTCGAAACCTCGGATGAAACCGGACGAGGCCTGAGCGTCCGAGAGGGTCGCGGGTTTTTTGAATTTCTTCTTGTCGCGTCGACTTTGCTGGCCGGCCTGGCCTGCCTGTCGAGCTGCAGCCTGCAGCCAGGGTGGGCAAGGCCGGGCTGCGAGCCCGTGCGCGGCTGGCCAGAGATAGGCGCGCTTCGCACTCGGCCGAGAGTTCTGGGCCCGGAGCCATCGGTAGGTCGCCGCTCGCGACTCTCGTGTAGCTTCCGACCGCGCCTGGCGCATCAATCGCCGGACGCCGACTGCGCAGTCGCTCATCCGCAAGCCACTCTCTCTGTCACGGTCGAGGCGATGCTCAGGTGTGCTCTTCGATCTCAAGCTAGCCTGCCTGCTACAGACATGCGGCCTCTGACACTGCGCATCCTCGCTCCCTGTCCGAGGCACGCCTTGTGGCCGCGGCATCATCTCGACTCGTCGCCAAAGATGCGCGCGCGTGCGAGGCGGTACTCCTCTTGCCGCTGCTCGACCGTCTTGCGCTCCGGAGGCGTACTCGAGCCCGAAGACGAACCTCCCATGCCGACGCCCGCAGGCACGTCTCGAGGCCGCTGCAGGATCCGAGGAGGAGCTGGACCGGGTCCACCGCCGTAGGTGCCGAGCTGCGGCTGCGGAAAGCCTGTCGAGGCCCCGCCCCCACTGCCCCCGCCCGGGTTTGAAGCGAGGCCAGAGCCGTACGCCGTGGGAGGCAAGGTCCGGCCATGGTCGTTGATCACCGGCATGGGCATCGGGGCCTGGTTGTTGCTGCGTCGACGGACAGCATGGCGAGGAGGTAGCGCGCAAGAGAGGTCAACAAACGAACAGGTACGCCCGACACGGTCCATTGCATGGATACGCATGGCCCCAACGTCCGGAATGGACATCGGAGACTGCCACCACTCACGCCTGGTTCCATTCGTCCTTGCTCGCACGGAAGGGATCGTGAGCCTGCGAGCCCGAGAGCCCGTCGTCGCTGTCGGCTTCCCAGTCGTCGACAACAGCACCCTGCTGGTCCTGCCGGCGTCCGGGCCCCGTTCTGCTCGAGCGGAACTTTTGCGTGGCGACGATACCGTCATGGTAGGATTGCGGCTGTTGATGCTGCTGCTCCTGCTGCTGCTGCCCGGGCAGCGGCGGCGGCGGCGGCGGCGGATGCTGCTGATATTGATTCTGTGGGTATTGCTGTTGCACTTGCGGCGTCGGAAATCCGGCAGCATTCGGCGGCGGACCGCCCGCGGGGTAGCCATACTGAGGTGGCGTCGGCTGGTACGGGACGTGCTGAGAGGGATAGCCAGGTTGCTGACCGGGCGTTGCAGCGCCGCCTGGTTGCGAAAAGGCGTCGTGCTGCGGTCCAGGGTGCGGAAAGGGCTGGTGTTGCTGGTCCGGGACCCCAGCGGTCTGAGTCTGCTGCGGCTTACCAGCGCCGCTCGACGGGGCGTGCGCGCTTGCGGGTGGCAGGTCTGGCTGGCCCTGGAGCTCTCCGACGCTGACGCCCTCGTTGCCGATGTCGTCGGGCACCGTGATGCGGACCTTGGGCAGGAACTTGCGCACTTTTGACTCGACCTCCTGCTGGACGTAGCGCCACGTCGCCCCTTCGAGCTTGCGGTGACCTCCCGCGACGATCGACGTGATGGCCGCCTGCAACGCCTGCTGGAGCCGGCGGATGAGGCGGCGAAGCGAGTCGATCAACTTGGCCTTGATGTCGTCGCCGAGGCCGCGAGAGCCTGCGCTGTTGTTGCCCGATCCTGGACCCCCCGGGCCAAGGCTCGGGTCGAAAGGATTGCCGCCGAGGACCTTTTCGAGCGGGCCCTGGATCTCGTCGGGCAGCGCTTCGAAGAGCTGCTTCTCGATCTGGCCGAGCGCCTTTCTAAAGTCGACGCGGACATCCCGATGCACGCGGGCCAGTCCGGTGCTGAGCTTGTCGCTGATGACACCCGAAAAGCCGCCTTTGCCGCCGCCGCTGTCTCCTTGCCCGCCCTCTGCCGGATCGCCGTCAGTCGCATGGCTCGCGGACCGATCCTTGCTACCTCCTCCGCCACTGCTTTTGCTGAACATGCCCGAGAGGCCGGAGACGAGAGACGAGATCTCACCCTTGAGGCCGTCACCGAGGTCGCGCGTCGACGTATTGCCACGCAGCCAGCGCTTGAGGTGCTCGAGCGCGATGTCGGTGAAGCGCCCGGGGATGGGAGCATGTTGCTGGCGGAGCATCGCGCCGACCTTTTCGCGGACGTCGGGGATGAGGATGCGAGCCTTTTGCTCGGGGTCGCACGAAGCGTCCTTGACCGCGTCGCTAAGGACGTCGAGGATGCCCCCGAAGCGAGCGGGCTGGCCCGAGCCAGCGGCGCCGGCCACATCCGATACGGCCTCGAGCGCCGCAGACAAGAAGCCGCGCGCGCCCTTGCCGAAGGCGGAACCATTGCCCGCGCCGTCGACAGCCGCCCTGCTCTGCCCTTGCTGGCCGCCTTGCTGGATCTGCGACCCCGAGCCGGTCAGGCTGAAGATCTGACCGAGGTCGTCGTCGGCATCGTCCATCGCGTCCTGGATCGACTTGGCAAACGTGGCCAGCTCGTTGGCAAACGGCAGCGCCCGCCCGCCGTAGAAGTCTGGCGGGCGATCGTCGATCGACCTCGCACCCGCCGTCGGCATCCCCGACGGAACACCCGGGCCATCCCGGCTGGATCCCGAGGGAGGCTTGTTGAATAGCCCACGGAAGGCGGCGATGACCTGCTCGTCGAGTCCGTCGACTGTGGCGCGCTGGAAAGTGTCGATCTCGCGGGCGATGAGCGGCTCGATCTGCGGCCGCAGAGAGTCGACATAGCGGTCGATCTGAGCCATGACGACGTCGGGAATGCCGTGACGGCTCTTGCCCAGGTCCTGCGAGGCGCTCATGGCGTCGAGAGGGCGGGCGCTTGACGACAAGGGAGCGAAATGGTGAGAGAGCGAATGAGTGAGTGGCGGAGGCTTGGGTCAAATGAGTGGTTGCGGGGTGGGCAGGCAGGCAGGGCGGCAGGGGGGCAGTGTGGCAGGCCGAAGGAAGCGGCTAACTAGCGGCTGGCGGCTGGGTGGTCAGTGCCTCGCCGCCTCGACCCCAGCCTGGCAGGAGAGGCGGGCCAGGCGAGGCAGGTCGCCGGATCTCGGCCACGCCGAGACAGGCCCGGCCCGCTCAGCAAGCCAAGGCCAGGCGATGTGGAGGCGAGGGTCGGTCTTGGTTTGGCGTGGCCTGGCCTGGTCTGGCCTCTTCCCGTCTGCCATCATCACCCTCTTCTCTCTCGTCTGGATTTCGACACTCGCCCATCCCACCGCCGTCCCCGCTTTCCTCTTCCTCTCCGCCCCACCGCGCTCAGGCTGCCCCTCGCCCTCAACATCGGCCTTGCTCACTGTCGGTAGCATCCGACTGCGGCCGCAGCCACACCTCGCCTTTTCCTTGGACCTGGCATTGACCCTGCCCGGGTGGCGAAAAAGGCGCTTCCAGGTCACCCGTCGCCCCCAATCGACCCGCACTCGAGTATTCAGCTGCTCTTTGTCCCTCTGCATCCGCATCGATCCTTTGCTCTTACTCTGGACTTGCATCTCCGGCTTCGCCTCTGTCTCGATTTGGCGAGAGGCCCATCACCATTCCGCACCTCGCCGCTCTCGCCATCTCAGCGGCCCAACGCCTCCCTCGAAGGCCTCCCTGGCCGGCCGCTCGCTCCAGTCCCTACTCCAGCCGCTCTCGACCGTCCGCCATGGCCACCGCCGACACGGACCCGTCGAAGCCGCCGACGACGCACGACGCCTTCGGCTTCTTCCGCCCCCCTTCCTTCATGCCTCCGCTCGATCCCTCGAGCGACTCGGAGCCCGTCCGCACCATTGATTACGCTTCGGCCAACTCCGTCTTTGACGATCTCGCCTCAAAGAGCGCTCCTCCGCCGCCACCAGCAGCACAGCGATCCGCACCTGCCCATTCGCAACACAGCTACGACCCGATTGCCAAGATGTCGTCGCGCGTGGTGCGGCCCCTTCCCCGCGCCCACATCGCAGAGACCGCACCAGCTTCTGCCAGCGACGCGTCCGCATCCGCATCCGCATCCGCATCCGCACCTCTGCTCCCACCACAGTCGAGCGCGCAGGGACCATCGATGAGTCCCAACAAGCCCGAGCACGGTGCTTCCTCCTCGACATCTCCGCATACAGCCCCATCCTCCGGCGCCACAGGGTCTTCGACGACGGCGACGACGACGACGACCATGCCCACCACGCCCTACAAGCATCGCCAGACCCTCCAGCAGCAGGATGATGCGGCCCGCCGTCAGGTCGAGGTCGACCGCCGCAACAAGGCACGCGAAGAGGAGAGGGTCCAGCGCCAGCACGATATCCAGAGGCAGGTCGAGAAGAACATGGAGGCGGTCCGCTCGGAGCGCGAGGCCGAGCGTGTCGAGCTTCTGGCCCAGCGTGAGCTCTGTGCCCGGGCCGCTCTACAGGTTGGGCCTGGCCAAAGCGTCGACTGGGATCGACCGGTAGGAGCCCTGGACGCGGACGAAGCCATCGGCAGGCAGGTCCGCGCACACTGGGAGTCGTCGCGGCCGAGCGCGCAGTCGATGAAGCGTCGCGAGCGCGTCGTCGACCGCATACAGGCGGCCATCGATGCGCGCTGGCCGGGCTTCGGCCTCCAGGTGGCGCCATTTGGCTCGAGCGTCACCGGCCTCGTCTCGGACCGCTCTGACCTTGACCTGGTGCTGCTGGACCCGACCAAGCCCTTCGGCGTCGGCACCCCGCCTTTCCTCGAAAGCGAACCGATGCGGCGCACCCGTCAGATCGAAGGCATGCCTGACTGGTACAACGTGCGTGTCGTCGCCGCCGCGCTCAAGGCGAGCAACGCCAGAGGCGGCCGTCCGGAAAAGTTTCGCAACATCATCGCCATCAGCCACGCCAACGTGCCAATCAGTGAGTGGTCGAGTAGCTCGGGGCGCCGTCTGCCCGCCGTGTGCGCTCCCTAGTCCGCTCCGCCTTGGGTCGACCAACTGACCATGTACGCCCATATCATCTGTACCCCCTGCCCCCTCCTGCTTCCGCTCCGCACGCCCCCTCCGCCCATGCAGTCAAGCTCGTCGACGTCGAGACGGGTCTGCCCGCCGACCTCAACATCAACGAGAGGTTCGGCCTGATCAACAGCCATCTGATTGCGACGTATGCCAACCTGCTGCCGAACGTCTTCCGTCCCTTTGTCTTTTTCGTCAAGCACTGGCTCTCGCAGCGCGGCCTCAACGATCCCAGCGGATCCAAGGGCCCGAACAGCCTCAGCAGCTACACGATCGCGCTCATGGCGATCCAGTATCTCCAGGTGTGTCAGCTGCTTCCCAACCTGCAGGACCCGGCGCTCATCGCTGGCCTCGAGATTCCGCGCTCGTTCATCTGGGGCCGACGCAAGAAGGGCCGCGGCGGCAAGGGTGGCGGTGGCGCGCCCGGTCCCGCGCCGGCACCGGGCTACGACGTCACCTTTGCCCAGCTCACCGCCGGTGGGTACGACGAGCAGGCGTACCGCAACATCGCCGCCTCCTGCCCCAACGTGCGCTCGCCGGGGGACAAGCTGCTCGGCCAAATCGTCAATGGTTTCGTCGGATACTACGCAGACCAGTTTGCGAGGCAGAGCCAGGCTGTCTCGGTGGTGTCGGGCCGCCCATTGCCGCTTCAGCGCGGGGGCTCGCCTTCAACACAGTCCGGTCCCAGCTCGGACACGAGCGGCTCCCCGCCAGGCAGACAGTCGCAGCTCGACATTTTCGGAGGCCGAGCTCAGGCAGAACCGTACGGCGCGGCCGTGCCGCCGGGTGTCATGGCGATGGACAACTTCAGCCAGCCTCAGGACTGGGCGCAGCACGAGCTGGTGGTGCAGGACCCTTTTATCGTCGACCGCAACACGTCGAGGAACATGGGCGAGAAGATGGCGCACAGGCTCGATGCCGAGCTGCGCAGGGCAAAGGAGATGCTCTCGTCTGGCCGCACCGGCGGCGGCGGGGCCAGCAGTATCGCCGTGCGCGACCTGCCGCTGATCTGCGACATCTGCGCGCCGCTGTCGACCGACTTTGGCGGCCAGCGCCACCGGCTTCCTGACCGCCCGGCCGCTACTGCGACGGGCCCGGCGGCGGGCAAGGCTCACCTCGACCAGGCCGAGACCAACGCCTTTATCCGTCAGGAGTCTGAGAAGCTTAGGCTGGAGCTCGAGCGCTCCACGATTGCGCAGGGAGGCGACCCGGCAAAGCAGGAGGCCAGAAAGGAGGCCAAGAAGCTGAAGGCCATGGCCAAAAAGGCGGCGGATCGCAAGCGAGCTCGCCCGCCGCAGAGCAGCGAGGCGGACGGTGTTCCCATGGAGCGACGGCGGTCGCCCAACGCCAGCGGCGTCAGCAGCGGGGCGCAGTCAAAGGCGGTGGCTTCTCCCGCCCCGAGCGGCGGCTCTCCGAGCCTGTCGACGACGTCGGAAGAGTCCGAAGACATTGACCTGGTGGCGCTGCGACTCGACAGGGCGAGACAGCAGCAGCAGCAGCAGCAGTCGGCAGGAAGCCGCCGACAGTAGGCGACAGGCAGAGAGCAGCGCCTTGCTGGTCCCAACCCATCTGATCTGCTCTCGGTGCACGCCAAGGGCCGGTTCTCTCAGCTGGCTCGATCGCTCGACTTTTCCCGTCCCCCGGTACTCTGGCTCTCTCTCTGAAGTGCATCGTGACTGGCTCGTAGGCATCAGAACAAGTGCAATCTCGACAGCAGGCCTTCTTCTTGCCTGCCCCTTTTCGTCTCCGCCGTCAGTCGATGGGATGGGTAGACAGGAGAGCCAGAGAGGGCAGGAGGGCTCAAGCTGAGCTGGGTAGGTTGACGTTTTCGCCCGATTTGTGGCATGCTTTTCGGGTTTCGCGCCCGAGGAGGGCCTGGCAGGCTAGCTGTCTTCCGCTGCACGTTGGCTGCCTCGGCGCGGGGGACTCCGGCGAAAAGCGCGCGTCCCATGACGGCCAGGCCAAGGCCTGCCTGCCTGCCTGCCAGCCAACGCAGCAAGCCGGGTGGCAGAGGGAGGCCACATACAGGGCAGCCTCGTCTCGGCCCGCCCGCAGCAGCCAAAGGGGTTTGTGGGCTTGCTGGCCTCCACCCTCCCCCTCTCTCCTCCGACCCGCCCACCTTCCCTTCGCCACCGCCACCTCGGTACCCACCCCTCTGCCCGCGACGCTACATCGACCGTCACGGCGACACACTACTACGTAACTGACAAGCCTGGATCCCCGCAAACGCACGGCCCGCTCTCGACTCTGCTCCAACATTGGCCCGCCCGTCCACTGCGCAGCATCAGCACTAGCAGCAGCGAAAACGGCGCCAGCGACTGTCGTTTCTACGTACCGTCTCTCAACCTCGATCCAGCCCTTGCTTTCTACCTCGCCCTCGCCCTCGCCACCGGCAGCCCAACGCCCACCATGCCTAGCGACGGCGGCAAGAAGATCGACATCACGAGCCCCAACTCGCTCCAGCCCGCACGCTCGCCCGAGCGCGCCTTCAACAACTATGGCGCCTCGCCCGTGCTGCCCAACATCCCACCGAGGATAGGCTCTCCATCGGCCGAGCCCCTCAACCTCAACTTCTCGGGCTCGCCCCGGCCGGATCTCTCGGGCTTCAACAGCAGGCGGCTGCTCTCTGACCCTCCGTCGCGGGATACCAACTCCATACCGCCAATCGAGAGCGACGTGTCCACGCCCGTCAACCTCAACGACCTCGACAGCCTGCCCATCTCCGACGAGAGGAAGGCCAGGATCATCGAGAGACAGTGAGCTTGCCTGCTCCGCCCCACCCGACCCCCATCGCTCATGCGGAAGCACAGAGACGGACATCCGCCAACCGAAGCTGACACGCGCATGCACCTGTTTCACCCCTTGCCCTCAGCCTCGCCCGTCCAGATTCTGCGCAGAGAGACACTGCCTCGGCTTCAGGCATCACCCTGGGCTCGACCGCTCGCGGTGGGGACCAGGGTGGAGCAGATGATGACGACGACGGCCCATCGCGCTCCTCGCGGCCGCGCTCCGCTGCCGATCGCAGCGACTCCTTCTCTCAGAGCGAGTCGGCCGTGGAAGATGGCGAGGGTCAAGACGACGATGAAGACGACGACGAGTACAGGGGTCCGCACGCGATGCAGGGCGGCGCCATCACCGACGAGGTCTACCGCTGGGCACACAAGAACCGCAGGGTGTCGACCCGGAGGACGCGCAGCGAGAGCCTCCACCTGCCCCGCACCCAGACCATCGATCCCGAGCTCGACGTCTCGGGCATCAAGGAGCCTGGCGGTTTCCGCAGGTTCTTCGTCATCAACCAGGCCGCCGAGCAGGGCCGCCCTGCGCCGCGGGCGCTGCGCAGCTTCATCGACTTCCTCAGCCTCTATGGCCACTTTGCCGGAGAGTACCTGGAGGAGGACGACGACGACGAGGATGAGGATGAGGACGAGGAGGGCCTGGACGACGAGGAGCGCGCCATCCCTGGCAGCAGCCGCGATGCCGGCCGCGGCTCCACCGAGAGGTCCGCGCTGCTGCGCGGCCGTCCGGGCGTGTCGAGGAGCGACACGCGCTCCCGCATGCGCAAGGCCAGCCAGGACCGGCGGCGCGGCGAGGCGTCGGTTACCGACGCCGTCATGATGCTGCTCAAGTCGTTTGTCGGAACGGGCGTCCTCTTCCTCGGCAAAGCCTTCTACAACGGTGGGCTCCTCTTCTCGACGATCACGCTGTGCTTTGTGGCCTTCGTTTCGCTCGTCTCGTTCCTGCTGCTGGTCAAGGTCAACCTCAAGTGCCCGGGCAGCTTTGGCGACATGGGCGGCATCCTCTACGGCCCCAAGATGCGCTTCGCCATCCTCGCCTCGATCGTCTTTTCCCAGCTGGGCTTCGTCGCCGCCTACACCGTGTTTGTGGCCCAGAACATGCAGGCCTTCATCCTCGCCGTCACGCACTGCGACAAGCTGGTGCCGATTGCGTACCTCATCCTCGCCCAGATGGTCGTCTTCCTGCCGCTCAGCCTCGTCCGGAGGATCGCCAAGCTGTCTTCGACGGCGCTCATCGCCGACTTTTTCATCCTGCTCGGCATCGTCTACCTCTTCTACTACGAGATCGGCAAGGTGGCCCGCGACGGCCTTGCCGACGTCGTCATGTTCAACTCGAAGAGCTACCCGCTCTTCATCGGCACCGCCGTCTTCACGTTTGAGGGCATCGGCCTCATCATCCCCATCACCGAGAGCATGAAGGAGCCCGAGCGCTTCCCCAAGGCGCTCAGCGGCGTCATGGCCGGTGTCATGGTCCTCTTCGCTTCGGCCGGCGCCCTCTCCTACATGGCGTTTGGCAGCAAGATCCAGACCGTCGTCATCACCAACCTGCCGCAGAACTCGCGCTTCGTCCAGGCTATGCAGTGCCTCTACAGCCTGGCCATCCTGCTCTCGGCGCCGTTGCAGCTCTTCCCGGCGCTCGGCGTGCTCGAAAAGGGCCTCTTTAGCAGGAGCGGCAAGTACAAGTGAGTCCAGTCGTGGCGTCTGAGTGGCATGCCCGCCATCGTTGCGCATCGCGACCGAGCTCGAAGCCTGCCGGCAATGCGCAGTCCGCTGACATCGTCGTCCTTCGTCACTCTCTCGATCCCTACGTCTCGCCACGCACTTGACCCACACGCATCCGCTCGCCCTCGGCGTTCGCCCGCTGCAGCTGGAAGGTCAAGGCGGAGAAGAACGCCTTCCGTTGCCTGGTCGTGGCCGTCTGCTCGCTGGCAGCGTGGGCTGGAGCCAACGACCTGGACAAGTTTGTCAGCCTGGTCGGCTCCGTGGCGTGCGTGCCGCTCTGCTTCATCTACCCGCCGCTGCTCCACCTCAAGGCGGTGGCCACCAAGCCGGCGACCAAGGCGCTCAACTACGCTCTGCTCGCCTTTGGCGTTGTCTGCGTCGTCTTTGCAGGTAGTCAGACGGTGAGTGTCGTCGCAGTGCGATCCGACGCAAGGCTGGGCAAGGCCCCTCCCCCACGTGCAGGCGGGCCACAGATGCTGACTCCCGCTGCAATCCCGTCCGGCACCGTCCTTCCCTCTGGCCGTGTCTAGGTCCAAGCCATGCTCGAGGACTCGGCACCGGCTGGCCCGCCCACCTGCCGACCCAACTGAGCCCGGTCCGCAAGGATATAGGCCAGGCTCAACCTGCCTTGGTCGTCGCGTCGACGACATGCCAAGAGCGCCTCCGCTCCAGCTCACCGCCCCCTAGACCATAAAGATCCGCAGCATCGACCCTTGTCCCCAGATCACGCTTCCCACCTCCCCATCAGCACAAGCACCGTCCGCCTCCCGTCCCATGTCGTCTCAAAACAATCCGCACCTCACTCCGTCGTCCCGTCGTCCTACCACCAAGGTCCCAAGAACGTAGACATGGTTCTCCCACGACCGCATCCCTCCCGTCCCCACCTATCGGGCGCATTCCTCTTTCGCCTCGCTCCAGACCAATCAGTTGCGGCGATGTACAATGACACCTACTGGTCGACGAAGAGCCAGCCGAGATGCGGCGGCCGTGGTTGGATTAGCTCGAGACCTGGCATGCCACATCAGCGGCTACAGGGAGGCGGCGCTCGTAGGCGCTAGCCTGCAACACGAAGAGGGGATCAGAGCTTGGACAGGACGGCCTCGGCCGACGAGACGTCGAGGGCGCCGGGCGACTCCTCGGCCTGCAGAAGAGAAAGCCAAAAGCGATCGGGCCAGAGGCGGGTCAGCACACCGCGCCGTCTCTGACCAATGCGACACCGGGCCAGATCGACATCGAAGGCGAGGCAAAGGGGGGTGGACGCGACTCACGGCAAAGTACGACACCTTGAGGTCATCGGCGACGAGGGCGTATCGGCCGGTCCTGACGCCGAAGCCGGCGGCCGACATGTCGACGGTGGAGCCGACGCCCTTGCTGAACTCGAGGTTGACGTCCGAGGCGAACACGACCTGGTCCTTGCCCTTGTTCTGCACGCCCCACGCGCTCATGACGAAGGGGTCGTTCTGGGCGATGACGTAGATCTTGTCGACGCCCTTGGACTTAAACTCCTGCAGCTTCTCGAGGAAGGGAGGGATGTGGCGCACGTGGCAGGTCTGCGGGGTCGGCGGGGCGCGTGGCGGTCGCATCGTTTGGGGGAGAGGGAGAGGGGAGAGGGAGAGGGAGAGGGCGTTCGCGGTCAGCATCGGTTGTGCACGGTCGCGGTCTCTCTCGCTGATCTCGAGACGGGCGCGGCTACTCACGGGAGTGTAGGCGCCGGGGACCGAGATGATGACGACCTTCTTGCCCTTGAACTCGTCGTGGGTCTGGAACTTGGTGGGAACGCCGCAGGCGGTGCCGTCGTCGAGCTCGGGCGACCACGGCACGTAGGCGAAGGTGGCGTTGGGGATGGTGTCGCCCTTGGAGATGGTCTGGAGGCGTCGAAGCGATCCGAGCACACCGAGAGGGCCGGCGGCAGCGACGTCGTTGCGTGAGGCGGGGCGACGGGAGGCCGAGAGACCGAGACCGGCGAGAGAGTGGTGGCATCGAGAGGCGGCGGTGAGTCTCTGCGATAGCTGCGAGCCCAACAGCCGCGTCGACGAGGATGGGAGCCCGGCCGACAGCATGGTGCTGGCCAGGTGCCGAGATGCCGCACTCACCATTTTGGAAGATGGCTTAGCGGGGGTGATGGGGCTACGAGAGATGTAGGAATGGTGATGTGGTTCCGAGTAGTGGTGATGGTGGTGGTGGTGGTGGTGGTGAGGGACGGCGACGGGACTGTGGGTTGATGTTGCCGTCCTCTGCTGCTGCCTGCTGCTGCTGAGTGCCGCGATGGAAGACCTCAGAAGACCGTGCAAGACGCTGCAGCCTGGCCCGCCCGTGCGGTGCGGCCCGCCGGCAATCGCCGGTTCGCCGAAGCGCAGCACTCGACCGGCCCGTGCCTCACGCAGCGCCGCATGCCTGCCTCAGACGAGGCGATTCGCTGAGCCGCACGAGTGAGCAGGGCTGGATTTCGACGCGCAGCGCTCGCGCTTTCTCCACACGCGGCGAGGCGAGGCGAGGCGAGGGCTCTAGGGCTGCGGGTGGCCTGGCCTGCACCCTGGATTTCCATCCTCGCCCCTGCCTCGCCATCCCCCGCCCCATCCCGAGCTCCTCGACGACAACAACCGCGCACACCAAAGGAGCAGCGAGCGCTTTCAACTAAGAGCTAGTCGGGGCAGAGGAACGGAAGATCCGACAGACTACGACCCGCGACCACCAGCAGCAGCAGCAGCACGACGAGAGGAGTATGGCACCGAAGCGGCAACGCCTCTCTGACCCGCACGGACCGACGGCCTCGTCGAGCAGCGCCAGCTCGGCCTCCGTAGCCGGACCATCCCGACCTCGACTCGATCCCAACCGCCACCTCGACCCGCTGGCAAGGGCACAGCCTCCCCCGGCAGCAGCGTCGGCGCTCGCTCCGATGGCCACGCCGCAACACCAGGGCGGCCGGCGCAGGTCCCTCTCCAAGTCGTCGCAGGCCACGCCGGAACATCCGCACCGGACCGCGCATTTCCCTACCGCCTCGCGGAGCGCCATGGGCCCACCGCAACAGCTCGCTCGCTTTCCTGCACCGCCACAGGCCGGCCCCTCCCGTCTCTATACGCCGGCACCCCATCCGAACGGCGATCCTTCTGGCGGTCACCACCTGCACGGCTACCCACGCGATTCGGCAGGGCCCGACGATGGCGGCGCCGACGAGGCACCCATGTGCGTGTTCCAGTGCAAGGGCTGCCTCCGCCTGGTCGGCGATACGTTCAGCTACGTCCACGTCGACGAGACGCTGAGGTACCTCGTCCTGTCCGGTGAGTTTGACGCAAGAGAGCCGAGCCTGGCCCACCTCTTTCCCACGCCGGAAGATCCGAGACGGGCATCGCCGCCGAATCTAGTCTCTGTCTCTGAACTCTGTCTCGATCGCTGCGACCGAATCCTCAGCGACGACTGTGGATGTCCGCGTCAAGGAAGGCCTCCTTCACATCACGACGCAGACCCCAGACCTCGGAAGCTCGTACCTGGCGCTCGAGTGTGCCGGCTGTCAGACGGACCTGGGCAAGAAGTATGTGACGACGCCGCGGGAGCTCGACGGGCTGCGCGGCGCCTACAGTCTCATTGTCGACAACGTCTCGACGTAAGTCTTGCTCCGGGCGGCATCCTTCCGATCGAGTACAGGCAGGCAGGCGGGGGGAGATCGTGAAAAGGCCGCTGACGACGACCACCGCCGCTTCTACAGGTACACTCTCGGCTCCTGCGCTCGGGATCAGGGCGACGGAGGGACGGCGTCATCCTTGGCTTATCCGGCCCACACCATCAGCGCCGCTGCACCAGCGTCTGCTGTCGGGCCGCCCGCGTCTCCATTCGGTCAAAGCATAGACCACAAAGTACGTTCGTTCGCGCGGCTGCCTCTCCCGACCCGCTGCGTCTCGATCCTTCTGGGCTCACTCTGACGCCTCTTCCCCGCCCACGCTAGTCGCGGAGATTCCTGCGCGAGATAGCGGACCGCGTGATGCGGCTCGAGACCGACCAGCGTGGCATCAACCTGCTCGTCAAGACCATCATCGAAAGGACCGGCGTGCAGCTCTCCGACGACGACGACGACGAGGATGCGCCCGAAGACGACGACCGGCGGGCAGGGATCTCCCGGTCCTAGCGTCGCACCTCGTCCGCCCGCCATCACCAAGGCATCTTGTCGCCGCAGGGTGGGCCCCTTCGCAACTCTCTCGGTCCTGGAAACGATCCACATCTTGCTTAAGCCAAGACGACATCCGAGGCCCCCTTTGCGTGCCCTCGTTCTGTATTCTCCTCTTGTACCAACATCCGCTACCGTTGCTGCGCTGCGCTGCGCGTTCAGGACACCCATCCATACCCGCTTCCCCGAACAGGTGTCGTCGCCTTCGGCGCGCAAGGGGCGGAGAGGTACATCATCGAGACACTTGCTCGATGTAGCTGCCGTGGATCTCGTCGACAAACGCCGGGTCGGTCTGCCGAGGGAACCGCAGAGTGCACGATCGGCCAATCAGCAAGGGCAACGAGCAGTCGTAGTCCCATGCCTTGGGGATCGCGATTGCCTCGACACGTCCAACTCACATGGACGAGGGACAGGAGCTCGCGGATGAACTCTCTCCGTGACAGCGGCTGACCGTCGTCTCCGAGGCCGATGCGGCCTTTGACGCCGTCGGCGATCAGGTCGCTCATCTTTGGCGCCTGCGCAGGCCCTCCGTGGACCGTTGGCTGGTCGTTGGTCGACTTTGACCCTTCGCCCTCGCGATGAGACGCGGCAGGAGGGACAATTGCTTGGTCCCCTTGGTGGTCAGTCCCTGCCCGCGTCGCTGCCTCGGCGGCGGTCTTTCGGGAAGCGGCCGCCACGGGAGAAGGTGGCGCTGGTGCATCGGGAGCGTCCGACGCCGGCTTGACGCCGAGCAAGGCCAAGAGATTCTGTGCCGAACCGTTCGAGTTAGGGGCTTCCGAGCCGTTGGCTTTGGAAGGCTCTGTTCTTGACGAGGGCCCCGCTGCACCTGTCTTTTCTTCCTCGGAGGCAGCGGGAGTGTCGCCTGCGGGCGACTGGATCGCAGCTTGCTGGAAGAGGACATTCAACAGGGACGCCTGGTGCGCCGCCTGTGTGGGTTCCACGGGCGCCTCTGCAGGCGCGGGGCTGCCAAAGAGAGCATCTAGGCTGATCGGCTCGGCCTGAGGGGTCGAGGCGGCTTCCGTCGAAGCGCCGTTGACCGGAGCGCCTGGGTCGACGAACGCTTCCTGCACTGCCAGCGGCGCTCTTGGTGCGGGCGCGAGCTCAGCCTCGGGCTTGCTCGGAGGCGACGCCATCTGTTGCAGACTGCCATCGCTCAAAAGGGGGGAGGCAGGGAGCAGGAACAGCCAGGTAGGTGGGCAGGACGACTCTGTGTCAGCCTCGCGCGGCGCCATCGTGAGATAGAGGGGCCTAACCGAGCGACTCACGCAAGCATCTGCTCTCCGATGCTTAGGCGCTGCGATGACTCAAAGATCCAAATGCCGTAGACGTCGTTTTCGCCTGGCCAGAGACGAACGCAGAAGTAGGGCGGCCGAGGACGTCAGCGGAGCCTCCGTGCGGCTGTATCGATCCGCTCCTCGTCTCTGCGACGACTACGCACTGGAGCTGTCGGGCCGGTAGATGATGAACTCGGGCGTGATCTCGAGGTCATCATCGGGTGTCATATCCGCCGAAAAGTTCTCCACGCCGTTGCGGTTGAGGATGAAGAAGCCGTGGTAGGGCGCCTTGTTCCTGTGGCAGCAGCAAATAGCCAGGGGCCAAGCCAAGGAGGGCACCGATCGAGTCAGCCAGCATGCAAGAGATTCGCGCAGCATGCTCTTCTGGCAGCCCCAGGGCCCCGACCTACCTTCGGAAAAGGAACATTGGGCCCTCTACTCCGGTCTTTGTCTGCACGAGTAGCCGACGTAGCGAAGAGCAAGAGGGGGAACGAAGAGAGGTCGCGTCTCTGCGTGAGCGATGCTCTCGTGATCATCCAAGGGCAAGCGGCGACACGGCAGCCTCACCCATTCGGACTGGTGGTTGTAGAGGACCACGAAGGATGCCGAGTCGATGATGTCGACTATCGTGGGGTCATGGCGCCGCAGCACCTTGAGGTTGAAGGCGGTCTTGGCCTCGGTCGTCATCGTTGGGTGAGCGCGGAGCGTGGAGCGGCTGGCAGGCAGGGCCGAGGACCGAGGAGCGAGGCGTCGTTTGGCCCAAGATGTCGAGTCCGGACGACGTGCGCCTGAGAAGGGGTCGGCGTGCTGCTGCAGAAGGCTTGTGGGTGAAGGCGGCTTGCGGTCCGACGGGAAGCGATGAGACGAAGGTGATGGATGTGAGAAGCGGCGCAGGCAGAGATGGGCCGGGCGAAGAGAGAGGCAGGCAGCAAGCAACGAGGTCTCGGGTGTCGGATGCGGCGAGGCCTGCCCATCCTCCACTTTTTCCCCCGCCCTTGTTGGTGCCTGCGCTGGCCTGCCTGGCCGCACGCGCGCGCGTGTCGAGGCTGGGCAGGAGGGTGGGCGGGACCTTCCGACCTTTTCTAGCCTCTCCTTGCTCTGCATGGCTTGCCCTCGCCTCGTCAGCCACGCCTGTCCACCCCAGCCCGGACGACGCCCTTCCTGACTGGCTCGGCAGCCAGCCATCATGACTGACGCACGTCCGGTGGTCACGGCAGGGTCAGCTGAGGTGCTGCTCAGTTGGGCGGCCTCGGTCCAGCCGATCGAGGCTAGGCTGGGGCCAGCACCGCCTTTCGTCTGCGAGGTCTCGGCGCCTGTCCCGTCCCGGACGGCCGCCGCCAGCCTCGCTCCTGGCCTTCCTGCCTGTCCATGCTGCCCACCACCGCACGATGCCCCTGCGAGACTGGCCCGAGCAGGCCCTGACCTCTAACTCGGTTCAGCCTTAGGTTTCGGACCAGCCGCTGGCCTCGTTGGCCGCCCTGCTCGAGCGGCTGCCTGGCTTGCTGTCCTCGCTTTTCTGCCGGAACGCGTGACGATGACTAGAGCGGCGAGGCGGCGCAGAGGCTAGCCGCACTGCTGGCAAAGCTCCCTCCTCACCCAACCTCCCCTCTCTCCCCTCGCCTTCCGACCACCATCATCCGGCATCGACCGTCTTGCGGCATCGACAAGGTCTTCGTCAGGGCCTTCAGCACCCCCTCGCAGCCCGGCTGCCTCGAAGATGGTCGCCATGGCGTCGCCAACCGAGCTGGCGACCAACGTCAAGGACGCGCGCTCGCGGCTGGTGAGCCACTTGCAGGTCCTTGCCACCGGAAGAGAGGGTGATGCCACCAAGAAGACTCCCAAAAAGGGCGCAGCGGAGTCGCCTGGCGGCCATGCCGCTGTGCAGGATGCGATCAAGGACCTGGTGGGTATCGCTTGCTCGCTCGTCGCTGCCTCGGGCCCGTCGCCAGCTCCCCCGAGCGACGCTGATCTCTTCTGCTTTTGGTGGCGGCCGGCCAAAAGCTGGAACGCACCACCCGCTGTTCGCTGTCGGCGGCATGCGTGGAGAAGGCCCAAACGGCACTCAAGGAGCGTATACCAGTCTGGCGTCAGCGACACGCGGACGACTTCTGCACCTTCTTCGTGCTGCTCGACAACTACATCTGGCTCCACGTCGCGGTCAAGGAAGGCGACGCCACGGTCTCATCGCCCGGCGCCGCCAGCCGTAAGACCCGACAGATCCGATACCTCGTCGATTTCTCGCAGTGGGCCTATAGCCAGCTGACAGACAGCATCCGCGGCAAGCGGTCGGAGGGCCAGGAGAAGATCCTCAGTGAGTCGTTCGGGTGGGGACCTGAGTGCGAGGTCTGCAGACAGCCGCGGCTGACGTGTGAGGAGGCGCAATTACTTTGCGGGCACGCAGACAGCTTCAAGAACACCTTTATGCCGTTTTGGGTCGACCTGCTCGACCGTACCCAGCCGCAGCCCCTTCAGCCGTACCGCAAAGCACACGTGAGCCAGCCCATGGGCCCAGCCGTGACGCTGCACTGCAGAAGATTCTCAGATCAGCTTGCTGACCACGAGCCGAGATGCCTTCGACGCACGGCTGCAGATGATCGCGCGGATCCGCGACACCGTCATCACCTCGAACAGAGTCAGGCGCAGCCTGCCGTCGCTTCTCGACCCGTACGTCTGACCGGCGGAGTAGTCTGGCTTTCAAGTCCGCCTCGAGCCGGGGCGAGTAGGGACTTCTGCTGATGATCAACCATGACTTGGCTCGCCTGCATCCCTCACCATCGGTCGTGCACGCAGCCATCGACTCGGCAGCTACCTCGGCCAGTCCACCGGTGAGCGAGATGCGTGTCGACCGCTTCGGCCGAAAGGTCCGGCGCTGACGTCGACTTTGGTACATTTTGTGGCTGCGCAGAGCTCGCGGCGAGCATCGACCTGCTCGAGATCGCGCACTATTGGTCGCGGGAGCTTCAGGCGGACCAGAAAGCTACCTTCTACGAGACCATATTCACGTCTGCCCTCAGAGACGAGCTGCCGCAGGAGCGCGTGCAGCTGTCACCGCAGGCGCACGCAACCTCGGCCGTGCCCTCGGTGCCTGGCAACGTCGAGAGCCTCCTTTTGGCCCGCGAGCTCTCGCAAAAGGCCAGCGCTCTGACGGCGGTGACTTTCGATACGGTGGGTTTGACCCGGGCATGACGTCGCTTTCTTGCGCCGTAGCATCGAATGTCGCACCGCGCTGATCGACGTGGTCTGGGCCCCCGCAGATCTGTGAGAAGATCATTGGCAGGATCGGAGAATTGCAGCTATCGAGGTGAGCGGAAGATCCGCAGCAGCTGCTACGGCGTGCAGAGCAACCGCTGATCCATCTGCCGAGCTCCGGCATCACGCCACTGGCAGGCCGCAGATGTTCGAGTGCCCGACCGCGGCGACAATGGAGCGGGCGCCAGAGTGGCTGGTGCCGCGCGAGCAGCCGCCGGGCTCAAAGCGGTTCCACTTGTGGTTCTCGTCGACGAAGCTCAGCATCGACGTCAAGGACACTTACGAAGTCCAGCGCCTGCTCAAGGTTTGTCTCGAACGTGCCAGCTCGCCCAGAGCAAAGAAGCGGGCGTTTGGGCAGCGTTGCTGACTTCGGACGGCGTTGCATGGCGACAGAGTTACGCTGACAAGGCGCCTGGATGGCACGAGAAGTTGCAAAACGTGGACAGCACCGACTGCGTCATCGCGTTCGAGGACATCGAGGACATCAGCGTCGACAGCCTGACGGGAGGTGAGGCTTCAACGGAACGGCGGCAGGCGACATGGAGGGAGGGTGGATGGTGCAATCGCTGACGCCTTTGGCCGCCTTCATCTGCATCCCCGTTCTCGACATCAGAATGCGACGTTGCCACCAAGCAGCCGATAGTGGTGCAGCAAGGCAGCCAGGGGCAGGTAGACACGACCATGGGCAACATAATCTCGTTCCAGCTGAGCGGCGACGCCACAAGCCGGCTCGCAGGCGTGCTCGGGCAGCGCGGCCTCGTGAGACTCTCCGCGCAAGCCGAGCTTTTTCCTTGGCTGCTGACTACGACATGCTAACACTTGTCCTTGTGACGACTTTGCCACCGTGTCGTTATTTCCATCAGGCCTTCAGATGGCGCGGAGGTCGCTCCGAGACGCCGATCGCGCTTCGGCCGCTCGAAAAGGTCTCGGCACAGCACCTGGACGATAGCGGCTACTTCTCCGGCTCAGACCTCGCCGCAATCGGACCCACAGCTCCCTCGTTTGAAGCTGAAGGGGAGAGGCAGCCGCACCAGGACCAGAGGAACGGACAACGATCCGATCAGCTTGGTGCTGAGCAGCCGGGAACAAGGCGAGACGGCGAGGAGGCAACACCGACTCGCGACGAGGCAACAGGCGACACAGCGTCAGAGCTCATGGAGCAGTACATCGAGTTCGACGATGCAGCCTCGGTGGCGGCCGGCGGAAATCAGAAAGGCTCAGCTGTCAAGGAAAGATCCCCTCGGCAGCAAACCGCCCTGGCCGCTAGGCCGAGCGGGGGCGCGTTCCCCAGCGTCGAAAAGCTCGGCAAGCACACGCTGGGCCCCCTGCCACCTCAACAGATGCCAAGTACGCCTTCCTCGTCCCTCACTACGATGGGAAGTGAAGGTAGCACAACCAGCCTCAGGCGCAGCTCGAGATTGCTTGAGCGTCAGTCGTCGCCACGCGCATCGTCTCCTGCTACTTCCCCAACGAAGCCTTCTCGACAAAAGGCAAGGTCGCGGCTGAGCCCGGAACGAAGGCCCGCGAAGAGAAACCACAGCGACATCGAGGAATCTGCCGCAGATTTCTCTGCGTCCGAGCCTGAGGCGACACCTTCTCCTTCTCCTCCGGCGAAGAAGAGGGCTAAGGATAGAGGCGCCACCAAGGTAAGTCGCATCGGAGGCAAGAAAGTGGAAAGATCAACCTCGCAGCAGGGAGGCAAACGACACTATCGATGACACGATCCACGTCGACTGCCATCTCCCGACACGCGGTGCCGGCGTCTCAGTTCAAGGGCACCAGCGTCGTGGTGTCCAAGGCCAAGAAGGCGGCACCCAAACCCAAGCCCGCACCGGCAACTTCCACAAGCCGCAGGAAGCAGACGCAGGCCCAGGCGAAGGCGGGGGCATCAGACAAACAAAGCCCTGAAAGTGGAGCTGGAGGCGAAAGCAGTACCTCGTCCGAGGCCGCCGCCAAACGATCGCGAAGCAAGAAAAAGGCGGGCTCCGTGGGCACGACCGTGCCGCGGAAGGATCACGTCGCCTCGAGCGCCCATCCCGCCGTCCGCTCCCCCAGCGGCACCGGAAGCGAGACCGATCACGCAGTCAGCGGCGCCGAGCACGGACAGCAAAGACCCAGCACTCGTCCTCAAATGGGTGAGAGGAGCAGGAAAGCGTCCGAAGCAGGCCTGCACGACGGCGCCGAAGACGACGACATGCTCGACGAGGCCGATCTGGCTCTGCATGATGAGGCACCGAGCGAGCCAACTGCGGCAAAGGCCGCTCAAGAGGGGTTCGTCGAGGCGCACAAGAAGGATAGGGAAGCTCGCGGCATCCGACGCTCGAGCGACGCAGTCTCAGGACCAAAGTCAGACGAGGCGCCCTGGATGACGGAGCGCCACAGGCGAAGCATCGCTCTGCTGACTAGCGAGGCCGAGCCGCCGAGGACCACGAGCCCGCTACAAAGCGAGGTAGGGCCGGAGGCTCTAAGAGCAGAGGCTCGAGCTGGCGGTGAAGCCGAAGAGGGAGAAGGCCGACACAGTCCGACACCGTTCGCTGCGGCAGCAGAAGCCCAGTTCTCCGACGATCTGGAGTACGTCGAAGACATCGCCGTGGCCCCGCCTCCAGCAGTGGTGGACGAGGAAAGACGACCTTCGAGCCCTTCGAACGAGGAAGCGGAGCGCGGGGTCGAGGAACCTCGTATCGTCGAACCGCCTGTTCTTCCTCGTTCTGTTCCCGTCTCGCCGACGAGGGGTCTGGATGACGTCGCAGCCGCCCAATCCGGTCCTGTCGCGCTACCGACGGGGGCAGCTCGCGAGGTCGAGCAGCCTGAATCAAACGGCCAGGCAAAGCAATCAACGCCTCCGGCCGCACCCGAAGCTCAGTCGCCTCGAAGGGAAGTCGCCCAACCGTCGTTACCGGAGGCTGAGGCTACCGAGATGGATCAGACACGGGCGCTGCCGCCATGGACGAGCGAAGCAGAGATGCCGATCGAGAGCCAGCCACAGGACTCTCTCAGTGCGGCACAGCTGGCTGCCCTCGGCAGAACTGTCACCAAGCCGATGCGCTCACCTCCATTCGGACCGCCGCCAGCGCCTCGACCGGTTCCGCCCGAGCCTCGCGAGGTCGATTCGGAACTGATCGAGTTCTACGAGTTCCGCGCTTTCCAGCAGCGCAAGAAACGGGCTCTCGACAGCCTCGCTGCAGGCCGCGTCACTCCAGAACGCGACGGCCATTTCCCTGATCCAGCTTCGATGTCTGGCCCGGCATCTCGGGATCGCCAAACGACGTCCCCGACCGAGCGCCTCCGCCGTTTCGAGGAACATTCAAGCCTAGTGGCGCACGCCCAGGGTGATTTCGAAGCATACGAAGCCGCTCATCGAGAAACGCCCGGCCCGGCCGCAAGTCCAAGGCGTCAAGGGCGAAGCCGAACGCGCTTGGGCACCACGAGGCCCACGAGGCCGTCGACGGCAGATCGCTGGAAGGCTCGCAGCGGCACAAGGACCCAAGCCGCGAGCAGCTTGGGCAAGCGCTCATCGCCCGAGGATGACGAGGCCCACGAGCGTGAGGTTCGCACCTCTCCCTCGCCGTTAGCGCACGCTGGCGATAACAGGGAGACAAGCCCAGGCACGGCTAGCCCGGATCCGGCACTCGATGCGCTGCACCAGGTCAAGGAAGCCCTGGGCTCGGTCACCGAGGTAAGTGCAGCTGACTGCGGCGTTGCGACGGCCATCTGCCTGGAGTACTGATTTGCGCCGCTATGCTTCCCACAGGTACTCTGCACGAACCTCAGGGAAAAGATATCCTGGTCTGAGGACGGCGCCGTGCGCCTCCTTCACCAGATGTTCCACGAGGCTTCAAGGCTGCTCGAGGAGACCCACACCGGCAGGTGAGCAGCAGTGCGCGAAACGGGCGGGAGAGCGCCTCTCAGACTGACCTTCCTGCGTGGCCACTTGCTTCGCTCCCAATTCTCATTGGCACCCAGCAACGCGGCGAAGGAAATGGTGCAGGCGATCTTGGACTCGCAGGCAGAAGCAAAGAGGGCAATCGCCCGCGTCCTGGACACAAGTGCAGCGTCGGCGGGCGACGCTCGCTCGCCACCGACAATGCAGAGGGTTCCGCACTTGCTCGGTGCGCTGGAAGGCGGGGCGACGGAGCGCAGCGACATGGCACGTAAGGTTGTCCTGCCCGACAAGCTCTTTGCCTAGGGAGGCGCATCATCAAAGCGTCGTGCGTACCCATGCAGTGCCCAACGGCACAGCATCTGGTGCGAACAGAGAGCTGACTAGCCCCCTTTGCGAGGGCGACAAAGATGGTGCCGGGAAGGCAGAGCTTGGCCGGCGGACCTTTCGGTCGGCAGAGCGGCGAGCCCGCCCTTGGTCGCATAGCCGTCGGAGCAAAAAGGAACGGGGCAGCTTGCGGCTTTCGACGCAATCCAGGAACAAGGGTCTCAGCACTACCACGGCGATGCGGTTGGAATAGCAAGCAAGGCTTCCATCCTTCTTTCGGTTGATGCGGCAGTGCCCGCGCGGCGCCTGGTGGTTCAGTGCGGCACCCGGCGCACTATCAGCAGCCAGATGAGCACGAGGATGTGGCAGCGGGAAGCGACTCTACCACCTCTGCTGCAGAAAATGAGAAGCCACAGCGTTCAGTCGACGGCTATTCTACGATGGCCTTCCGGTCCGAGGTGCGACTGGACGGAAAGACTACCACGGAGGGCAGGAGATAGCACCGAAGCGCGACGGTCAACGGCCGGGACCCTGCCCGGCATGCTGTATTAGGCGAGGCGGGTCCCGGCTCCATGTCACCGGCACTCAACCGGCCAGTTCATTCCTCGACGAAAGACAGGATGGGAGTCACCTACCGAGACGTGTCTACCTACCGATAATAATGCGAGGGGCAGATTGTTCTGATCGGGCCCGTGCCAGGTTGTTGGGGGTTGGCAGGCGAGGGTGCCGCGTGGGCTGCGTGCGGCCCGAGGAAGTGGCCGGAGCGTCGCCGCCCTGCTTGCTTTTCCCCAGATTTTAGGACCCTCGCTTCCCCACACTTTTTGGGCCTCTTCCCTTTTGTCTGGCTCCGCCGCCCGTCCGCGCCTGCCTTTTCGATCTGTGGCCCGCACATGTTGGCCGTCGGCCGCTTGGTTGCCTCCGGGCCAAAGGCACCGAGCGAGCACGACCCATCCATCTGTCCAACTCAGACCCCGGGGGTCTGGCCCTCCGTGGAACACCACCGGCTGTCGTCGACAGCAGCAGCACGCCACCAACCGATCGTACAGCGGCCATCAGTCATGCCGGCATCAAGCAAAGGCGCGCTGCTGGCGGGTTTGGTCGAAGGCGTGGGGCTGCAGACTTGATGCACCCCGCACAGGAGTGCAGCCAAAAGGTACCACCCGAAAGCCGAAGACCCGAAGGCTAGGTACGAGGGCTCCTCCCCAAGCGACACCTCACTCGACGTGAAGACGGCGCAGTTCTATCGACTTCGATCAACGGGCCGTACGTCGTCGCTGCCAAGCATCAGGTTGTCCGCCTGCTGCTACGTTGTTTGCCTGCCATCGCGCCACATCGCGGAACGACGGCCCGAAGTGCGGTAGAGTGAGAGTTGGTGCCTGTTTGGCTCTGACTCGTCGTCGTCGTCGAGATCAAAGAGAAAATGCGGGCCGTTGGTCGGCGGTCCCACCGCAGAGCAGCTTCAGAAGGTCTTCGTACGACGGTTTGCTCTCGCCATCGCCCTCGTCGCAGCCAGCGCTACGTACTACTTCTGGCTCTTTCGGCCCGTCTCCAGCCCGTCAGGCCGTCGTTTCACACCTAGGTCTGCTGCCACCGATCGCCGTGCATCCGTGGCTGTTGATGGCCGCAGCGAGAAGGAAAAAGGCCCGAGGGTACGTACATACCCTGCGGAGGCCGGTCCGACCCGAGACCGGGAAAAGATAGTGGAAAGACGGGGGGCGGCCGGCTGGACCGAGGATGCGGATGGCCAGCATGCCCAACTAGGTGTTTGCTTGACTGCTTGGCCGCCCTCTCGTCTACGCCAGACACGTCTGCTGTGACGGTAGACGGGGCTGCCCGCCTGAGGCCTGTTTCGGCTGCGGCTTGGTGGCCTGCCTCTCCCTCGCCCGTCTAGCCTCCTCGCCGGCCAACAGCCGAACCAGGAGCGAGCGGGCGAGCGGGCGGGCGAGCGAGGGAATTTTGACGAGGCGCGCGGCGTGGCCTGGCCTGCCTGGCCCTCGAAAAATGCGGGGTAAGAGAGCTCGAGAGCGAGGGCTGCCGATAAGTTGAGGGCGTCGGCCCCTCAGCCCCGGGCGCCATCCCCAGGCCAGGCCAGGCCAGGCCAGGCCAGGCCAGGCCAGGCCAGGCCAGGCCGAGCCAGTGCTCGCCTGCCTCCTGGCCTGCTTTGCTCTGCCCCCGTCCCCGCACTCTTACCTGCCTGGCTCTGCCCCGCACCGCACCGCCCTGCTTTCGCCGTCTTGCCCTGCCATGCCTCCCCGTCTCTATCGCCTTCTTCGCCTATCTCTCTCTCTCTCTCTCTCTTCCCTCCCTGTCCCCGCCTTCCATCTCCACGTCCCGCCCAATCCGCCTTTCACCACGCCACCCCTCCTTTGGTCATCTCTCCGCCCTACACATACTACGATAAGCTGACCTCTACCCCGACCTGCATAGTCGTTGCTCCCGGGCAGCTCAATCCGAGCCGCTCGACTTTTTACCGCCCTCTTATCGACGCCACTCCGTGGAGACCTTTCGCCGAGCAGTCCGACTCGCACCCATCCGCTCCTCTTGTCGTACCGTACCGACTATCGACGTCTTCACCTGCGACCGTCGAGCCGATCAAGCCTTCTGCCTGCCCTCGACACCAAGGTGTGCTCATCCGTTCGGCCTTCACTTGGCTCCGTCTCCGCCCTACACATATCTCGACCGCTTCACCATACCAAGCCTTGACCTGTTTCGTCCGCCAGCTAGGCGCTCTTTTATCACGGCTCGCCAACTTTCCCTCTTGATCGGCACAGCACAATGTCCTTCAACGGCCGCCCAGCGCTCAGCAACGGCGGCGCTGCGCCGGCCCAGATCCTCATGCCCAAGAAACGTCAGCACGGTTTCGACCTCGGGCCCTCGACCGCCGTTCAGGGCGCCTCTGCTTCGAGCCAGCCCAGCTCTTCCGGCTTCCTTGCCAGCGTCGCCGACTCGAAGCCGCTCACTGCTTCAAACAGCTTCATCGACACCGACATCCTCCTCAGCGACGACCTCTGGAACCAGATCTCGGCGGGCACCGGCCACCTCTCGGATTTCCACCACCCCGATGGCGTACACGACCACCACAGGAGCGGCCTTCCCCACTCTCACAACGGAGCCATGACGCCTAACGACGTCTCGATGACGGATGATCATGCGGCGCAACAACCCGGCCATCACCACCATGCGCCGCTGCCGCACCAGTCGCACCACCACCAACAGCCCATCGGCATGCCAGAGAGCTTCATCAACATCCCGCAAAGCCAGGCGGCAGACTTCTTCGGCATCCACGCGGGCTCTTACCAGAGTTTCGTCTCGCAGTCGAGCCATCACGACGACCACAGCCTCTTTGGCCGCGACGGTGCAGGCTCCATGGAAGAGGAAGACTCTCCCGACGGCTCCAACGGCGACACCGCCTCCACCGTGGCGACCAGCGTCATCTCGCCCAGCTCTCACGGCACCATGGCCAGCAGCCTCTCCAAGTCGCTGCAGAGTGGCCGACACCGCCGATCCGGCAGCAGCGCATCGTCGCAGGCCAAAGGCCGGACCGGCCGCAGCATCAGTAGGCCCAACCTGAAGACGATCGCGCAGGAAGGCAGCAGGAAGGCAGAGCGCTCCCCGTCCCAGGACCGCGGAGGTGTAGGCAAGGCGCCCACGTCTCGCTCGCGACCCAGTCGCAGGGCGTCAATCGGACCAGCAGCTCAGGCGGCCGTTCAGGCCTCGGTCCATGGCCACCTTCGCATCGACGCGCAGGGCGCGGCCGTGTCTGTCGGAGCTGCGACGAAGCAGGAGCCGCGCTCGCCGACCTTCAACCTGTCCTCCAGCTCTCAAAGCACTCAGCAGCGCTGGTCCATGTTTGGCGGCAGCGGCGAGGTCCAGGACCCGACGGCGCTGCAGAACCTCACCTTGGCGGAACAGCACCCCTACCTCTGGAAGCAAGCCGTGTCGCAATCGCAGAACGGCATCTCCAGCCCAGCCTCGGCATCGCTGCCGACCCCGCTGTCCTTCCAAGCGAGCATGCAGCAGCTCCACCTGCAGACTCCGCCGGTCCCGACCCCGGGACTGCAGTCGCAGTCGTCGATGGACGAAATGCCCAGAGATGCGTCAGCCGAGCCATACAACCCCTTCCTCTTCCCGCCGTACGCGCAGATGCAAGAGGGAGCCTCGCACGGCACCAAGAGCGAGGTCAGCGTTCCGAGCCAGCGTGCCGGGTCAGAGGCGAGCCAGGATCCGTCGCTGATGGAGTCCGTGTCGCAACACGGTGCGCCCTCGAGCTCGCCGGCGCAGCAGTCCCCTAGCCAGTCGGCAGATGCCGATCCGGCGGATGCCAGAAAAGCCCCCGCCGCTTCTAGCAAGGCCGTCGCCGCGGCGACTGCGAGGGAGCGGAAGATGAGCAAGTCGGCATCGCAGTCCGCTGCTAAGAAGGCGCTGCAAGACGTCCGCGAGGAAGCCCAGGGCAAGGGTCGGCCGGCCGCGGACGCAACGTCCTCCGGCAGAAACGACGACGAAGATGACGAGGCGGTGGACGACGAAGACGAAGAGCAGCCGCTTGCCAACATGTCCAAGTCCGAGGCCGAAGCCAAACGTCTGTGAGTTGGGGCTGCGGTTTAGCCGCACAACGTATGATCCTGACTGCAAGCTGATCATCCTAAACTCACGCCGAACGCGGATCGCCGAACCGTCTAACGATCCTGACGCACAGAGCCGAGAAGCGGAGGCGCAGGCGAGAGTCGCATAACGCGGTCGAGAGGCGCCGACGGGACAACATCAACGAGAAGATCACGGAGCTGGCCACGCTACTGCCGGAAGCCATGCTGCTCGATGCTATTGCCACGTCGACGCAGGGTGGCAACAGCGGCACCTTTGCACCCGCGCTAACGGCCAAGGCAGCGCTCGCCGCGGCAGCCGCAGCGGCGGCGAAAGGCGACACGCCACCAGAAGGCCTCCTGTCCGGCGGACAAGAGGCGGATCTCACCAAGTGCTCGACCGCAGCCTACGCCGCCGCTCTTGCGCCAGTCCACGCAAACAGCGCCGCGCTCGCAGCTGCACAGGCCAAGCCAAACAAGGGCATCATCCGTGAGTTGCCAGACTGTCATCGTGCAAGGCGGCCCCCTCCATTCTCGCCAGCTGACGACCAAGTTGCCTCTCTGATTGCGTCGATCCGCCTTGCCTACTCGCCCCTCCTCGACAGTGCGGAAGAGCGTCGAGTACATCCGCCACCTGCAGCAGTTCCTCGACATGCAGATGAGCCGGATTGGCTTTCTGGAGGCCGAGCTGCAGCGCCACCGCGAGGCGATGCAGTGTTCGGGCACGCAGATGCCGTCGATGCCGGTGCAGCCCATCCACGATCTGTTTGGTTTCTCGTCGGCGTTCGGCGCCGACGGGTCTGGCGGTTTCTTCGCAGGCGGGGCGATGGGGCACGATATCAATACCCGCAGCCTGATGGACCTTGGCGCGCCGCCGCCGCCGCCGCCACATCCGCCACAGCACCCTCAGCAACACTGCCAGGAACCGCAGGTCCTACCAGCGGGCCCGTCAGAGACTCCGCACCGAAAGGGCGGGTCGCAGGAGCGGCCTCGAGAAGACCATGTAGCGGCGACCTGCCTCGTCGACTGGCTCGAAGGCTACGACCAGCGGACCGGGCTGCCACGGCGCTCTTCGGTCGACCCGATCGAGGAGGAAGACGAGCACGAGGGCCAGGAGCGGGACAGCGAGCAACAGCAGCAACGTGGCCGCAGTCGTCAGGCACACGGGGGCCGTGGCGACGGCAAAGAAGGCGGGGCGGTCGAGGAGGAAGAGGAGCGCGGTCGATCACGGCAGCGCGGCAACGCCTCGTCGCACTCGCAGCACGGCTCGTGGCCCGCGCTCGAGATGACGGGCGCCCGCTCACCGATGCAGCTGCTCTCGGACGGTGGCAGCAAGGAGGATCAGCTGGACCGCGAGTTTACCCATCTGACCGACTTCAAGATGGAGGCGTGATGCCGATCGGCGGCAGGGAGGGGGGCGTATGAGGACTCTCGATTCCAGGTGCTTCCACCACGCTTGTTCCAGGATACGTCGCAGCATCGCAATCTAGGTTGCCATTTCAGCGAGTGCCATCCAGCGGCGACGGCGGCCTTGCTTGCCGCGCATCTCGACGTCGCAGGGCAGGCGGGTCGCCACACGAAAGGAGAAGCCGTATCGACGTGGCCACGGCCACCTCGGACCCGCCACGGCTTTGGGCCAGTCGTGCCTGAGCGCAAGTTGCAGCACATGCGGGGCATGCGGACGAAGGCGAACAAGGGGCTCTAGATGCGATAGTTCCAAGTCACCCAGCGCGAGAGAGAGAGAAGAGCGACAAAGGGACGGAGGTGGTGGGTGGGGAGAGGGAGCGGCCAGGCTCCCAGATACGACAATGTGGGGGCGAAACGACGACGAAGAGGAAGAGGAAGGGCCTCAAGACTCGATCGAGGCTTTGCAGCTGGTCGAGGAGGCTCTGCCGGGAAAGAGGCGAGGAGGAGGAAGTGGCGTGCGAGTGTGTCTATGGGCATGGTTGGGTAGGACCATGTAGAGCGAGAGTGGGAGCGCGTGGCGATCGGTGCTAGTAGTACAGTGGCTGCGAAGGAGAGAGTGGAAGAGATGGAGAAGGAGAGAGAGAGAGAGGAGGTGCGCCGATGTTCGTCCGCTGGCAGTATCGAGGTGAGACAGGTAGGTAGCACCGTCGACGTCGAGCCCCGTTCTGCGGGGTAGACGTCGACGTCGCGCCTGCTGCCTGCCTCGCTGCGTACAGTGGCGATTCAAGGGCTGCGGACCGAGGCCGAGACTGAAGCGAGAGAGGGAGAGAGAGAGAGAGACGAAGGAATGACCGTGACGATCGCGAGATAGAGAGGAAGAGAAGAAGCGAGAGAGAGAGAGAGGTGTCGAGCGGGTTCCGAGGACGACGCCTGTACCGGCAATGGCTTCTTGCTTTCCCCTCTTGTTGGTTTTGAGCGAGCGACGAGGGAGATGGATCGACGTGCAACGACGACCCAAGACTGCTGGCGTCTAGAGGTAGTTCCAGGTGACGCTGATGACGCCACGCGAGAGCGGCGCGAGGGCCTTGAAGGCGCGCGGCGAGAGGTCGAGCGACCCCCACGAGCAGCTCGGGCACGAGTCCTTGACCTGGGCGTTTACGCACTTGCCGCTGCTGCAGATGCGCATCCACTTGTTGCAGTGCTTGCCGCCGCCGTACATCGACGTCGGGACGGCGACCATCAGGTCGTTGTTGCCGGACCAGCCGCCGCAGTTGCCGAGACCCGGGTAGAACTGCGAGGAGGGACAGCGAAGATAGGTGGGATGGAACGCGGAACGGCGTCGGTCAGCACTCGGTCCGAGTTAATGGTGGGAGTGTGCGGGGGAGCCGGCTTCGTTGCGGGCAATACGGGCGTAGACTCACGTAGGTACCCTTGCCCGAGTAGCGCCTCTTGCCACGCTTCTCGAGGGCGGCAAACTGCGAAATGATGGTGAAGTCCTCGTCGTCATCGTCGAAGCTGTCCTGACCCCACTCCTCATCGTCCTCGTCGGCCACGATGTCGTTGGAAGGAGCAGCAGCGGGGGTGGCAGTAGCGGCGTCGGCGGCGGGAGCGGCGTCCGGCTTGCCGACTGCGGCGCCGGGGCGCGCAAAGACTTCGGTGACGTCGCGGCGCTCAAAGGTGATTTCGACGCGCTTGTTGGAGGCGACACCCTCGGCGGCGATGACCGAGGCGAAAAGGGCGAGCGCCAGCGTGCAGAGAGTGAGTAGCTTGTATAGGGAGAGCATCGTGCAAGGCTGGTGGTGGTGGTGTGTGTATATCAACGATGAGCCTGCTCGATGGATCTTGAGGGGGGAGAGGGTTAGTGTAGGGCTAGATGTTTGGGAGGTGGGAGACGAAAGGGGAAGGCGGAGACGGAAGCGCTGAGGTTCGGAGCTGTTGCTTTTGTAGGGCCATTGGGATCAAGGGTGGCGGAGGCAGCGTCGCGCGCACGAGGGCAAGCACGGGGGGGTGCCCGGTCAGCAGGTAGGTGGCTAGGGGCGAGCGGCGTGATGGTGGTCGAGGGACCCTGGTGAGCGAGCTGAATGAGGAAGGCTGATCGGGCACAGGCAGGGATGCTGGGGGATGTCGAGGAGCGTGCGGCATCGTGATGGCGAGCGAGGGGCAGAAGAAAACTGGGGTGTCACCGGCGGTAGAAGAGAGAATCAGCAGCATGAAAGCGGCGGCGGCGGCGGCGGCGGTGGTGAGGAAGCAAGTGAAGCAGCAAGCGGAGCTGTACCACGGCAGATCATCCGGAAGCAAGGCAAAGCAAGGCAAGGCAAGGCAAGGCAAGGCAAGCCAAGGTTGGGTGCGTGAGTGTCGGCCGGTCAGTCGGGCGGGCGGGCGAGATGTCGCGCCCGTAGGTGGTGGTGTTGAGGGCCAGGCCAGGCCAAAGCAACCATGCAGAGGCATGCAGGCAGGGTGCGGATTCAGGGTTCTTGAACTTCCTCCCCCCCACTTGGAGCTCTCCCGCCAGCCGGCCAGCCAGCCAGCGGGCTGCTGCTGCAGCTGCTTGCTCGCTCGCGCAGACCGACAGGCACCGGACCGACCCGAAGATCCGCGATTCCGGGCTTTGAAAAGTGGAGCCCGCCAGGCCAAAACAAGGGTGGCCACCGAGCACCCTCGTTTGGGTCGATGCGTTCGATGCCAGAGAGCGGCGAGTTCAGCTCGAGTGACAGCCGTAACTGGTGTGGAAAGCGTGTCGGAGCTGGGCCGACGCCTGCGAGTTGATGGTCAGGAAAAGGGAATAGGAGCAGGCTAGGCTAGGCTGGTGGGTGATCTGCGCAGGGCCGTCGATGCCATGCCGTGCCAAGTGTTGACTGAGAGGCCAACGCTAGCCTACCCTGACTAGCCTCTTTGTTCCACGCGCCGCCATCACCTGTCCCGTCCATCTGTCCATCACTTCGGCCCTTGGCCGTCGTCGCCCTCGCCCTCGGCCGGAAGGATCCCATCCGCCTCTCGTCTCCCACGTTCCTGGATCGCTACCTAGCACGCCCGCTCGCCCGCCATTCCTCCTGCTGTTGCACAGCGACCGTCCGCACGCTCCCACGATGCTCATCGGGGATGCTTACATCACAAAGGCGAGTAGTGGCACTACACATGGCTAGCGAGCAAAGATATAGGGGCCGCCACCAGGCATCGGCGGTCGCGATCGACCGCGATGTCCAGCCGCTCACACGACTATCATTGTGCTCAGACCGGACCGATGTGCTGCGCTCTCGCCGTGAACGAAATAATGAGCATGTCAGGGGGACCGGCCCACCTGTCTTGGCCGATTGCATCGATACGGATGTACAGAGACTCTTTTTTGGCCAGCGGGAAAGCATCGCGACATGGTAAGACTCGCCGATAGACGCAGGGGCGCCTGCCTGCATCCAGCACAGCAGCAGCAGCGGTAAAAGCAGGAGTACATAGATAGAGTACATGACCGTAGACTCGCGCAGCAGCGGTACCGCTAGCAGGTGTAGATACGCGTACCCCGAATTCGCCCCTGCTTTCACGCAATGATCAAGTCGCTATCGATGATGGCGGCGGTGATGGCTCATCAGCACAGCCATGACCGCCCGCCAGCCACGGCGTGCCTGCGTCTGAGTGATCGGGGTGGCGGCGAGTTCTCGACCGCGGCCAGCCACTTCGAACCTTGACCTTGGCATTGAGATAGAGCTTGTGCGCAGCAGTGTGACAGTCGGTGCATCTACACCTGCCCGCTGTTCCCGGCCGAGTCGGCATGGCAGCTAGGTACGAGAAGCAGGAAGCTGCTTGATGCCCGCTCGTAAAGTGGGCCCCTCGAAACCTGATCCGGCGAGCATATCGGACATTGAAACGACGAGCAGCTCGCTGCACCGGCGAATCTGTTCCCTGATTCACCTGAGCTGTCCGCGACCTAGCCACGGTACCGGCCTTCCTCTTGAGTGCCGCTTGCGTTGCCGCACAGCGAACGGTGGAGATGCTCGTCCGGCCAGAGTGTCGAGACCGATGCGGCCAAACAACGAGAAAGAGGTTGGGGAGGGGGGGGACATTCGAGGGGCAGGCGTGGCGGACGGCTCTCGAATCCAGGGTCTGCCTCGGGCTTGAGCGGGGGGGCTGGCTGGCTGGTTGGCTGTGGGTCGCCGATCCCGTGGATGGTTCCTGGCTGTGGAATCGGCTCGACTGGCAAGCGAGCTGTCCAGACCCTAGGCCAAGCCTGGCCCTGGGTCCGAGCCGACGTCGACGAGGGCCATACAGCCACGCAGAGACACGAGCTGGCGTGTGAGAAGCGCGCGGCCCTGGCCCCGTTCCTGTCCCTGCCCTCGAAATCGAACTTCGGTCGGCTGTTCCTCGTCTATATCACATGGATGGATCCCCCGCCAGCTTCTCGCTCTCGAGAGCATCTCGAGTCGTGGCCATCACCATGACAATGCACGCCCGCCCGATCGATCGAGGGAAAGAGGCGTGGCTGACGTGCAGGCTGGGTCATCGGGTCATCCCTGTTTGGTTGGTGGCTGGCTGGCTGACCTGACCCGGCGAACCTGGCCTGTTGATGCATCGTCTACCGGTGACGCTCCTCAGCATGGGCCGACAGAGTCACAGAGTCACAGGTCGGATCGTGCGTGCGGGGACTGACTGCAGGCGTGGCTTCCCGCAATGAAACGGGGACAAGGGAAGAGGTGCCGGGGAAGCGCGGCGGCCACCTCGAGGGTCAACGGAGAGAGCGAGGGGGGCCGCCACGGCCAAACTCCGTCCCCGACGAGATTTTCGTCGTTCTGATTGATCGCCCATCCATGGCCCCTCGTTTTGCTTTCATATCCCGCGCTGACCGTCGTCGCCATCGTCTCTGTCCTACGTCGAGGCAGGGGCGTGTTTTCCCCCGCGGCTCACGGGTCAAATAGACCGGGACGATCATCGACGATCAACGGCCCGCTTGCAGTGGTAAGTAGGTAGCTGGTGGAGGGCGGAGCCGACCATCGCGAGGCCGCCAACGGTTGCCGCAGCCCCTATCCGTCCGCTTCGGATACGAGGTGACACCCTCAATCCCAAGTCGCCTCGTTCTTTGACCCACGATGGCATCGCAACGGATACCGGTATAGGGGGCCATGGCCGGCCCAGGATGAAGGTTCGTCGGGTCTTGATGGTGTGCATGGTGGTGGGAACAAGTCGACACCCCCGTTTTGCCTCCACCGCGTACCGGCGCCTCCTCCTCCGACATCCGTGAGTGGGTTTCGCCGCTTGCATCCGGCATCGATCCATACGGCCCCGTTCCCTCATCCCCCACGTCGAGTGATGGGCACCCGTCGTCGGGCTAACGGAACGGATTCGAGGGTCGCTGCTGCCGTCTCGTATCGGCAGGGCGATGGCGATGCCACAGCTCGCATGCCGTACCCACGATGCGCCGCGTACACCGACAGATCCCCCGTCGATCGACAAAGATGGCCCCGCTCAACGCAGAGTCGCGGCTCGTCTGTGTTTCAGATGGAACGATCGTCGTACTGTATTCCGTACCGGCCTGCTCGCATGGCCTGGGCAATGGCCTCTAGACGACGGGCCGACTCGCCGGGGCGCAAAAACGTCTTCAGCCCAGCCGGCGCCGGATCCGCTTTGAGTCCCCAGCCTCGAATGGTAGGCCAGCGGTGGCAGTCTTGAAATGCCAAGGGAACAGAAGGTTTTCCCTGACATCTGCCATCAGCGAGCCAACAGAACTCAGCAGCTGGCCTCTCTGTTGTCCCAGCTCGTGGGAACCCTCGGACTACGTAGAATGCCTTTCGAAAAGCGGGACGGTCGGAAGCCATGGCACGGATGAGGCCGTTCCGCGATCCCAGGACAAAGCGGGGACGCAAATCCCCCCGCCGTGTCCGTCGGATCTCGTCGTGGTATCGGGATGCGGTTAGCACGGTACAAAAGAGAGCTGCGGCGAGAGCGGCACATCCTCTCCCATCTCTGTTCTTGGGGTATCGCTGCCCCGAGCAGCGGGGAGGCGGAGCGCCATCGGCCTGTCAGCCTCGACCTTCGGAGGTGAGGCCGGGATGGCGCATGGATCTGAACGGAGAGAAGAGTCTTTCCCAGCTCATCTTGGCGTTCCAGCGTCGGGGCTCGACTTTGCCCCCGTCTTGCTACCGACGACGCCGACGAAGCGGATGCGGCTGTGGATGAACAGCGTCGAAAAGAGGAACTGCGACAGCTCGGCGCCGTAGAGGGGCAGGTGGCGGTAGCCCTGCTGCAGCGAGCCCACCGAGACGGCATAGGCGGAGATGCAGTCGCCATCGATGCTGCTCATGCTGCTCGTGTCGCTGGTGGCGTCGGACCCGCTCAGATCCTCGTCGTACACCTCGAAGCGCAGGAAGCACAGGTCCAGCAGACCTCGGCTCAGCTTCTGCACGCCGCCCTCGGCCCCGATCGCATCGAGGTCCAGGTTGGCGCCCGCAGGAAGCTCCAGCTGGACACTCATGCTCGTGTTCCAGCGTGGGCTAAAGCCGTTGCCCTTGACCACGGGCGTGCGCAGGCGGGTGCTCGACGGCTTGGGCACCATGCTGGCCTCGGCACTGCCCGAGCCGGCTGACGGCACCGAGCCTCTGCTGCTCTGGCCTGGCCTGTCCGCGTCCTGGACGGTGGACGTGCGTCCCGTGGAGGGCAGTGGAACCGATGCGCTCGTCGGCGACTTGAGGAGCCCACCGGGCAGAGCAGGTGCGTTGCTCGACACCGCCGCTGCAAAGTGCTGCAGATCGACCGGGTCATCCTCGGGCCCTGATGGAGTCATCGGAAGTGGCGACTCGACGGTGGGCAGACCCGGTTCTAACGGCAAGCTGCTGCTCCGCGGCGGGCCCTTCTTGGCCTCCCTTGACGACACCTTGGCCAGCCCATTCTCCCCAAAAGCGACCGTGGCGATCGAGGCTTCCGCGCTGGCTTCGCGCACGAAGCTCGGGGGTTGCCGCCCCCAGCACTCGGGTACCATGATGGAGACCGAGACGAACGGGTCGATGGGCTCGCGATCGTCGCTCTCCTTTTCCTTGGCCGTGTCCCTGCCCTTCCTGGGCAGCTGCTGGGCCGAGATAATCTCGAGGTCGATGCAGAAGCGGAGCCGCTGCCCAGACGAGGACTTGGCCTGCTCCTTGATCCGCAGCGCGGGCGGTTTGAGCACGTAGCCGCAGCGGCCGTTGCGCGCAAACATGGCCTGGTTGAGCTCGAAACCCAGGTCCATCGTCTGCCAGTTGAGCGCCACCAGCTGGCAGCCGGCCGCCCACATGTCGAGCGGCGAAAAGTTGCGGCTTGCGTGCAGGCGGGCGAAGCTGCTCATTGACGGGTAGATGCGCGTCAGGTGCGAGCGGTTGTGCTTGATCAGCGCATCGCGCGTCACGGCGTCGCGGATGAACTTGAGCGCCGTCTTCTCCGAAAGCGAGATCATGTGCTCGGTTGCGTAGACCTCCTTCTTGTTGAAGCCGCGGCACTTGACGCCGACCGTGTACACCAGCAGCGCGGCCAGCGAGGCCGACATGAGCACCTTGGTGACGGGCTTGGCTTTGTCGGCACTGATCGCGGCTTCGGCAACGCCGTCTGGTTTGCGCGATCGCCTCTTGGTGACCCTCCGCACGAGATCTCGCGCACTCGAGAGCAGCGCGTCGCTGTCGGACTCGGTCGCGTCGGTCGTCGTCGTTGCCGGTTGCGCTTCGACGACGACGGCCGGCTCTTCAGCTGCGGGCGAGCGCGCCTGCTTGAGCATGTCCGGCCGGCCTTCTGCCAGATACAGGTTCTTGGCCTGGCGGAAACCGTCATCGCATCGGGCGAAAGAGAATGAGAATCAGTCTCGACCCCGCGCACGTTGCAAGCGTCCAGCGTCACGACAGCGGCTCGAGTCTCATCGCCCGTGCTCACCTTGACGAGGATCTTGTACTTCAGCGCCTCTGGACATGGCAGCTCCGTGCTCGTCGGGCTGTGGCACTCGTCATCGAGCTTCTCGGACAAGAGGCGGTCGCCGAGCGTGTCGCGCAGGATCTTGGCCATCACCTCTTGCTGAGACACGTCCGTATGAACCTCGAGCGAGAGGATGACCGGGTAGGGCGATGTGACAAACGCATACCGCCCGATCGCCGCGATCACATCGGCAAAGGGGACCTTGCTGGTGAGAGTCCGGCCGTGGGTGATCTGTGGAGTGTTGTTCGGACCGTCCCAGCAGTCGACTGTTGATTGCGCCACACGCCAGACGATCGCCAGCACGGGGATCCAAAGTCAGTACTGCATCGACTGACGGGCACTGATGGCGCTGCGGCTCGACGACTCACGCTCCACGCTCCTTGCGCCCTGCAGCAGCGCTCGGATGTAGCCTTCGACGGTGCTGTCGCCCTTCCACTGCCCGCCGACCAGGTACGTGTTGTGGCTGGAGCTGATGTAGTAGTCGCTCAGCGGCCTCGTCATGTCCTGCGTCACTGCTGATCTGCGGAAGTTGACTGGTAGCTTGCGGCAGTCGGCTTCGCTGGCGCCCGCCGCGAGCAGCTCCTCTGCTGTCTCGGCCTGGGCCCGGAGCGGTGGGTCGGACTGGCCGCCCGCAGTTCCCAGACCGGACGCCGAAACCGAAGGTCGGAGGGGCGGACGGCTTGGAGTGCGCTCCGCCTCGTCGTTGGCCTGCTTTGACTGCTCGGGGAGATCTGTTCCGGTCTGGCGTGTTGCATCCGTCTGCGAGAGGGCCGTGGACCTGCAGTCGGTCACCCTCGTCTGTCCTGCGCTTCCCGGACAAGACGGCACAGGTGCCTGATCCAGCAGCGGCGGGTTGTCTGACGATGTGATGAAGTCCAGGAACCCGAGGTAGCCCACGATCCGACCTTGGCTTGGCGTATCGGAGCTGCATTGCGAGTAGCGTGCAAAGATCTCGCGCAGCTCATCATCGCCGAGGACGGGGAACTTTCCGGGCGGGAACCATGACCAGGGCAGAAAGGGGGTCAGCTCGCCAGATTTCGCACGTGCCGCTTCGAGCGGCCGATGCTGGATGGCTCACCTTTTGCTCCTCGACGAGGAACCTCGCGAATGCCGCCTGACTCAAGCCGCGCGTACTCAGGCTTCCAGGCAAGACGCGCGGCGGACCTTCCGTCGTTGTGGTCCGCGCTTGAGGGGTCGCCTCCCCAGCTGGGCTGTCCGTCATCGCCGCCATGCCGACCGCTCCGGTGGCACTCAGGTCAATGTCTGCTAGTCGGAGGAAGATGGCTTCGAGGTCGACACGGCGCTTGAGGAGGCGGACGAAGATCTGAAAGTCCTCAAAGTCGAGGTAGCCTCTCTTCCTCCAGTCTGCCGTTTCAAAACAGGTGCGCAGGTTGGATCGGCTGTTCTCGATGCCCAGCTTGCGGCACAGCTTCTGTACCTCGTTTAGGGAGAGCCTCTCGTCCTTCTTCTCGTCGGCATCTCTCCAGTGGTGCTTGAGCCAGAGGTTCCTGCGCGCCTCGGAGCTGCCGGCCGCGCCGACTCCTTGCATGATCTCCTTTCGCAGGGTCTGGAGGTGCAGCAGGCTGGATCGCCAGCGCTCGACCGAGGCGTCGCTAAGCGCAATCACATGGAGTGCCTTGTAGATGCCGCCGGCCTGGTAGATGACGGTGATCCATCGCGACTCGTGGATCGAGGAGATGTTGAGTGAAGTGCGGTACGACGCCGCCGACGACGCAAAGCGCACCTCTCGTAACGTCTCGAGGTTCACTGCGGGGCGGGATCAGATGTTTCAAGACAGTGTTCGATAGGCAAGGCGGCCAGACTCTGGTCAGAACATCGACCCATCCGGCGCCGGCCGATGTTACCGGATCCGCTCACCCTTGTTGTCCCTCTTGCTCTCCCAGGTGATCTGGCCGCGATCGGCATCTAGGTGAAAGGTCCTCTGCTTGACCTTCTTTTGCGTGACTTTGAGCATGGGCTCACCTCCTGGCAAAAGGAGGCCACCAGGGCTGGCAGAGGCGGCATCCGTGGCCGAGAGCGAGTCGGACGACGACTGGACCGACTCGTTTGTGCGCACCCTTGCCAGAGCCTCTGATTCGCCGAAAAGCGCTGCCGAGCTGGCCGACTTTGGGCTGGTGGGCGCGGCCCTCTGTAGACTGGCGCCGTCGGGTGCACCGGACCGACTGCGCGCGTCTGTGCGGTCTTGGGACGGAGACGCCGCGGCAACGTCGCGCCTGATCGGGCCGAGGCTGGATGGGTCCGGCTTGGCAGAAGCGCCGTCGCTAACGGAGCGCATCCGTTTGAATGTCTCGCTGGCCCTCCGCCGATGGCTCAGACGCTCTTGCAGCGTGGAGACGCCCTGACCAAGAGACCTCGAGATACTGATGCTGTGGCGGACCGGCGGTGGCTCCAGGAAGGTGCTTGACGTCGAGGCTGTCAGGCCGGGATCGATGTTGGTCCGCCTTGCCTGGATAGCAAGAGGTGCAGCATTGGCCGGCTGAGCCGCCACGGCCTTGTCGAGATTGATCGCCCTTTCCGGGGGGTCGCGATGTTCGGATGGGCTCGCGGCAGCGGCGGCTTGCGCTTGCGGCTGATCTGTCGGGTCGGAGAGCGCTACGGCCTGATGAAAGGAGATGAGGTCTATTGGCATGCTGTGCCGGCGAGGATCCGGCGCGGCCGAGGATGATGCTGCTGAGTCTTGAGGCGCTGTTTCGGATGGACCCGGAGCGTTTAGGGCCGGATCGTCGAGGCCAGGGTTGGCGCCGGGCCTGTCGTGGGACAGGAGAGATTTGAGCCACGTCTTGACAGAGCGGTGTGCGCCGTCGTTTGGCGAGGCCATGGTCGCGGATGTGGTCGACGTCTGAAGAGCAAAGGCGAGGAGCAGAGTCTAGGATGGAGTCCAGGGTGTCGTGGCTTTGCTGCTTTGTGTCGAGACGGGCAGGCGGATGGCGTGGAGTGGCTTCGACGGCGAGTGGGTCGAGGGCGAGGAAGCGCGGACCATGTCGGCCAGCCCTTTCTAGAAGCTATAGAGGGTTACAGCCCGGATAGCCAGGAGTAGGGTGATTGGCAAGGGGCGAGCAGGTCCGAGTCCGTGCGTGAGAGTGATGTCAGGTGCGGCGCAACGAGGGGGAACCAGGCAAGCTAAGAAGGGAGGAGGCCACCGTCGGGGCTGTGTGCGGGCGGCATGGTCCGAGCGAAAAGCAACGGCCGCGGCGGCCGCGGCGGCACACGGCATGCACCTAGTTACCTGCCTGCAGCTCGTGCCGGTCAAGCATAGCTGGGCAGCCCAGCTGAAGCGTTCTGCTGTGGGGTGCACTCCACATCGACGCTATGCCAGCCTGAGCCTCGCCCCTCGGAACTCGGGCGCACCCAAACCTACTTTTTTTAGGTCGAGCCAGGCGGCCTGGCTGGACTGGCGGGCTGGGCAGAGCGAAAACTTCCAGCCTAGCCCGACCGGGCCACCCTCACCATCATCACTACGACCGCCCACGCCCTCTCATATCCACGCCAGCACACGGCGCACGCCCAACGGCCCTACGGCAGACACTTTCAGCCATGTTCAAGCGGGTCAACAAGCTCTCAAAGAAGCGCGAGCAGATGGAGCTCGATGGCGGGCCGGACGACCTTGGCTTCTCGGCATCCACCTACGCCAACATGGACGACGACTCCAGCTCCGGCGAGGAAGACGACGACGACGACGACGAAGAAGAAGAAGACGAAGAGCAAGACGCGAGCGCATCCGATGACGACCAGAGCTTAGGGAAGAGGAAGAGGGGCAGCGACGAAGACGGGTCCGACGATGATGAAGGGCAAGAGGGCGGCGACGAGGACCAGGACGAGGATAATGACGGCGAGGATGACGACGACGACGACGACGAAGAGGAACCCCTGCCCATGACGATCGACGAAGTCTTTGAAGACCCCATCTACATCGACCCGTCGAACCCCATGAAGTCTGGCGTGCACGAACGCAGCTGCATCGTCTGTCCTGCGGCCAGGCTCAAGAGCGACGAAATGATCGAGGTGCACCTCAAGAGCAAGGTGAGCGCTTACCCTCCGACTCTCCCTGCCTCTGTCTCACCACTGATCCTCTTGCACTGTCTCGCCTTTGCCTTGATGCCTTCCGCTTGTCACCCACCGGCAGCCCCATCATCGACGCATGGAGCGATTCAAGAAGTTTGTCGATGCAGAGCTCGTCGACGAAGAGGAACGGGACATTGACCCGCGCGACGCCATCATCGCAATGGACCAGCTCCAGGCCGAGCGCGACGGCGAAAAGCGCAAACAGGCCGCCGCCGCCGCCGCCGAGGCTGCGCCCGCGAGCAAAGCAAGCGCTTCTGACTCTGCTGCCAAGAAGAAGGTCGACGCAGGCAAGGAGGCCAAGCAGGTCGAAAAGCACGAGAAGAAGCTGGCAAAGAAGGCGGCTCAGAAGGCGGCCGCCGAGGCTAAACGCGCCGCTGCGGCAGCGTCGGGCGTCAAGCCCGGCTATCCGACGTCGGCCTCGTCGCCCACAAAGTCGACGGCAAAGAAGCTCAAGAGCGGCGAGGGGAAGAACAAGAAGGACCAGAAGGCGTCCGGCTCGGACGCTCCATCGAAGTCGAAAGCTGCGTCGCCCAAGAAGGACAAGAAGAAGAAGGAAAAGACAAAGGCGTCCGCGTAGGACAGCCTCAGCTCGAACCGCGATTAACCCTACCACCGCATGTACTTCTAGCAATCTCGCGCCTTTCCCATCTGCCAGACCATTACCTGGACATCAAGCACATCTCTCCGGCCTGCCCTGCTCAGGTGTACCACGTCGGGGCAGGCCAGCCATCCTCTCCCGGGCCGTGGAGGGCATACCTGCCCACCTCTGCCCGCTTGTGCGCGATGGGGTCGTGGAGCGAGTGGGTGCGCAGGTCGCGCCAGGCCACGTCGAAGCCGTACTTGGCACTGACGGCGCGGGCGCCCGAAAGCTCGTAGATCTGGCTCGTGATCTGGAGGCCAAAGTCGACAATGTTGACCTTGGCGGCGGCGACGCGCACCGCAAAGTGGGCGCGCTGCTCGGCCGTGACGGCGGTGCGCGGCTCCGTGTGCAGGATCGAGGCGGCCTGGTCGACGACCTGCTCGATCTGGGCCTGCGATGCCCACAGCCGCGCCTGCAGATCGCCGTAGCCGATCTGGATGTAGGCCTCGTCGGTCCCGCGCGAGGCCGGAGAGGGTGTGTAGGGCCAGCCTCGAGTGTTGGCCTTGGTATAGGCCAGCCCGCGCGCCAGGGCGCCCTCGGCGATGCCGAGATAGAACGAGGTAAAGACCAGCTGCGATAACGAGGGCGTGGTCGGGAAGCGGGAAGCGGATTGAGCACGATGGCGCCACATTGCACTTCCCTCAGCCTGCCGCCGCGCGACTCACCTGGATCTGAGGCAGGTTAAGGGTGTTGTACGCGCCGAGCGGCACAAACTTCTTGTCGACGTATCCGAGCGCATCGGCCCAGGGCACAACGACGTTGTTGATCGAGATGCCGCCGCTCTGGGTGCCGCGCATGCCGAGCGTGTCGACCCACTCGTCGCCGTAGACGATGCCCTCCTGCTTGCTCGGCACGGCGGCAAAGACGTGGTTGCCGTCGGCCAGCGTGCCCTCGAGGATGGTGATGTCGCTCACCTTGCTGCCGGTGCTGAACGTCTTTTTGCCGTTAAAGACGAGCTTGGTCTCGTCGTCGGGGTGCTGGGCCACGCTGAGGTCCGAGTCGCGCGGGTTGACGGCGCCGCCGATGAAGAACCTCTCGCGCGTGATCCACTCGTCGATGCGCTTGCGCTGCTCGTCGGTGCCCACGAGGGCCGCGGCCCAGAACCAGAGGTAGTGGTAGCCCAGCAGCTGTCCCAGGCTGCCGTCGCCGCGTGCAATGATGCGGATGACGCGGTAGGCCTCCTTCCAGCCGAGGCCGGCGCCGCCCGCCGACTTGGGACCGAGGAGGGTGACGAGGCCAGAGTCCTTGAGCAGCTGGACCTGGCGGTAGGGGACGACGTTGCCGCGGTCGCGGATCGCCTCGTCCTGGTGCAGCAGCTCCGAAACCTGCTCGGCGCGCTGGAAAAACTCGTCCGGCGTCACCGGGTCCGCCTCGAAGTTGGGGTACTTGACGGCCTCCGGGTCGGGCTGGATGCGAGAGGAGCTCTTGGCCGCGACCGGGGTGGCCGCAGCCGGTGCCGATACGGTCGCTGCAGGGGCCATGGTAGCTCGTTGTGTCGTGAGGCGGGGTATCTGGAACGGGGTTCGATAGAGGTCGAGGAGTCGATGAGAAGAGAGCGGGGAGCGGCGGAAGAGGGATCGAGGTTGGGGGAAAGGGGGGCTCCCTAGCTTCAGCAGCCTCTCTCCCCTACTTATGAAGCAGCGGCGGGGAAGGCCGCAGGTCGAGAGGGGCAACTCGCCGTCGCCGCTTCACTTGCAAGCTCAGGATTGCCTTTCTCGGATGCCATCGTACGCTTTTCTGCCGCAATATGGCGAGATGGGTCGCACGGGTCGGGAGGGCCATCAGATTGTCCTGACAGCGGGCTTGAGCAGGCAAGCTTAAGCTTGTGCTGCTGCGCTGGCCGCGGCTGGCAACACCGATGCGGGGAGAGGCGACAGAGTGGGCTGCCCCTCGGCTTCGCTTCGACACGAGCGCAGCGTTGTCCGTCGCGGCCCCTGCGATTGAAGTGGTCGGTGCGGGGCTGGTGCGTCGCGAATCGTAGCCGTACGTGCCCCACGGTATCCCTGCCTGCAAGCTGCCTTGTCGTTTGGGCTGGTCCACAGGACGGCGGCTAGGCCTCGAGGCAGGGTACGTCGGGACCCTTGGTCCGCCTCGGTTCGCCTGGTGGCCCTCCTACCAGAAGCTCTAGGTTCCGGTCAAGGGTCAAGGCTGGCCAAGTTGGGCGGGGCGCAGGGAGCGGTTCATCGTTGCGTGGTGCCCGTCCGTCACGAGCGACGGTGGGTGGTGTGCGACCAGCACAAGGGAGTGAGCTGGCGCGTGATCACGACAGCGGCGAGCGAAAGAGCGGATTGATCCAGCTAGAGAGTCCTAGCGTCGGTTGGCGAGAATCGACGGCCGCGATGAGAGCGAGCCGTACGTAGGCGGTGAGCGGGCGAGATGGTGGAGTGGGGAAGAGAGCGGAGCAGGGGAGAATGTCGTGCTTCGGCTGTCGAGCCGTCTTCAATTTGACAGGTCTCTGACGTGCTTCTCCGGCGGCGAAAGGGGTCGCACCAACGACCCGCTTCACCTCACTCCCTGACGCCATCTTGGCCACCCAAAGAGGCACAAGCACACCACCACCACCATCTTCGCGATGCCGTCTCACGGCAATCGAAAGAGAGCTAGAGCGAGCACCGTCAGGCAATGATGCCCTCTTGCGGCTTGACCGATGCGATCGAATCGAGACCCACTCCCCGTTCCAGCCAGAACCCTGCCCACCGCGGCTGTACGGCATGGTGGGTCGGGATCCCTCAACCGTGCGTGCAACGTGCCTTCCCGCGGGGTGACAGAGCTTGTGCTTGCCCTTGAGCAGGAAGGCGTTCGCTGTGCTCTTCGTTGGGTCGTCCTCCTGCCTTTGAAGCAGCAAGGACCATGGCTGAGGTACCGGGGCCGTGGACCAACCTCGATAGCTTCAGAGCCAGGATCTTCCTTGGAGACACCCCGGCCTCCTCCTGCTCTCTCACCATCTCCCTCAACCAATCTTGTTCTAGCCATCATACTCACCTTTCGTGCTCTTTTCTTCCACCAACCGCCCATTTGACAGCTTGAGGAGACGATGTCGACCACCGCAACCGCAGCCAGGACCTTGCCCGCGCCGATAGAGGTCGGCCGCGGCAGAGATGCCGATCAAGGCGCGGAGCGACATCGCCAGGTCCCAACGTCGCCGCATGGCCCTCTGTATACCGACGAGCAGCGGGCTGCAGCACTCTCACTCCTGATGCCCAGCCTTGCCGATGCCGTGCTGGGCGCCGGCTGGGACGACGTCCCCTCGCCACCCACGCCGTCCAGCCCGACGCTGGAGGCTTCGTCGCTCCTCTCCCCCGGCGGCTGCTCCTCGTCCTTCTCGTCTTCCGGTCCGAGCACGCCTCCCAACGGCCTCGCAGGTGGCGACGCGCTCCTCGAAAGTGCGGCATCCAAGGGCGGTGGCGCTGGCGTCGGTGCCGGTGCGGCTGCCCGCGAGCTGGAGCACCTCACCGACGCGCTCCTCGTCCGCTCGTGTCGACAGGGGTGGGAACGCTCCTTTGAGCTCCACTCGCACTGGCCTCGGCCACGCATCGAGGCGGCCGACGAGGTGCTGATCCGCAACGTCGCCGTCGGCCTCAACCCAGTCGACTGGAAGAGCGTCTCGTACAACTTCGGCATCGCCGACTGGCCCTGGGTCCTCGGCCGCGACGTGGCGGGCATCGTCGAGCAGGTCGGTGCCGGCGTCGAGGGCTTCCAGGTGGGCGACCGCGTATGGACGTGCGCAGACTCGCGCGACAGCCGCGCCGGCGCCTACCAGCGCTTCAGCATCGCCAAGGCCGATACCGTCGGCAAGGTTCCCGACCGCGTGCGCGATCAGGAGGCCGCCACCATCGGCACCGGCCTCGTGACGGCGGCGGTCATCATGTACTGGCTCTTCCGCCTTCCCCCTGCCGCCTCCGTCGCGGCTGCGGCCCCAGCCGGTCCGGCGAGACGCTCGCCATCGTCGATATGTGGCAAGTGGATCCTCATCTACGGCGGCGGCGCAGTGACGGGCATCTATGCGGCGCAGCTCGCCGCGCTCAGCGGTCTCCGCGTCGTCTCGGTAGCTTCGCCGAGCAACTTCGACTATCTCCAGTCGATCGGCGTCGAGGCCTGCGTCGATCGCTACGCCGATCCCAGCTCGGTGCTGCGGCGCATCGACGAGATCACTGCGGGTGATCTGGCGTTCGCCATCGACTGCGTCGGTAGCAAGACAGCCAACATCTGTTACGAGGCCCTCGCTTTGGCCAGCCGTATCTCAGCCGTCGCCGGGGAGCGGCCTTTGCCGGTGCCCAGGGAAGTCGGTGAGCTCGTCTGCCTTGCCGGCAACCCGAAGCCAGATTTCGTCGACGAGTTCAAGGCCCGGCAAGAGGCTGTGGGGGGCCAGGGTGCCGATGTCAAAGTGCACCGCATCAGTTTCTCGACCACCGTGAGTCCTGGCTGGCCTCAGCGCCATCGTCCGGCGAGTCGGGTGTGGCGAACCATGCTTGCTGAACCGTCGCCCCTATGCCCCCTCCACTCAAACATCGTCGTCCAGTTCTATGGCGACAGCAACTTCTCCCGCTCCACCCTCGATGACATCTATACGCTGCTCTTGTCGGGCGAGCTGCAACCGGTCTGTCCCGAGATTGTCCCCGACGGTCTGGCGGGTATCCGGTGAGTCCCCGACTGAATGCGCCACGTAGCCTGAAGTCGACGCTGATCAAAGCCTATGGGTACTCGTGTTGCATCTTGACGACGCTCCCGAGCAGCCGGGGCCTCGAGGCGCTACGCGATGGGACGGCGCCGCGGGCGAAGAAGCTCGTCGTATCCATTGCCGACACGCCGTCGGCCGACCTGACGCACCTCGGCGTGAAGACAGACCTGGGCTGGAACGGCGTGGTGTAGGCTTCGACCAGCGAGAAGGAGTGTCCGTGATCGTGCGCCACTGGTGCGAGGGAGGAAGGTCGATACGGGCACCCCGCAATTCTAGACCATCTTGGCCATTTCAGCCCCTTGAGCGGCGACCATCCATTCGAGATCGAGCTCGGTCAGGAATGACTCCATCTGTGGATACGGTTGCGGGAGGGTGAAGAGAGGCTAGTCAGCATCGGCGGCGGACGAGCGAGAAGCGCGAGGGTGGCTCGAGGCGGAGTGCGTGGCTCACCATCTGCTGTCTCCGCTCCGCCTCGACCTTGGCGGCCTGTGTGTACAGCCGGTCCCCGCGGATCTTGACGAGTCTGTGGTGGACAGCCGCGAGCCTCGCCCGCACAGGTCAGCCTCTCAGCCTCCTGATCCGCGCCTGTGCGATGAAAACGGTCAGGCCAGGGCGAGTGTGAACCTACTTTTCGTGGAAGTGGGCGACGGCGCTGCCGTTGTAGCCCTCTCCCTGCTCCGCGGGCGGACGGCTGTCCATCTGCGCGTTGTTGGGCGGCACGTAGAGGGGCCGCATCTTGACGGCGCTGAAGGCGGCGCATCGCATGATGCCTGGTGGAGTCGTGACAGCGACACGGTCAGCCGATCGCCTCGTCGATGCGCTTCCTTGGCACGTCACGACGCACCGATGCTGCCGATGGCGTCGAGCCTGTCGGCATCGCTGACACACCAAAACTCCCGACAGGAGTCGAGCCATTGGTCGAGCTCCTTTTCTTGCTGGCTGGGCTCCTCGCCGAGGCTGTGGCTGCGCTGGCGAGCCTCCCTGCGGCGGCAGTCCTTGGACCAGCTGACGTTGTCGACGATCTTTACGATGCGTTCGCGCTGGACGGCGTCGAGGATGTACGAGGACGGGTGCGAGTCGAAGAACGAAGAGATGATTGGCAAGGATCCGGACGAGTAGACGGTGGTCTTGGCATACTTTGCATCGTTGAGGTCGTGAAAGAGGCTGGCGTGGGGGGAGGAGGGAGAGGGGAGGGCGAGCGAAGCAAGGATGGCTGTCAGAGAGAGGGCCGGCGGAAGATCGAGGGCCGGCGCCGGCGAGACGCAACGCAACGCACGCTGCCAGTTCTACGACGAGGAGGTCGAGCTGCTCGTCTGCCACGTCTGGGCTGTTTCGGAGCGAGAGTGCGAGCTGGCGGACGCGGTTGACGTGGTGCCAGTCGTGCGAAGGGTCGTGATTCTCAAAGGCTCTCTGCGGGGTTGGATCGGTCGTTGGAGGTGGAAGGCGGGCTGGTTGGTACCTTTAGCCTGTCATCGCTGTCGCTGTAAAAGACGAGGGCGCGGCGCGGTGACCGAGAGACGGCTGCTTGCCCTCCCTTCTCACCTTTACGAATGCCTCTGCGTCTCGGATGAGGGCCTCCTGGACCGTGTACCCGTCTGACGCGTCCGAGGAGATGGACAGCGAGGCGGTGTGGTTTGCCAGGTCTGCTGGCGAGTTGCGCTGTGCCATGGTGGGGATGGAATGGGAGCCTGCGTGGTGCGGTGCGGTGCGGTGCGGTGCGGCGGCGGCGGTTGGTGTGGCGAGGAGAAGCGAGGAGGATGCTCGAGGAGCGGAAGAGAAGACAAGAATGGGCAGCCAGCCAGGCTGATCTGTGCACTCAGCAGAGGGAAGGGGGGGGGGGGGGGGCCGGCCCTCTGTGGCAGCGCGGGCTGCAATTCAATTCGGCGCGAGAGCCGACCCTGTCTCCTCTCCTCTCTCCTCTCCTCTCGTCTCTCTCTTCGACTCCAGCCACCAACAACATCGACGCCACCCGACCATCGGACCCCCTTGCCTGCCCATCGAGGCCAGCCATGGACAACATCCCGCTCGGATCTCAGCATTGAGGCCTACCTCGCCGGCATCCGGCTCGCCTCCTCGCCCGCCCCTTTGCCCCCGCCTTTGCTCTGGCTCTTGCCCCGGCCGCCCCCACGCTGAGCTTCCATCGACCGCCATGTCGTCCCATGCCCCGCCACGTTCTACTCCCTCGCCGCCCAACGCCCCTGCTCCCATCTCTAGCGAGGCAGTCTCGCACCGTACAAGTACGACTGCATCGCCCGCGCCCGCGCCCCTCACCCCGACCAGCCTTCACCTCAGCATGCCCTCGATGCACCCGCCTCGCCCGACGGCTCACGCCCTTGAGTCCGCCTCCTCGAGCCGTGCCCAGCGGACCGCCTCGGACTGCGCCACCAACCAAGCCGCACACGCATCGTCCGCTCCAGCAATCCCGGCGTCCTCATCGTCAGCCGCTGCTGCCATGGCCACCCAGCGTGGCTCCTTTTCCTCTGTCACCGCCTGCTCCCGATCGCAATCGCCCGACGACCACAGGTCCAGGTCTGCCACAGCCAGCAGAGCCGGACGCAGAGCCCTCGTCCGCTCCGGCACGAGCGGCTCCCTGCCTCTATCCGCGTCACCCTCCGCACTCACTCCAGGGTCCGAGACCGGCCCCGCCACAGAATCTGCCCAGTCGGTGGCAGCAGGGCCCGAATCCGGTCAACTCGGAGCCCAGTCCGCTACCCAGGCTGCCAGTGGGTCTCTTCCGCGATCAGACACGAAGAGCGCGTCCAGCCCCAGGATCAGATCCGCCGACATGCAGAGCCAGCAGGCAACCGCCGAAGACGTCGACGACGAGGCCTGCTTCGTCGATCCCGACAGGCCAAAAGTTGACTTCCTCGCACTCCTGCCGTTTGAGCTGGCCCTCTACGTCCTATACCACCTGCCCTCCCACCGAGACCTAATACGCGCCTCGGCCGTCTGCCGCACGTGGCGAACGGTCGCCACCGACAATGTCGTCTGGCGCGAACGCTTCTTCCGCAACCCTGGCTGGGCCATCCGCAGCGATGCCGAGCTCGTCTTGCGGCGCCAACACGAAAAGCACAAGAAGGCTGCAGCACTGTCCGCCAAGCGGCGCCAGGACAAGCTGAGGGAAGTCGAGCAACGTCGTCAAGCCAGCACGAGCCGGCTCTCGTCTCTCCGGTCATGGCGCGAATCGCTCCACATCCCCTCCCTGCCGGATCTGTCGTCGCTCAGCCTGACGGCTTCGGCATCGCTCAGCATCGGAGGGTCCAGCTCCCTCAGCTACTCGGCCAAGACCGCAGCAAGGGACGCCCCTGAGGGCACATCGGCTCCTCCTCTTGCTTCTCCCTCGCGTGAAGCGTCCAGCAGCCGCTTCGGCTTCCTTCCCAGCCCTGCCCGCGGTCCGCTGACTCCTGCTGGACGTCGTCGAGCGCAACGCTCCGCCCCCAGCGACGGCGCTGTCGTCGCTGATGCCAATGCAGTGTCTCTGGTCAACCGCGCGGGCGCGGACGACGATGCCGCCGCAGCCTCGAGAACAACGTCAGACGACGTCGTCCGAGACGAAGACCTGCTGTCGTCGCTGGACTGGCGCATACTGTTCCGCGACCGCCACATCCTCGACCAGCGGTGGCGCCGGTGCCGCGAGCCAGGGGCTTCCAAGGCCACGGGCGGACGCAGCCGCCTGTCGTCCTCGCCGCGCGCCTTCGAGCCCTCGAGGCGGATCCTGCTGGGCCACAAGGACGGCGTCTACTGCGTGCGCCACGACACGGGCATCGGCTCGGGCACCGAGGGTCGCATCGTGTCCGGCTCGCGGGACCGCACCATCCGCGTGTGGGACACGGAGACGGCCAAGTGCCGCCACATCATCAAGGGCCACGCCGCCAGCGTGCTGTCGCTCCACTACGACGAGCGGATCCTGGTCACCGGCAGCTCGGACGGCTCGGTGTTTGTGTGGGACTTTGCGGGCATCCTGGCGACGACGACAACGACGCGGCAGCACGGCGACGAAGACGCCTCGTTCGATGGCAAGAAGGCGGCAATCGTCGGGCCGTCGGCGCCCGCGGACCCGCAGCGCGGCGACGGCAGCAGCAGCAGCACCTCGACCGCGGAAGAAGGTGACGATGACGACGGCGATGACGACAACAACGACGACGGCGGCGGTGACGATGATGGCGCTGGCGGCCACGGCAGCACCAAGCCGTTGCGCCACGGCACGGAGAGGGTGGTGGCCAGGCTTCGCGGCCACACCATGGGCGTGCTCGACGTCACCTTTGACGACGAGTGGATCGTCTCGTGCAGCAAGGACTCGACGGTGCGGGTGTGGAAGCGCGGGGAAGGCTACGACTTCCACCGGCGCTACGCGGGCCACTCTGGACCGGTCAACGCGGCGCGGATCCAGGACAAGCGGGTGGTGAGCGCTGCGGGCGACGGGAGCGTGCACCTGTGGGCGGTGGCTTCGTGCGAGACGCTGCGCGTCTTTTCGGGCCACGAGCGCGGGCTGGCGTGCGTGGCGTTTAGCGGCAACACGGTCATCAGCGGCAGCAACGACCAGACGATCCGGGCGTGGGACGCCGAGCGCGGAACGTGCGTGGGCATCTACGAGGGGCACGAGCACCTCGTCCGCGCCGTTGCTTACGACGGACCGCGCCGGCTCATCGTCAGCGGCGGCTACGACAAGCGCATCAAGGTGTGGGACGCCGATGTCCCCGACAAGCCGCTGCGCGAGATCCGCCCGCACGTGGCGCGCATCTTTGACGTCGAGTTCGACTGTACGCGCATCGTCTCGGCCAGCGAGGACCAGTCGATCTGCATCACCTCATTTGGCGGAGCCGGCATCGATACCAGCCTGTTTGCCTAGGGTGGGTGGGTGACCAGGTCCAGGTCCAGGTCCAGGCGGACCGGATCGCGTCAGACGGCCGATGAGGGCCGCAGCGACGCAATGAAACGAAACGCGTGGGGGCCTTCCAGACCTGGATCCCTCGCGATGCTCGGCTGAATGCCTCATCTGCCTCGTCCTCGATATGCCTGCATCAGCCAGAGAGAGCACCGAGCAGTCATCCTCCACCATGGCAGAATGGCAAAATGGCCGGACCACGCAGCGGGCAGCGAGCGAGAGGAAGCGCAGCCGAGATTGAACCGGATCGAGGATGGACGAGAGGACATGGGGTGCGAGAGATGTCAAAGAGATGCGAGGCATGGTATATGGGGGGAGAAGAGCCTCGAGACGATGCAGGTGAGCGAGTACGTGGTGTGGAGAAGAGGGCATGAAGGGAGGTTTCCGGTCCTGATGCGAGCTTGGTCGGATGCTGGATTGGTATAGAGAGCGACGGGGCGGGGACGCCGAGCCGATAGAAGGCAGGATGGGACGCCCTTGCCGCCGCCGTCGTCTTGCTCGCGATAATCTAAGCATGTCGATGTCTCCGGGACAAGGTCGGGCAGAGGAGAGGAAGAGAAGGCGAATGCACGAAGCCTGCTCGAGGGCGAGGAGCCGACGCTAGGTGACCTGCCACACCTTGACCTCGACCTCCTTGACAACGTTCCTCCAGGCGGGAAAGCGGGTGCGCGCCCAGATGCCGATCGAGTCGCCGCGCCGCGCCTCCTGGACCAGCGGGTGCTCGGGTCCAAAGGTGACGGTGTGCTCCGTGAAGCGCCGCACGGCGTGCAGGTTGCGCGTCAGCTCGTAGCGGCACTGCTCTTCCCACGCCACGGGCGGCCGAGGGGCGTCGTGCGTCGCCGCCGATGCCGTGCCGCTGCTCGCCGCCGAGGCCCGTCGAGAATCCGCGCCGGGAGCGAGCTCGTGGAAAGGCGAGGAGGCGGCGCTGACAAAGTGTCCCTGCCCAGCCGCTTCGTCGTCGTCGTTGTCGTCGTCGTCGGCAGCAGCCCTTCCTTTATCGCCGTCGACTGAAGTGCTGGCATCCTGTCCTTGTGCGGACGTCGCGGGTCGATCGAGGGTGGCCTCCCACCAAGTCCAGCTGCCCTCCTTTGTGCCGTGCATGTGTGCCGGCTCGCCGCTGAAGCCCTGGTCGTGGCTGACGATGCGGAACTCGACCTTGCGAAGGAAGCCGCGCTCGAGCTCGCCGCTAAAGGCGGGCGTGCGGAAGTAGAGGTCGTTGGAGTTGTCGTAGAATGTGGTGGGCGCAAAGTGGAAGCTGACCTTGCAGAGGTAGTACTCGGCGAAGTCGAGGATGAGCGAGACGACCTCGGGCGGCAGGGCGGGCAGACCGCCCTGCTCCCCTTTGCCATCACCTGTGTAGTCGGCAGAGCGGGGCTCTCGCCGATGGCGCAGAGGGGACGAGGGCGACGAGAGGAGAAACTGGACCTCGGCCACATCTTGCTGAGTACGCGGCGGGCCGTCGCCCATTTCCTGGATCGAGAGGGCCGCCGATGCGTGGTTCTCGCGCGGCATGGGGAAGTTGTGGATGCTGGCGATGGCGGCGAGGCTGTCGCCGACGACGCGGGCAAACGACGAGAAGAGCGACATGACCGCAGCGCGAGCGTCGACTCTGTGCCTTGCTCAAGCGGCGGCCGCCGGCGATGCGGCTGCGGGCGTTGGGTTGCAGAACCGGCCCGGTCCCGCCTCGTGTCGGCAGCTCGAATGTCGGGGGTGAGAAGCGGATGGATGGCAGGCTGGATGATGAGCTGTGAGGATGCGGGGGGGCTGGATACCGAGGAAGGATGGAGTGCAGTGCAGGAGCTATGCTTGCGTCGGCCAATCGCGGTGCCGTCGAGGTGCGTAGCAGGTGTGCTTTGAAAGGGGCGGCAAGGACATAAGAAGAGACTGAGCGAGCGGGTGGAGCTTGGTTATGGCTGGAAAAGGGGGGAAGAGGGAGCAATTTCGTGCCGTGTGCAGCGGACGTAGATGTAGGAGAAGATGAAGTGGGTGGCGTTGGCAGTCGAACGAGGAGGTCGTCGTCGGCGGTGGCTGGTGCGTCGAGTCGAGCGGCGGCGGCGGCGGCTCAGCCAGAGGAAAAGCAAGAAGCAGGCGGCCGTGCAAGAAATTTAAGACTCGCCTTGGCAACGAGGCTCAGCGTAACCACGGGGTGGAGGACAGGTGAGCGAGGGGGGGCTGGCGTCATACATAGCCTGGCGCACAGTTGGAGCCTTTGGGCCATCCTCCAACCAGCCGCCTTTGTGCGAGCCACTCTGCAAATAGACTTGTCGGGCGCCCGTTTGCACACAGAGACATTTGACACATCCACGCAGACCCACACCACACTCAGGCACGCGCATCGACCCGAGGGAGATCGCACCTCCTCCTGCCGTTGGGGATTCCAGCCGACGACGACGACGACGACGACATCCTGGCAGGTCACCGTGCTGCGCGGGGCTTGGCAGCCGCCAGCTTGCCGGCCTCGCGCCGCCGGTCCACAAGGGCAAAGATCGAGTTCTGCACCAGCGTATAGGTGCCCGACGACAGCCAGTAGATGATCAGAGCCTGAAGCACGGCGCAATGGGCCACAGGTCGAGGCGAAAAGAGAAGCATCGTCAGGTGGTCAATCACTCGCCCCTCGTCGCCTTCGCTGCCTGACCGGCCCACAGCCTCTCTGTGCACTCACACCTGGTGCCTGGCTGGCAATCGGGATCGACGCGATGGCGAGCACGCGGAATGCGTTGGTCAGGATCCGCGTCCGCCGCGGCTCCTCGTCTTCGCTGCTGCTGCTGCTGACGCCGCTGCTAGTTGGCTGTCCCCTCGCAGCCGCATCAGAGGCCGGCCCAGGCGGCTTGGCCTCGGCCTTTGTAGAATCGCCGAGGGCGGTGAGCTTGGCCATCGCCCTCCTCGACCAGCTGGTGAGTTCGACGTTGGTCATCGTCAGCATGCCCAGGCTCACGGGCCCAATCATGGTGTTGTCGCGATCCGCCAGCGTCGGCCCTCCCTGCGTGCCCTGCAGCTTGGCGATCAGCTCCGGCTCCATGCCCCGATCCGCCAGGATCGACGCCGACGCCTTGAACTGTGCCGCCATCTCGGGAGAAGGCGACCACCACGGCAGCACCTCGGCGGCAAAGGGGGAGCCGGGCAGCATCGCAGATTGACGGATCAGCGCCGACAGCATCAGGAACACGGGCAGGTGCACAGCCAGCGGCGCAAGAAAGGAGGGCACCGGCGAGCACCGGTGCTGCCGCAGCAGATCCCGGATCTTTGCCTTGAGCTGCGGCGATGAGGTCAAGTCGATCGTAGAGCAGATCACGAGCAGGTGAGGTCAGGCGTGTGGCCTAGCGCGACGTTGTTCTGGTACCGAGGCGACGAGGTTAGACTCACGTCGGCCTGGAGCTCCTTCTGGAACTCTTCGTACGACTTTCCTGCCCTCCTGCACCTCGCCCGGACGACGGTGGGGGCGGATGCCTTGTAGGCCGTCCACTCGGGCACAACGAGCTCCGTCATACGCTGCGTCCGCCTGCGCTGCCACAGGGTCATTGGCAGCGTAAAGACGGTGCGGACGGCAAACGCGAGCGCAAAGATCGAGATGGCGTGGGCGTAGGGCCCCGTGATGTGCAGCGTGTCGGCGAGCGAGTGGAGCGTGGGCGCCCAAGGCTCGAGGAACGAGAAGCCAAACTGCGAGGTCGAAGCGAGCGCATCGGATGGCGTAGCCTCCGCGAGTGCTGTCGCCGTCGTCGTCGTCGTTGTCGATGCCGCCGCCAAGGCTGCTGACGTCGAGCCAGCAGCGGCATCCGAGGCTTGGCTGCGCATCGAAGAGGTCGCAAACCCTCTCGAAGCGCGGCGGGAGTGACTCGTCGATGAGATCGCCGAGGCAAGTGCTGGCCTGTGCCTCCCGGCTACGGAGGCCATGGGGCGAGCGGTTGAGAGTCGAAGCAGGTGAGCCGATGGTCCTGCGGACTGGACGGCCACGAGGGCGGCGAAGAGTTGAGTGGATGCCCTCATGTCGTGAGACGCGGGGCCGTCTTGAGATTGTCGTTGTCCGTCGAGGAGTGGCCAGGGTTACGTGCTGTAGATGGAGCAAGAGCAGGGGCAGGGTCGTACTGTATTGGCAAGGAGCAAAGAGGAGGTTGGAACCAACGGGCAGCCCCCGCTTACCAAGGCGGCGGGCGGCGCACGAAGCACGGGACACAAGAAGAACCGCAGGCAACAGCGCGAGGCCGAGTCCCGCAGTCGGACCTGCCTGTCGCCTTCGGAAGTCGGAGCGCGGCCCTCTTTTGGTGAGCTCCACCTTTGCTGGCCGTTGTCAGCGCCCTGCCCCGCTCGCAGCTGACTCGTCCCAGAGGGAGAGAGTGGCAGACAGGCATGCGGCAGCGGGTGGCAAAGCTCAGCAGAGCCCACAGGCTCGCCCAGGCTCAGCCCGCCAGGCATTCGACTCTGGGTGGCAACTTGTGGCGAGGGCACTGCGACAACCTGGTTCAGTTCCCCTCACCAACAAACCCGCTCTCCCCAGACTTTCCCACATCCAGCGGAGAGGCCCTGGATCCCCTCACACACAGCAAACGGCCCCATTCCTATCCACACAGCTACCGACGACGCACACGCCTCTCAGACGCGGCCACGACCGGCACTCGAGTCCGTCCACCTTATCAGCACAGCATCATAGAGTATCCCCCAGCCATGGGCAACAGAGGAGGCAACAACAATAGAGGTGGCAGGGGCAGGGGAGGAGGCGGCGGCGGCGGCGGAGGCGGCGGTCGTGGCGGGTGGCGCGGCAGAGGCCGCGGAGGAGGCGGTGGCTTCGACTCGGGCTTCATCCCCTTCTCTGGCTTCGGTCAGGCGCTGGGCGGATCTCCCTCTTCTGGTCCCTCGTCCGGCTACAACACACCCCGCGGCGGTCGAGGTGGCGGACCGGGGGGCAGAGGCGCAGGCCGTGGCTTTGGTCGCGGTCGAGGAGGCAGCCTCGCCGCCCAGGGTCAGAACCAGGTCGGCTTCGACTACTCTGCACTCTCCCGACCTCGTCGCCGACGTGGCGAAGACGACGGCCAGGGCGACCAAGACGTTGATACCAGCGACGACGAGGACGAGGACGAGGACGAGGCAGACTTCCCCATAGATCCACCAAAGGGCTACCGCCACCAGCACAAGCCCCACCTCGAGATCCCGTCCGCACCCTCGCCCCCGCTCAACCCAACGACCCCCGACAAGAACGCCGCGGACGCCGCTGGGATAGCCGCCATCATCCCAACGGGACCACGGGCAGGACCGCCCGTCTACCCGAGCGCGCAAACCCGCCAGAACTTCACCCCCAACCCGCGCTACAAGCGTCCCACGCCGACCGTGTATCCCGAGTTCCACACCACTCGCGGCTCAGGCTTTGGCAATCGACCGCCAGAGGAGAACGAGGACGCCAAGTACCTGGCCGCCATCCCCGGCCTGCGACGCCCAGGCCAAGGTCAGGACCCGCGCCGCCGCGGCCACTTCCGCTCCGGCGACCCGGCCTTCAACGATGACAATCCGCTTCGCAAGCCGCTAACCTTTGTCAAGGCCACTGGCGAGTGGAAGGACGGCAAGTTTCTGCCATTCGACGCAGACAAGGCGGCTTCCAAAGAATTGCAGCCTGGCGAGGAGCCGGTGGAAGAGCCTGTGCCGGAGCGCAAGGCGATGCAGGAGCAGGCCGATGCCTTCACCGCAGGCAGCGAGCGGCCAAAGCATGCTGGACTCGGTTTCGCCCGCGCCCAGCAGCAGCATCAGCAGCAGCAGCACAAGGAGATTGAACCGGAGACGCTGGCCAATGCCATGCAAGTCGACGGAGAAGAGGGGGACGCCGTCGCCGACTTTCTCAGGGCCTTTCCTGGCTCGCGCGAGCTCGGTCCGGATGAGGGCATGGTCGACGCCCTTGCTCAGCAGCCTTCCTTCTTTGCGCCGCCGAGCTCGACCCTCTCAAAGGCGCCGTCCCATCCTGTGGACACGGCGCAGACTGCATCGACTTTGTCGACGGCGACGTCAAAGCCGCAACCTTCGCGGCCGCCACCAGCATCGTCCTCGTCCGATGACGATGACGAGGAGATCATTCTGGTCCCTGCCAAGCCCAACGACCCGGCCTCTGCTTCGTCTCGAGGACGTGGAGCTCAAGAGGGATCCGGCCGCTACGCCGAGTCTGACTCCGATGAAGAACGGCAGCTCGATGCGATACTCGGACAACAGTCCAAGGCTTCAGGCGATGACGAGGAGCAGGCCGCAGGCGATCCGTTCGTCATCGATCTCACCGGAGAGTCGCCCAAGCTCGATGCCGTCGATGCGCTGCCGTCGTCCAAGGGTCGAAGGCATCGAGTTGCGCTCGGCGATGCGGTGCCGCCGTCGGACGGCCACGACGACTCGAGCGATGGCGACGACGACGAGGGATACGAGTATGAGATCAACATGACACAAAGGCAGCCGCGAGGCGCAGGCAAAAAGGCCCGCAACGCCGCGAAGAAGGCCCGTCGGCGAGCGAGAAACAAGGCCGACAAGGCATCGGAAGGCGGCGGGCCCGACATCAGCCTCAACCAGCGCGTGCCCCGCGAGGGCGATTCCGACCTCGACTGGGGCAGCGACGGCCCGCCATGCGTGGAACAGGACGACCTCGAGCAGGATGTGCTCGCTCTCGCTGCGGCCGGCATCACGTTCAAAGAGGTCGAGGTCCTGGACGTCGAGATGCCGCGAACCGCCGACGACGAAGACGCCATGCTCAAACAGGCCATCGAGGCCAGCCTCGGTCTGTCCCAGGGCGACGCCGCGCCCGCGGTCCCGCGACGCACGCTCGCAGACATCCCTATCAAGAAGAAGCAGAACCTCAACCAGGCGAAGAAGCAGGCAGCTGCAAGCCGCCGCAAGGACCACCAGGCCGAGATGCTCGCCGACTACCTCGAGAACGTCAGGGCCCAGCAGGCCAACGGGCAAGACGACGACGGCGACGACAGCTCCGAGGGCGACATGCAGGAGGAGCGCATGGATGGCCTGCTCGACGCTGGCTCCGGCAAGAAGGGCAAGTCGAAGGCGGTGCCGCTGTCGGCCAAGCTCGACGAGCAGACGGAGCTCGACGCCATGATCCGCTTCATGAACGGCATGGACCCGCAGAAGGAGGGCCGGCACAAGTCGTTTGGCGACGTTGCGGTCGAGGCCCAGATGCAAGAGGAGGAGGAATGGATGACCGAGGAGAGCGACGACGACGACGACCAAGGCGCTGCGAGGCAGGATGCCACCGGAGTCAAGGCTCAAACGGAGGTTAGCGAAGTAGACGCCCTCTCCGCCACCACCAGGTCGAAACCTGCTGGACGTCGAAAGGGCGACAAGCGCAAGGACGTCGCACTGCTGGAGTCCGAAAGGCAGCTCCTCGTCGAAGACTCGGACGAGGAGAAGCAGGCCGAGCAGCTCCGCAAGATCCTGGAGAGCGAGGACTCGGATCTCTCCCTCGACTCGGACGACGATGATGATGACGAAGATGACGACGACAATGACGAGGACGATGACGACGACTCAGAGGACGAGGATGAGGATGATGACTCGGAAGACGACGACGGTGATGACGACGACGACGACGATTCGGACGACAACATGTTCAAGGGCAACTTTGCCTGGGGCGAGGAGGACGAGGCGTTCATGGCCAAGCTCGCCGATAGCGTCGGGAGCGGGCGCAAGGCTCAGAAGCGCCTCTTCAAGTCGATCGAGAAGGGCGAGTTCGGCAAGCTGGGCCGGCTCACGGTCGACGACGGTGACTTTGGCGACCTCGACCTGAGCCTCGACCCCGACGACCCCGTCTATGGGCTAGGCTCCGTGGCGCCGGCCAAGCGGGGCAAGAACAAGAACCGAAACTGGAAGGCCGATGACCTGTGGGCCGAGGAGCTCGAGCAGCAGTGGCAGAGGGATCGGGCGAGCAAGGCGGCCAACAAGAAGAAGCGGGCCGCCGAGCGCCAGGCGGCGGCGCTCAACCCGTTCCCCGCGACGCACAAGAAGGGCAAGAAGAAGGCCGAGAAGAAGGCGCGGCGGGCGGCCAAGCGCGAGGCCAAGGCCAAGGGGCGTGCCAGCGGCTGGTCGGACGACGACGTCGACGGCTTTATCCTGGGCGCCGGCGCCGGCGCCGGCGACGGCGACGGCGACGACATCATGGCGGCCGAGGACCACGAGCTGGGACGTCGGTTTGCCAATTCGCTGGGCGAGCTCGACGAGCAGATCAAGCTCTTCCTCGGCGATGCGGGCAAGTCGACGCTGACGCTGCCGCCGATGGACAAGCGTTCGCGCGCCCAGGTGCACATGCTGGCCGACGCCTACCACCTCAAGAGCAAGAGCAAGGGCAAGGGCAAGGACCGCTTCCCGACGCTCATCAAGACGAGCCGCTCGGGCATTGACGTGGGCCAGAAGAAGGTGCGCCGCATCCTGCTGGGCCACGGCCACGCCACCTTTGGCCTCGGAGCTACTGTCAAGGGCGGTGGCCGAAGGGGTGGCGGGGGCGGCAAGACCACCGTCGGCGCCACGGGTGGCGGAGGCATGGCGCCCAAGAACCGCGAGGGCGAAGAGGTCGGATGGGGGGCCGACAAGATTGGAGCCGACAACATCGGTCACCGGGTGAGTCAGAACGAGACTTGGCCAGCCCGCAGCACTGGCCCTTGTGGGCTGAGCACACGACGTGGACGTGGAGCTGACCCATTGCCACATCTTACTGCCTTGATCTCGCCGGTGCGCGTGCGCTGCTGCTGCGACAGCTGCTGGCGGCCATGGGCTGGACCGAAGGGACGGGAATCGGCGTGTCGGGAGGCATCTCGGACCCGGTCTCGGCCACTGTCAAGGTGTCCAAGGGCGGCCTGGGATGGTAGGCGCGCCGTCGACTTGGCCGTCGACATGTCGTTTGCATCTTGTCACCTTGCTTTCCGCTGCTGCGCTGCGCCGCGCTGCTCGGTCCCACCAGCATGTTGGGCGAGCCCGCTGCTCGCCATCGACCCGCCCTATGCCTGCGCCTTGAGGCGGGCCACTCTCGGTAGCTTTGAATCCGATCCGCTTCCAGCGGTGCATGCCCGCTTGCGGCCCGCGAGGATGGCCTCGCCGGTCGCTGATCGACGAGCGAGTGCTTGGTTTGGCCGAGTGCCCACTTGGTCGAGCCGATCTTGAAATGATGTTGGCTGAGCCGCAGCGCGAGGGATGCGTGCGCATGGACCATGTCTCTCGCCAGCCTGAGGGGAGAGAGAGGGCTTTTGGCTGAGCAGCGCCGCGGCTTGGCCTCCACACGAAACCGAGCTGACAAGGGGCAAGCAAGGCCAAGCTAAGGCGGCCTGCCGCCCGCGCCACGCCACGCCAGACAGAGACGCTGCGTGTGCGGACGGACCCCACGCCGCTTTCTCTTTCTGCCTTTTCCCCACCACCTCTGCTAACCAGCCCGCCCCTTGGCCCTTCGTTGCGGGCTTTTCTCCGTAACCCTTGCTGCCTCGAGTATTCGCACGCGCATCGACCGACTCCTCGCTCGACCGCCAACATCCCTCGTCGGCTCGAGCCGACCTGGCCCCACCCGACCTCACCCGTCGCCGTCGCCGTCGCCGTCTCCTGCCGCCGCCGCCCCACAACCATGTCGCAGGATACGTCGTCGTCGTCGTCGACGCTGATGCTCAGCAGCGTCGAAGACGTCCTGGCACTCACGCTCCAGTGCGGCGACCGACTCGGCCTCGTCCAGTCGTCGCTCATCCCGGCCCTGCACAGGTTCACCCACGATGCGCGCATCGACTCCGACGCACTCCTCGCCCGCCCCGTCGAGGGCGACAGGGATCCGCTCGGCGCCCTCAGCCCGGCCGTCAACACCGTCGGCTACCTCTACATCCTGTAAGTCGCGTTTTTGAGCACCCGCAAACAACATCGCCCTAGCGGCGCACAGCTGACCCGCTCTGCTCGACCCGCGCTGCCCTCTCATTCTCTCTCTCTCTCTCTCTCTCCCCGGAACGCCAGCACCGCGAGGCTCAAGCTGTACACGTCTCAGGAGCAGACCAACGTCCACCTGGCGGTGGCGAGCCAGTTTGTCGAGAGCTTCAACCTGGCACAGGCCAGGTGTGTCGGCGGCAAAGGTGAGCCGCTCCCGCACGCCGCCTCCATCGCAGCTCCAAGCGCGATTGGCCAGAAGCTGACGAGGTATCCTCTTGCCCTTGCCCTCAATTCTTCACCCTCGACAGTTGCTCAGCTCGCAAGACAGGTGGCTGAGCTCGGCGACAGGATTGGCGATGTAGGTCCTGCCCTCGACTGAGGGTCGCTCTCAACGTCGCCCCGCTGACCCTGCAGTCCCTCCGTTGTCTTGCGATCTGGTCAACAGGCCAAGGCGGTGCTGCCGATACTCGAGGTGCTCTTCGCCCGCTTCACCCAGGATCGTCCCAACTCGCTCACCGCGCTGCATCCCGTCCTGGCATACGTGAGTCATCCCACTCATCCGCGGCTGCTACGGCGGCCTCGTGCAGGGGCGCTCACGAGCTCGATTCTTCTCCTCCTTTGACCGCTTTGCTCGGTTGCGGACGGCGTCGCCTTCACCCACAGCAATACCTCAAAAGCTCGCTCTACCAGGAAGCCTATGAACGGCTTCTGCGACGCGAGCACATCGATGTCGACGTCTATGTGAGCGCCATTCGCTTCTCGTCCAGCATTCGGGATACCGCAGATCTGACCTCGGCGTTTCGGCCTCTTCTCGCGCCACATTCAGGCTCTGCCGAACCACACCGACGTGCTCGAGTACTTCTACTACAGCGGCATGATCCTGACCAAGCTCAAGCTGCACGAGCAGGCCATTGATTCCTTCGAGACTGTAAGTGGCGTGCCAGGCGAAACGGACGGCTTCACGACGAACAGCAAGCGCTGACCCTTCGTCTCTGCTGCCGCTCCTTTCCGCCAACAGTGCATCTCGTCGCCGTCGGCCGCCGTCAGCGCCATCCAGATGGACGCCTACAAGAAGCTCGTCCTCGTCCAGCTCTTGGCGCACGGACAGGTGAGCAGCCCCTGCACGCACAGACGTGTGCTGTCGAGTCGTCGGCACGGCAAGTCCTGATCTCGCTGCTTGTCGCTGCTTGCCTCCCTTTGCGCGTCCCGATTTGTGTACCATGCAGACGTCTCCGCCGCCGCGCTATACCGCCCAGGTCGTGGTGCGCTCCTTCAAGCAGCTCGGTGCGGCGTACACGGCCTTCGCGACGGCCTACGAGGCGCGCGACGCCGACTGCCTGTCGAGGCTCGAGGCGCTCGTCAACCAGCGAGCCGAGACGTTCACGCAGGACTGCAACTTTGGACTGGTGTTCCAGTGCCTCGAGCTGCACCGCCAGAGGAGGATCCAGAGGCTGGGCGAGGTCTACAGCAGCCTGACGCTGATGGATGTGGCGGAGCTGCTCAACATCCAGGGCGAAGACCGCGAGAGGGTGGTCCAGGCCGAGGTCGAAGCGCTCGTGAGTCACCTTTGGTGGTTTTTGCTGGGCTCGTTCCCGCGGTGATGGACACTCATCGTCCAGCGTCGTCCGCCTTTCTCCTCTCCTGATTCCCGGATCGCAGGTCTCAAAAGGGTGGATCACGGCCACCATCCACCCCTCTGCGTCGATGCCGGCTCCGAGCGCGACGCCTTCCAGCCTGCCGAGCCACGACTCGCCCGTGATCGTATTTGAGCAGCAGCAGTCCGAGTCGTACGAGACCATCGAGACGGTGCAGAAGCTCACGGCGGCCATCAAGAGGAGCCAGGCCATCCAGAGGGTCGTCGAGCAGAGGGAGCGGCACGTGGCACGGAGCGTCGAGTTCCTCAAAAAGGTGAGGCATGGGTACGCGACTGCACCCTCGGGGCTCCGAGCTGGCGACAGAGCACGTCTGACCCTCTTTTCCTCCCTTCCCTCCCCTTCCCTCGCCTCCCCTCGCGCGTTTGCGGTTCGGCGCGATAGCAAGCGCAAGGATCGAGGGGGAACAGGTACCTGGACCTTGGCACCGACGAGTTTGAAGATGGTGGGTGCTAGCGGCCGCCCTTTTCTGACCTGGCACGAAAGAGAGAGAGAGCGTCGTCGTACTCATTGCTTGAACCGTTGTTTCTCGCCCCTAACAGATGCGTTTGCCGCCTGATGTTGGACATTCGGTGTCGAGAGGGTCTGAGCGCACGACCGCTCATCGACAGGCAATGTACTTGTCTAGCAGAGCCAGACGGCCTGGGCTTCACCCTGCCGCGATGGGAACGCCATGTCTGCCTGACCTCTTCAGGCGTCTGTCTCGTCTGTGAGGTCTGATGCGGCTGGTTGCGTGTCGACCTTGGGCGAGGCTCGTCACGGGTAGCTGAGGCGGTCGAGGGCACGCGTGTGGAGGACTTGCGCCTCGGCGCCTTTCCGACGGCGCCGCCTGGAAAATCGCCGAGGCGCTCTCGGTTCCGCAGCCAGCCAGGCTGGTGGGAAGGGCCAGGCAGGGCGAGCCAGCAGCTAGTTGACACGCGCCCGTCCGCCCGTCCGCCTGACTTGCCTCTCGCACTCCACCACCCTTCACAACCGCTTGCACACCTCCCTCCCTGACTGCTTCCCTTCCAGACCTCCTCACCCCCTCCGTCAAGCACACTCAGCAAAGCAGCTAGGCACAATCACGATGGGGAAGCGAAGCGCGCAGTGCAAGTTCCCCGTGGCGAGGATCAAGAAGATTATGCAGGCCGACGAAGACGTGGGCAAGGTGGCCCAGGCCACTCCGGTCCTCATCTGTGAGTGCTCCAGCCCACGTCCTCCCTCCCTCCCTCCGAGCCTGGCTGCGGTACCGGTACTCGGCAGAAGGGCGTGGCTGACGTTTTGCTGTCTCTCCCGTGTCTTCCTCTCTCTCCCGCGCCGCCGTCGATCAGCCAAAGCACTCGAGCTCTTCATGGCCAGCATCGTCGAGGAGACGGCAAAGGAGGCAAAGAGCCGAGGCGCAAAGAAGATGTCCGTCTACCATGTGTGAGTTGGCGGCTTCCTGTTGCGTGTCGACTGGCAATCCCGACTCTGTTCTGACTCCTCCCCCGCCACTTTTACCGACCTGTCGCCGCCTCCAGCAAGAGGACGGTGCACACCAACGACACGTTTGATTTCCTCAAGGACATCGTGGCCAAGGTGGCTGACCCCGTCGAGAATGCCGATGGTGCCGGCGAGGCGAGGGGCGCCAAGCGTCGCAAGACGACCAAGGGTGACGACTCCGAGTGAATGAGCGAGCAGGCCGTGATGACGTTGCGGGCCGCACGCACCCGCTCCCCGCCGCAGCACCATCACGACGCCGTCGTCACTTGCTATGGACCTTTACCCCGCCTCTCGATGCTCTTTCCCCTGCCCGTCAAGCCCTCTCCCTGCCTGGCTCTCTCTCTTCCCCTCTGACTGGCCACCCGCCCGCGTCACCGTCCGATGCCGTCTGTTGTACTCCTCCGTCCGTCCTGTACCATTAGCCACGTCTTCCGATCGCAAGCAAGAGCGCCACATCTGCAACCCCCGCTCGTCGTGGTCCGGCCGCCACAGAGACGTGTCCTCTGCGCTAGCGATGCCTGAGCCAGGCCATGGGGCTGGATACAGTAGAGAGGCCAAGCCAGGCCAGGCCAGCCTAGGCCACATTAGAGGTGTGACGACGCCGGCAGGGTCCAACGGGAGAGCGAGGCGGCGCAGGCCACAGAGGGCTCCGCTGAAATGCTGGCCAGAAATCGATTCGAAAATCGGGCGGAATGCCGCCTGTGGTCTGGCCCTGGCCTTTCAAGCAAGGCCCAGCCCAGCCTAGCCGGGAGCAAGGGGCCACGGGGCGAGAGAGGGAGGGAGCGAGGGCCTGAGCTTGAAACCTGGCCCGCACGCACGAGGCAGGCAACGGTGGGGCCAAGGCCAGGTGGGCAGGCGGGCGAGACAGGCCAGGCCGGGCCAGGCGAGGGCAGTGCACCTGCCTCGTGGGGCGGGGCTGGGCTGGGCTGGCCTGGCCACAGAGTGAGGCGGCGAGGCGGGCAGCGAGGGAGCGAGGGGTCGTCATCGTCCCGCCTGCCTGCGCTGGTGGTCACTCCCGAGCCCTGTCCACGCCACCATCACCATCACCATCACCATCACCATCACCCGCCTTTTCCCTCGACACCTCACACCGACCACCCCCCACTCTACCGGCACCTCTCTGCGCCACCTCACCTCGACGATCCTGACTCAAGCCGACGTCTAACGACCCGCTCCGCTTCCCCGCCATTCGACCCCGGACGACGCCCGCCACCGCACGCCACACGCAGCATCGTCTCGTCCTGTAGCGCTCGCTCTTGCCACCGGCGGGACTTACGAAGCTCGAACACGAAGTACTATCGCACAGGTCCTCGGCACGCCTCTCGTCCAGCGCTCCGTCCCAGGTCGAGCTGCAGCAGCGCCACTCAGCTAGAACTCAGCGTACGACCGACTTGTACGATCTCCAGCACACTGCGAATCGGGCTGCCTCGACACTGCATAGCCTAGCTGCCCTCATTCCAGCGAGCCCACTTTCTCGCCCGTCTCAGATCTCCACCTGCGTCCCCCGCCACCAACCCGAACCATGTCGGCAGCTCAGCAGCAGGCTTCTGGCGCCGACGCCGCTACCTCGGCCGCTCCGCAGAAGCCCTTCCAGACCAAGCTCGTCCTCCTCGGTGAGTCGAATCGAGTCGAGCCTTGCGGTGCCTGCCCTCGGACAGCGCAGCTTGCCGGCCTGTCCGATACTGCGCCTGGCGTCCTCGCGCCGCACCGGATTCGGGGCTGACGGCCGCGCCGCCCTTCTCTTCGCTTCTTGCCCACCGTGTCTACAGGCGAGGCCGCCGTCGGAAAGTCGTCGGTCGTCTTGCGCTTCGTCCAGAATGACTTCCAGGAGAACAAGGAGCCCACCATCGGCGCCGCCTTCCTCACAGTGAGTGCATCACGACGGGATCCCACGACCCCGCCGCGCCGATGGCCTACAGCCTGTCTGACTGTGCCCCCCTCCATCCCATGTCGCCCGTCGTGACCCTATTCCGCTTCCGAAACTGCAGCAAAAGTGCCGTCTCGAGGACCGCCTGATCAAGTTTGAGATCTGGGACACGGCTGGCCAGGAGCGCTTCCACTCGCTCGCCCCCATGTACTACCGCAACGCGCAGGCCAGCGCCGTCATCTACGACGTCACGAAAGCCGTGAGTATCATCGAGGCTCATCAAGGCTCGCCACGGCACCTCCCTGCCATTGCTGCGGCGCTCACGGGCAGCATCAGGACTGACCGCCCGAGCCGCCGCTCTCGCCGCCGACACCCTCCCTCCCTTCCTCTCCGGCAACCCGCCGCTCGCAGAGCTCGTTTGAGAAGGCCAAGTCGTGGGTCAAGGAGCTGCAGCGACAGGCCAACCCCAACATTGTCATTGCGCTCGTGGGCAACAAGATTGACCTGCTTGGCGAGTCGTCGACCAGCGACGCCGACGCCGACGCCGACGAGGACGACGACACGGCCACTGCTACGCCCGAGGCCGGTGCGGCGGGCGACGCCGGCTCTCTGCGCGCCGTGCCCAAGGACGAGGCCGAGGCGTACGCCAAGGAGGCCGGCCTGCTGTTTTTCGAGACCAGTGCCAAGACGGGCGAGGGCGTCGTCGAGGTCTTTACAGAGATTGGTGAGTTGGGTTGCCGGCGGTAGATATTGCGCGGGGTGAGCCGATTCCACTTGCCTTTCAGGCAGTCGCTGACCCTTGTTCTCCTCTCCTGCTCCTTCCTGTTCCTTGCTGCTCCTCTGACCGCGCCTGCGCCCGCAGCCAAGAAGATTCCGATCGACCTTCACCTCGCACGGAGCGCTGCGGCCGCGGCCACGGGCAACGCCAGTGCCGGCAGGACGGGAGGCGCGGGCCAGGGCGGCGTCGACCTCAACGCCGACAACAATGCCCAGCGGAAGGAGGCATGCAACTGCTGAGCGCGGCGCAGGTCCTGCGGCGGTCCCTCTTGGCCCGCCCGCTTGCCTCCCGCCTCGCTCTGCGCCCCGCTGTCTATAGACGATACGATCCTTGCCTTGCGCCTCGCCTTCCTCCCCTCCTCCTCTCTCCCATCTCCTCCTCTCCCTCCTCTGTCCGTCGCGCCGATGTCGGGGTGTGTCGCTCCTCTGACCCGCTGTTCGTCGCGATGGCTGCGGGCGTCGCCTGACCCTGGCCTCTTTGTCGTCCGTCGTCCGTCGCTGCACGCCTCGTGCTGTCCTGTCCCCCGCCCCGCTGTGTTGGCTCTGGCTCGTTGGTCCATGGATTTCCCTGTAAATGTACATAGCCAATATATCCCTCCCCCTTCTCGTGGTATGCTGTTGTTGCCGTCCGTTGGCTGCCGTCGTCGTCGTCGTCGTCGTTGTCGGTGTTGGCTTCTTTGCAGGCTGGGCACCTTGCGCTGAGCGAGGAAGGCGAGCGAGCCAGGCGGGCGGGTGGGCGGGCGGTGTTGGTTTTGGCTGCGTGCCAGCCAGCCTGGCCTGCCTGCCTCCACGTCGAGCGAGCTTGCCGGCGGCGTGCCAGGCAAATCCGCCAGCGCACCGACGTACGTGGGGTTGGCCGGCCTTTTCTTCGCGCCAAGCCCAGGCCAGGCCCAGGCCAGCAGGCTGCCACGTAGCCTGCCAGCTCGAGGCAATTCCAGCAAGGCCGTGCGCAGGCTTCCAGCGTGGCACTCTACTACTCGGAGGTGAGAGAAGGACCAAGACTCCTTCTGGCCCCTTCTCTCGTTCCCCGCCGACTTCACCCCCCCTCTCTCTCGCCGCGACTCGAGGTCAAGGCTGCTTCTTCCTTCATCACGACCACCTCGACCTCGTCATCACCTCCTCTGAGATCATCGCCGCAGCTGACCGCTCGGTCTCTACATCGACTCGGCGCAGCATCGCAAGCTCCCGGCTCACAGCTCGCGCACAAACGCCCCTGCCGCCTCTTAGGCCCCTCTGCCTCACCCTGAAGGCAGCGGAAGCGACATAGGGGTCCACCTTAAACAAAGCAGAAGCCACCCCAGCTCGATACAACGGGAACAAGAGCAGCCGACGCAAGGTAGCAACACGGAACAACGCCATGAAGCTCGGTCCCTCGCTGGCCCGCCTGGGCACGACGGCCACCTTGGCCTGCCTGCTGGCCGTTGTCACAATGTCCCAGCTCGCCCTCCTCGCCGAGGCCATGGGCGTCGTCGCGTTCGACTACGGCACCGAATGGATGAAGGTGTCGCTCGTCAAGCCCGGCCTGCCCTTTGACGTCGTCCTGGACCGCGACTCGAAGCGCAAGATCCAGTCGGCCGTCTCTTTCAAGAAATGGGGGCTCGAAGAGGAGATCCTCTACGGCACCAACGCCTACAACCACGCCACACGCGAGCCAAAGCAGAGCTTCTACGCGCTCAAGACGCTCCTCGGCAGGTCGTCGGACGGCGACGCCGACAGGGCTGCCCGCGACCACTTTTCGTCCATCTTCGGCAACGACGTCGTCGGCACCGACCGCGGCACCTGCGCGCTCCAGCGGCCCTTCCAGGCCGACAACTCGTCGTCCTACCCGACGCTCTCGGTCGAGGAGCTGGTCGGCATGCAGCTCGAGTACGGCAAGAAGCTCGCAGAGGAGACGGCCGGCGAAAAGGTCCAGCTCGGGCTACCCGCCAACTTCAACATCGGTTCCTTTGGCGGCCTCGACACCGTCGTCACGGTGCCCGCCTTTTTCACCGCCGCCGAACGCCAGGCCATCTACGACTCTGCCGTCCTCGCCGGCTTCCGCCCGCGCCTGGTGAGCGACGGTGCCGCCGCCGCCGTCAACTACGCCCAGACCCGCACCTTCCCGCAGCCCGAGAAGCACCTCTTCTACGACGCCGGCTCCGGCTCGGTCCGCGCCACCGTCGTCGAGTTCTCCACCCAGGCCATCACCGCCGACTCGATCCTCTCGATTGGCAACACCCAGAAGGAGGCCATTGTCGTCAACGTGCTCGGCGCCGGCTGGGACCGCGAGGCGGGCGGCCTCAAGCTCGACCTCATCCTCCGCGACAGGCTGGCCGCCGAGTTTGACAAGCAGCACGGCTCCCAGCTCAGTGGCGGCACCATCAAGACCAACCACCGCGCCATGGCCCGCCTGCTCAAGGAGGCCAACCGCGTCAAGCACATCCTCTCGGCCAACGACGCCGCCTCGAGCGCCGTCGAGAGCCTGGCCGAGGACATCGACTTCCGCACCAGCATCGACCGCCAGTCGTTCGAGGACGAGGTGGCCCGCGCCGGCATGTCGAAGCGCTTCACCGACCCGGTGCAGATGGCGCTGCGCAACGCCGGCCTCTCGATGGGCGACATCCAGTCGGTCGTCCTCGTCGGCGGCACCACGCGCGTCCCGCTCGTCCAGGCCGCGCTCCGCTCGGCCGGCGTGCCCGACGACAAGATCGCCCAGAACGTCAACGCCGACGAGGCCGCCGTGATGGGTGCCGCCTTCTACGGCGCCAGCTACAACCCGCAGTTCAGGATGAAGGCGATCCGCGCCTACGATCTCGTCCCCTACCCGGTCACGCTCAAGGAGGCCAGCGGCGCCGAGGAGATCATCTACCCGGCCAAGTCGTACGAGGTCGAGGGCGTGGTGCGCAGGTACCCTGGCGCCACCGAGGACTTTAGCTTCGAGCTGCAGTACGCCGCGGGCTCCGAGCGGTTGCTCGAGGGCCACGGCCGCGGCATCTCCAAGGTCGAGCTGACGGGCATCTCCGAGGGCCTCAAGGACCTCAGAGAGAGCGACCAGCTGGGCAGCATCGAGACGCAGGTCAACCTCACCATTGTCAGCCGGCCCCTGGGCACCTACATGGTCGAGAGCGCCTCGCTCACCGTCAAGCCCAAGCCCGGCGGCATCGCCGGCGCGCTCAAGAGCTTCTTTGGCGTCAGCAGCCCCAAGAAGGCGTCGGCGACGTCGAGCAGCAACAGCAGCGCCAGCGCCGCGGCGAACGGCACCGAGTCTGACGCTACTGCCGAGGACAGGAAGGCCGACGGCGACGACGCCGCCGCCGCCGCCGCGAGTGCCGACGACGACGAGGCTGCGGAGCTGGCGGCCAGGGACCGCGTGCTCAAGCTGACGGCGCGCACCATCCCGAGCGCGGGCACGCTGCGGAGCATGACGGGCGAGGAGCAGAAGAAGTCCAAGGACCGGCTGTGGACAATGTCGCAGGCGGCGTCGCGCAAGGCGGCGCGCGAGGAGGCGCGCAACGGCATCGAGTCGTACATCTACCGGGTGCGCGACATGCTCTACGACCCGGTCTTTGAGACGGTGTCCAAGGCGAGCGAGCGCGAGGCCATCCAGGCCAAGGCCGAGGAGCTGTCCGAGTGGCTGGGCGACGTCGAGGGCGAAAAGGCCGAGACGGCGGTGCTGCGGCTGAAGCGGGCCAGCCTCGAGAAGCTGGTCAAGCCGCTCGAGACGAGGCTGCTGCAGTCCAAGACGCGCACCGTCGCCTACGGCGCCTTTGAGCGCAGCCTCGAGGCCGGGCGGGCGTTTGTCGTCGAGGCCAAGGCCAACCTGACGGCGGCGCTCGAGTCCAACCAGGCCAGCAAGTACAGCCTGACGGAGCTCGACGCGCTCGAGAGGCAGGTGGAGCGGGACGGCGAGTGGTTCGAAAAGGGCAAGGCGGAGCAGGCCAAGCGCGGCCAGGACGAGGACCCGGCCATCCTCAGCGAGGACCTCGACAGGCGGAGGAAAAAGGTCGAGGACACCATCGCCAAGCTCGTCAAGCGGAGGATCCCCAAGACGCGGCCGCCCAAGAAGGCGGGCAGGGGGTCCAAGGGCGACGACAAGAAGGACAAGGAGGAGAAGAAGGGCGGCAGCAGCGACGACGACAAGAAGCAGGAGGCACCCAAGCACGAGGAGCTCTAGGCGGCACGGAGCGTGCCCGGCCGTGTCGACGCGAGGGTCGGACGGGCGCAGTCGTCGCCCGAAGCGTGGGCCACCGTGGTCGTCGTCGTCGTCGTCGTCGTCATCACACCTGCTGGCGGCATTACCATCATCACCACCACCGTCGGTCGGCCCTAGACATCTTTACGACCTGCTGCCCCGGCCTGCTTCTCTTCTCGGAATAGAATCGATATACATACATCCCTTGCCAGCGTCTGCCCATCGCCGCCGCCGCCGCCGCCGTCGTCGTCGTCGTCGTCGCTGTGGCTCGTCTTGCGAACGGCCAGACGGGGTGCCAACGATGCATGCCAGTCTGGCCGTGGTTTTTGGCTTGGACGGGGCGGGCGTCGTCGGTGCTACCAGTATGAGATTGCTCGATCTGGTTCTTGTCGTCGATGCCGACCCGAAGGCGGGGCGAGGCCCCCCGACGAGGACTGTCGGTCTCGCTCATCTCGATGCCCAGAGGCCATCATCGTTCGTCGCCACTATGGGCCGCACTCGCCGCGATCCCATGGAGCAGGACGGGCATCGCGACGCGCTGCACTCGTACATGAGCTCGACCTCGTTCCCAGCGTCTGGCGTACAACGCGTCACGCCACTCACAGCGGCTGAAGGACTTCTGGGGCGCTCGACCCCGCCATCCGATGGGATGGGAGATGCGTGTGCGCGTCGATGTACCATTCCATCTCCTCGCCTGATGCCACCTCCCGGCCGGGGAGACAGTCGTACGGCCATATGAATGTGAGTTCGTTCTAGGCGACCGAGGTCGATGGACAAGCAGGGTCCGCCCGTGGTCGCCACCATGTCGTGTGCCGTCCGGATGGCGGGTGGCGCGCAACCAGGTCAGGCGCATGCTGGCTGACGGCTGACGGTTGGTGACTGGCTGGCTGGCTGGCTGACTGACCGGCCGAGGCGAGCTGCACGCGTGGGAAATTCTAGTCCTGGCCTGGGTGGATGCCAAATGCTCGGTTCCGAAAAAATGCGCCGAGGGAAGCGTGCGCCGGACGCAGGCACAGACGGGCGAGCGGGTGGGCGGAGGTCTGCTGGCTGGCCGGCCCTGAGCGCGGGTCGGAAGGATGGCCGAGGCGGGTGAGCGGGAGGATGGCCCAGCGCAAGCGGGCAGCGAGCGCAGGCTGGCGAAGACGAGGGCAGGGCGGGGGCAGGGCGCGGGCGTCGATATCGGCCTTGGCCCTGCTGCTCACCACCGTCCAAACCCCCCTCAAGACACCCCCTCCGTATCCGTCAAGGTAAGTGGCCAGCGAACCCCCGACATCACGCCGCCCATCTACGCCGACATTCCGACGCTCTCGATACAGGGACCACCCATCACTCTCGCTCGCCAACATCCGCACCAACCTAGCGCCTGCGACCCCGACCTACGACCTCGGTTTCGACCTCCTGCTGACTCTCCAACCACCCGCCTGCCAACTCGTCTGTCCGACCCCCACCTCGTACTGCCTAAAAGATGAAGGTCGAAATCTGCTCGTTCTCTCAGAGGAAGATCTACCCGTAAGTAGCAGGTTGCTTCCATCAGAGGTGGAAATGGAGGACCGCCGATCCGACAATCCGACACTATGGCAAACCTGCGGTCTTGGAGCTGCCGGCCACGGCGGAGCGCTAGCCCGACTTTGCCATCCCAAGAAAGGCACTCTCGGCATCGACAGATCTGGAAGGGCGGAGGCAGGCGACTTGAGCTGCAAAGTGCTGCCCGGGGCAAGGCCGCCCTCAACAACGAAGGCAGCTCCAGGTGAACCCGAGCTGGAAGGAGCGCTGGACGGCCGGGCGGAGTCGTCGGATCGGTGGAACGATGAAGTTGGGCTTCCATCATAGGGAGACCTATGAACCGACCGCTGACAGGATGCTATGGCGTTGGTTGTCGTCGTCGCTTTGGTGTCTACAGTGGCCAGGGTAGGCTCTACGTTCGTGGAGACAACAAGGTGAGTTCCTTAGCATCCTCGCATCCCTGCCGGAGCTGACCTGGAGCACGGCTGGAAGCAGCGGAGGGAGATCGAGCGCGGTGCTGCTTCGACAGCGGACATGGCACTAGGAGGACCGGACAGGAGACGCCCCCAGGCGATCGCTGGCTGGATGGTGGATGGATCCGCGATGGGACCTGGCCCTTCAACACCGATCTCGCCACCATTCTGTACCGACATTGGTGATACGCTCGACGACCACACACACTCGGGCCCCAATCAAGAGGCGGGCCAATGGGACAGGGAGGGGAACGCTTGCCGGGAGCCAGCCGGAGCGCGGAGGCCAGGCAGGAGGACGCGGATGGCCGGCTACACCACACGCCTTGCTCTAGGTCCCACCACTCTGCGCGGGATGTACCCACGCCTAGTCTCCTGGCGGACGGGGTCACTGACGACGCCATCCCCACGATATGAATCTGGTCCTCCTCGCCCCGCCCGGCAGGTCTTCCGCTTCAACACGCACAAGAGCGAGTCGCTCTTCCTGCAGCGCAAGAACCCGCGCAAGCTCGCCTGGACCGTCCTCTACCGCCGCATGCACAAGAAGGGCATCACCGAGGAGGTTGCCAAGAAGCGCTCGCGAAAGGCGGTCAAGCACCAGCGTGGCATCGTCGGTGCCTCGCTCGAGGCCATCGCCGCCCGCCGCAACCAGAAGCCCGAGGTCCGTGCCGCTGCTCGCCAGCAGGCCCTCGCCAAGTCCAAGGAGGACAAGAAGGCCCGCGCCGAGGTCCGCAAGGCCAACAAGGCCAGCGTGAGTGTCGCCGAGAGGGCCCCATCACCTTCTTGACGGAGAGCTCTTGCTCGTCGGATCCAGGGACCGCAGTGCTGATGTCGATTCTCTCCCTCGCCTCCTTTGCCCCAATGTTCCCACCCGGCTCTGCAGGCTACTGGCGCTGGTGGATCTGGCCCCAAGGTTTCGCGACAGCAGGCCAAGGGTGGTGCCGGTGGCAAGGTCCGAGTCTAAGCGTGTCCTGTCTCCTGTCCAAAACACCCAGTCGTCCTCTTTGTCGAGGGAGGGGAGGACGTCGTATGTCCCATGATGCGATGCAAAACCCTTGTACTTTTCCCCCAACGCCGTCGCCGCCGCCGCGGCCGCGCGATCTCGCCCGTTCCATTCCCGGCACTCTACGCATAGGCCCCCACCCTCACTCACGCCCCGGTGTTGCGCTTCTCGCGCTCGACGGCGACGACGGCGACGCTGTGGGACCTCTTCTGGAGGACTCGTCTCGGCCCATGTCGCATCTCGCGTGGCCGCCGTCGCTCCGCACTCACACACATGCCCATCCGCAGTTGCGCACGCGCGCCGCCGCCGCCGCCGCGACCCCCCAAAACTTGCAATCACAGCACGACCTGTGAACCGCCAGCCAGACGCACACACACGCACGCACACAGACGAAGTGAGCAGGACCGACCGAACTCAGAGGCAGGCGAGGGTCGGGAGGGGTCGCTGAGCCGTCCTGTGTCGATGTCGACGGCTGCTGGCCGGCTCGAGAGGCGCGATTGCATCGTCTGCTTGCCCGGCGGTGTGATGGGCCGGAGCAAAGTCGGTTGGGCTTGCTCGCTCGCTCGCTCCGAAATCGGCCCGTCCTGCCAGGCTTCAAGGCCAGCGAGAGGACAGACGCCCCTGCTCGACATGTCCCTTCAGGCCTCGACCATACGCTCGAGGGGTGAGATCCGATGGCCTAGGGAGGAGATGGAGGTGACGAGGGCCCGCGCTCCGACGAACGACGGACGACGGACCGAACCGGGTTCGTGGTGCCGAAGATGAGGGCGGCATCGACGCACGCTTCCATCCAGATTCCTCGAGTCTTACTGTCCGAGGCTTCTCGAAGTCGCTGCTGGCGATGCCGACGGTCGACTGCCGAACGGTGCGTACCCACGGCAGAGTCAAGGAGTTGCGAGTGCAAAAGGGCGGCGGCAATGGCCTGCGATGGGCGGAGTCGGCTGGTCGCGAGGGACGCCTTCATCGGCTGAGTCCAGCGACGACGACGACGACGTGCGGATCAAGAGGCCGTCGCCCTGTCCAAACCAAGCCAGCGCACACCCGCGCCGGTTCCCGCGGAGTCGAGGGCAGGGCAGCCTCTGTATCTGTTGTGTCGGCTCTCGGCGCCCGAAGGCTGGGCTGGGCTGGGGTTGATTTTTGGCTGAGGTGAGCACGACGCGAGCTGTGGCCCAGGCCTTGGCCTGGCCAGCCAAAGGTTTGGTTTTTTGGGCATTTCGGCGAGCGAGGCCGACGCAGCCGGCTTTGCTTTGATTATTGCGCTGGCGTGAGGAGGATCGACGGGGTCCAGCGCCCGCGTCAAACTTGGCTGGCGGGGCTGGCCAGTCAGCCCGGCCCAGCTCTGTTCTGCTTGCTTGCTGGATTTTTCCTGCCTGGCATGGCTCCGGTCGGTCGCGTTGAGCCGAAAAAAGAGGTCCGCCGCCCTGCCTGAGGCCTGGCAGGCGGTTCCATCTGCTGTGCGTGCGTGCGAGTGCGTGCCTGTGAGAGAGGTGAGGTGAGGTGCGTGCCCTTGCCTTGCCTTGCCTTGCCTTGCCTTGCCTTGCCTTTGCTTTCTTTCCAGCGGCAAGCAACGACATCCGAACCAGCACCGCTCCCCCCCATTCTTGCCTCGTTCTCTGCCACCACCACCACCACCACCACCACCACCGCCGCCACCTTTTTGCGCTACTTGTCCTCCCCCTTCAGCCTCTTCCAGCTTTCCCCGGGCTGCGAACTCTTCTGCCAACGTCTCGACGCAACCCGACCACGACGACGACAGCGGCTGCTCTCTCGGACTTAAAGACGTTTCGACTGTTCGCCGCCCTGCGTGGACATCTTTGGCGTTCGCTTCTCAACGGGACCCTCACGTAGGCTCACTCGCTCGAGCCTGCATCATCGCTCCTTTGAGCCCTTGTCCGCTTCTCGTCAACCTGGCCAGACGACCCGTCGGTACTCCCAAGCACCAACAGCGACAGCAGTCGACAGACCCCGTGGCCCTAGCCCTGCTTTGATGCACCATTCCGCCTAGAGTCGTTGTTTTTGCACCCCACAACCCGCCTTCTGCCGCACACAGGAGAATGTCTCCCGATCTCGCGGCTGCCTCGGATCCCTCTACACCCACCCAGTCCGGCCAAGACGCCTCTTCGCCCGTCTCGTCGCGCACCACCCTTGCCGCCACCCCGCGCTCTCCCCCGCTCTCATCGATCGTCAAGAAGGGACTGCCGACCGTCCGGGTATCTTCGTCGGCCGATCTAGGCTCGCTTGCATCCCACAATATGGCTGATTTCGACGGCGGCGACAGCGGCGCCCTACCCTTTGCGGGGCATCTCAGCGAGCGCTGGAGCAGCCACAGTGCCAGCAGCTCGCCCGATGCAGAAGAGAGCCAGCCGCCCAGCATGACCACCGGCTCCACCTCAGCCTCGGTCGAGAGCCTCGAGTCGCTCCAGGACGCCCACAACCGCAACCTCCTGATGCGCAACGAGAAGCTCTACGCCCAGCTCAACTCGGCGTCTGGCAAGGGCGGCTTGGGTGCAAACGGTCCCATTGCTCTTGGTGCCGCCTCGGTCCAGCCTCCTACCAGCTTCGACAGCAGCACCGACGGCGCCAAGCTCATCCACTCCGAGTTTGGCTACTGCGCCAACCCAAACTACCGCTATACGTCCGAGCACCGCGCCGGTGACCCGCTGCCGAACCCCGTCGAGGAGGAGCCGAGCTACATCACCGTGCTCACCACCTACATCAGCTACATCATCCTCATCCTCATTGGCCACATGCGCGACTACACGGGCAAGCGGCTCTTCCCCAAGAGCTACCGCCACCTGATGGAGCGCGATGGCTACGCCGCGCTCAACTCGGACTTTGACAGCTTCTACACGCGGCGGCTCAAGGCGCGCCTCGACGACTGCTTCAGCCGGCCGGTGACTGGCGTCTGCGGTCGCACCGTCCTCACCCTGGACCGCGTCAGCGACGACTACTACCAGTCGTTCCGCTTCACTGGCGAAAAGACGCGCGCCCTCAACATCAGCGCTTACAACTACCTCGGCTTCGCCCAGTCGCACGGCGGTTGCGCCGATGCCGTCGAGGAGTCGCTGCAGCGCTACGGCATCAGCAGCTACGGCAGCCGTCTCGGCAGCGGAAGCCTCGACCTGCACGAGCAGGCCGAGCAGCTGGTGGCCAAGTTTGTCGGCAAGCAGGAGGCCGTCCTGATCAGCATGGGCTTCGCGACCAACAGCACCACGATCCCTGCCATGGCCGGCCCGGGCACGCTGATTATTTCGGACGAGTACAACCACAGCTCGATCCGCTTCGGCGCTCGCCTCAGCGGCGCCCACATCCGCCAGTACAAGCACAACGACATGAAGAAGCTCGAGGCGCTGCTGCGCGAGTGCATCAGCCAGGGAATGCCCCGCACCCACCGTCCCTGGAAGAAGATCCTGCTCATCGTCGAGGGCCTCTACTCGATGGAGGGCACCCTGGTCAACCTGCCCGAGGTCATCAGGCTCAAGGAAAAGTACAAGGTGGGTGCCGAGATGACCGCGAGTCTCAATTGATGCCGGCGGTCGACGGCGTGCTGACCTGTCCTGCTTGACCCATTCTCTTCATTTCCCCCGTCCGCCGCTGCCGTTGCCGCGCCGCAGTTCCACCTCTACATCGACGAGGCCCACTCGATCGGCGCCATCGGTCCCAACGGCCGCGGTGTCTGCGACTACTTTGGCATCGACCCTGCCAAGGTCGACATCCTTATGGGCACGTTCACCAAGTCGTTTGGTGCTGCGGGAGGCTACATTGCCGGCGACAAGTCCGTCATCGACCGCATCCGGCTGACGAACCACGCCAACGTTTATGGCGAGACGCTGGCGCCTCCGGTGCTGACGCAGATCATTGCCTCGATGGCCAGCATCATGGGCGTGGGCAACAAGGCCGAGGAGGCGGCGCTGCTGCCGTCCTGGGTCAAGCTGCCCCGGGCGCTGATGGACGGCAGCGAGGGCCGGGAGCGGCTGCGCCGCCTGGCGTTCAACGCGCGCTACCTCAGCAGCGGCCTGCGCAAGCTCGGCTTCATCGTCTACGGCCACCGCGACAGCCCGATTGTGCCGGTTCTCATCTTCCAGCCGGCCAAGATGCCGCTGTTTTCGCGCATGATGCTCGACCGCCAGCAGTCGTTGCCGCCCTCGGAGCGGCTGGTGGTCGAGGAGTCGCAGCTTTCGCGCGAGCAGATCAAGGCCATGGACGACCCCGCCTCGCCGGACAATATGACCAACCCGGACGCGCGCCCTCCGATTGTCGTCGTCGTCGTCGCCTACCCGGCCACGCCGCTGATTTCGTCGCGGGTGCGTTTCTGCGTCAGCGCGGCGCACACCAAGAAGGACATTGACGACGTGCTGCGGGCGTGCGACGAGGTGGGCAGCCTGCTCAAGATGAAGTACGGCAGCGGCGGGCCAGGTGGACGGTGGGACGTCGAGACCGTCATTGAGCGATGCCTCGACCTGGTCCAGTGGAATGGCGAGGACCCGATCTAGGCGGGTCACCACTGCGTCCGAGGTTCGGAGCCGCAGCGAGTGCATCATCGTTTCGGACCCCAATCGCATCGCTCCCTTGGCACTCTCTCTGGTCTTTCTATGCTCTCCCGGGAATACCGTGTGGACTCGCGGACATGTCTCTTTTGCCTCGTTATCATCGCCTATCCGAATCGTAATCCTCTCGCGGCGACAGCGGCGGCCCCGCATCACCGCCGCGCGCTTTCTCTCTCTGTCTCTACTCTTCTCTACCTAGCCTCCTCTTGGGCCGTGCGTGCTGCTGGGGCAGGTGGGCCGGCGTGCAGCCTAGCCTGTTCTGGCCCGGTCTTGCTCGACTCGTCGGCTGGCGAGGATCCCGAACGGGCCCACGGGAGACGGTCAGCGCGGGCGGAGCAAGGTCGGTTGCCTGTCGCCTTGACACGACGGCGTTCAGGCGCAAGACGCCGGCATGTGCTCCTCCAGACCGGACCGAGGACGGCGAGGTAGGACGGGCGATCAAACCGGCTGATCGACGTGCGTGCGTACTGTACGTGTCACCGCCACGCCATGACGGAAGATGACCCGAAGTATGTAGCTTAGGTTGAGCTTCCTCAGCTTTGAGGAAGATGGCGAGCCGTACGTGGTACTGTACCTGCCGGTACTCGACCGCGAAGCAGCTCATCGACCAGCGCGGCTGCTCACCGTCCCGCTGCTGCCTGCCCGCCTGCTTGCCCGCCTGCCTGCCCGCCTGCTTCAATGGGGCCGGCGTAGGATCTGCATTTGCCGGAGCGTGGCGCTCTGCCGAACGTAAAAAAGCCCATCGCATCCAACCTCGCTCGCCCTCCTGCCGCACTGGCCGCGCCCGGATTGACTGGAAGAAAGCGAGGAACAAGACTCTTACCAGCCGACCTGTGCCAGCCTCTCTCCCTCTCTTCTATTCCAAGGCGATGCGGCGTTAGGGGGCAGCCAAATACAGTACGGAGAGCGAGGATGGGCCGGACGGCATGCTGCTGCTGCTGCTTGCCAGCGAGCAGCCGCGCTCCTTTTCTCCCTCGGCGCGGCGGGTTTTTTGTTGCGCGCGCGCACGCCTTGTTGTTGCGTGGGTGCCTGCGTGCCTGGCCTGGCCTGGCTCGTCGCACCCGAGCCGTCCGTCCGCCCGCCCGCTCGCCCGCCTGGCCCGGCCTTGGCTAGCCCTACCTTGATTCTGATGGCCTGGCACTGGCCTGGCCTGTCTGCGCCGCTCCGCCCCGGTGCTGCCCGCCGAGGACCCAAGCGTGCGTGCGGGCGTGCCAACCAACCAAGGCACAACCGGATCCACCCACACTCACCCAACCGTAGCCTAGCCTGCCTACCGTACCTCTTCCACACACAACCCCCCCGCCCAAACTACCGCCGCGAGAGCGCCCCCTTCCGCACGCATCATCGCTCATCGCTCCACACCGTACCGCACCTCGCTCGCTCGCTCGCTCCCTTCCTCGCCCGCTCCCCCGCCAGAGTCTATCCCTCCCCCTCTTGCTTTGCCCCCCGCCTCTGCTCGGCGTCTCCCGGCCTGCAAACCTTGGGTGCCTGCTTGGTCCCTCCCTCCTGCTTGGCCTAGCTGGCCCGCGCTGGCCCCTCCTTGCCGGCCTGGTGCGAGAGCATCACCTCGCTCCCTCGCCCCCCATCCGGTCCCCTCCCCCCGGACCTACCGACCTTTCGGGACGGGCCAGGCTCATCCATCCGCCGCTGCCGCCGCCGCCGCTGCCGTCGTCCGGCCGTCCCTCGGTCCCCTAGCCTGTCCTTGCCCCCATCCCCTGCTGCTGCCGCTGCTTCTGCTGACAGGTGGCCCGACCTCGCATATCCCGGTCGTCGTCGTCGCCGTCGTCGTCGCCGTTGCCGTACCGGTTGCCGTTCATCTCCGGGCCGATCCCCCGCCCCCCTGTCCCGAAGCTAGCGGCTGTCGATCCATCTCGCTCGTGTCCCCCCTCCGCCCCCTTTCTGTCGTCTATCTGTTCCTGCGTCGAGCTCCCCTCGCTGTCCGGTGCCTCGCCGTCGCTCCGTCGCAGCCGCCGGCTGTCAACTTTGGCTCCGGCAGGTCGTGCCCTCCTCCCTCGCCATCGTCCCCTCCGTCCCTGACCTCCGTCCCTGCCTTGCCACTGCTCGACACCGAGCGGCCGCATCCGCCGCTTGTCCACCTTGTCCTGCGGCGTTCGCAAACTTAGCAGGCAGGCAGGCAGGCAGGCAGCTGGACGGACGGACGGACGGACGGGTGAGTGTGGCCGTACCTCTCCGCCCCTTGTAGCTTGCAGTACGTAGCGTAGCGCAGCAGCAGCGGCGGCGGCTCCATTGTTGTCCCTCGGTCCTCCCGTCTCGACCTCGCCATCGCCTTCGCCTTCGCCGCGACCATCGCCGGTGTGGTCGTCGCTGCCCGGCTGGCTGGCCCTCGCACGGCTAGCTCGCTACACCTCGTCTCGTCCTTCCTCGACGCCGGTCCTCGCGGGCCAGATAGCCAGGTGGCGAGGCCATCCGTGCCACCCTCTCGCATCAGGCCGCTCCGTCCCGTCGTCTCGCCTCGACGGTTGATTGCGCGCCCTAACGCACGCCTACCCCGTCTTGCGCGGCCGGCATTGTCTCGCCCAAACGACATCCGACCATGAACCAGTCGACGATCAACTTTGCGCAGCCGGGCTCGCAGCAGCAGCCGCCGCCACCCGGAGCCCCCGAAGGCTGGCCGCAGAACTTGGGAGGAGCGGCTTTTAGCCAGCCGGACCCGTCGCCCTCGCCCAACCCCTCGGCGCAGATGCTCAACCCGCAGCAGGTCTTCCAGGTGAGTTGAGTACGGTGGCGTGGATTCGCAGCTCCGTGTCTTGGTTCTTGTTCGAGAGGTCTCGCCGCGATTGCGCCGACGCTGTCCATCGCGACCAGCCTAAGGTCGGGTCGGATCGGCCGCCGTGACTGCGCCGTCGAGACGCGATCGATACCTTTGCGGCGGTGGCGGTGGCGGCAGCGGCAGCGTGGCTGAGCTGGTCCGGCCCCCGGATCCGGGCTTGAGGCTGCGCGGGGCGAGCCCTGGCGGCGTCGATGCGATGCATCGCCCGCCTGCATCGAATTCGGGTCTCGGGGCGATTTTCTCCTGTCCATCTCGCCGCTGCTGGGCCCCCGGTAGGCGGGGGAGAGAGAGGGCCTGCTAAGGCCTGCGGTCGACGCGTCGAGCCAGGCGGGGGAAACGCAGCCAGGGCGCCGTCGCGGCCAGGCCCGGGCCCTCCTTCTCGCCTCGCCCCGCCCCATCTCGCCGACAGAAGCTCCACCACACTTTCGATCTAGGCCCAGCTTGACCTATCCATCCAGCCACGGACCATACCCGGCGACATCTTTGGGCGTGCTAGAGGCTGCTGCTTCCCCTACGCTCTCTCCCCCGACCCGCTCCGTCGCGCTCAGGGTGCTTCACGGATCTCGACAGCCCTGTCCGCCGAGACCGGACAGCGGCATGCTATCGACGACATCCGCGTGGCTCTTGGCGCCGCCCACCTCGACTTGCCTCCGCCCTCTCCGACCTTCGACGACGACGACCTAGACGCGCCCGTGGATGCATCGTGCTTGCTCATTGCGTGCTCCCATCTAACAGCATCCACCATCTTGCCTCGCCTCGCCTCGGCCGACCATGTCCCAACAATTGCAGTCGATACGCAGCAACAAGCTCGCCCTCCAGCGACAATGGGCCGTCATCAGCGCGCAGCCGGATGGGCCTACCAAGGCAGCGGCACAGCAGCACCTGGCCACGCAGATGAAGCGTCTGCAGCACATGGAGCAGCAGGCCATGGCGAACATGGGCGCTGCGGTCGCGCAAGGGCAGCAGCCTGGCCAGACTCCACCTGCTGGCGGCGCCATCAACCCCTTTGCGATCCAGCAGCAGCAGCAGCAGCAGCAGCAACAGCAGCAGCAAGGCCAACTCAACGGAGCCGTGGCTCAGCAGCAGCAGCAGCAGCATCAACCACAGCAGCCACCACAGCAACCGCCGTCACAGCAACAACCGCAGGGCTTCCCGATGCCCGACGGGTCCATGCAGCATCAGCCACAGCAGCAGTCGTTTCCTTTCCAACAGCAGCCTGCCCAGGCGGGCGTCCAGAGCGGCGCCGGTCAGCCCGACGCGGACCCGCAGGCCTCCGGTGCCTCGATGGCCAAGCGCGACTTCATCGGGACTGTCCGCAACTTCATGCAACAGCGAGGCACGCCCTGGGCCCCCAATCTCTCTCTCACCTTTGTCGGGCCAGCGTCGTCCAACGTGCCCGGCGACACCCGGACCGTCGAGATGCAGGCGCTCTTTGCGGCCGTGGTTCAGGCGGGCGGATCGCAGCGTGCAAGCCAGATGCCCGGCTTCTGGGCCGTCATCGCCAGTCGAATGGGCCTGAGGGTGGCGCCGCCCGATGGTTCCCAGTCGGGTCCAGACGCGATTCCAACACCATCGGAGGTCCCGGATCGCTTAGCCGCCTTCTACCGAGATCGCCTCAGTCCGTTCGAGCAGTTCTGGCTCTCACGCATGCCTCAAAGGCAGCCAAGCGGGCAGGCTGCCGGAAACAACGCTGTCACGGCAGGATCTCCCGCGCCCGGGAACGACGGCGCCGTCGATCCTCAGCTCCAGCAGCAAGCACCACACTCTCACCAACAGCAACAGCAGCAGCATGCGATGCCCTCGCAGTCCCAACAGTCACAAGGACCGCAAAGTGCGGAACCTGGCTTCAATCCTGGCGGCAATAACGCCAACGCGTCAGCGCCTTCGCCATCGCAGCTTCAGGGCAACACAGCACCATCGCCTGCCGCTCAGCAGACTCCCGGCAGGGCCCCTCCGCCCAATGCGGCGGCGATGCAGGCCGGCCTGCAACAGCAAATGGCCCAGCTGCAGCAGCTTGTCGCCAGCGGCCGGATCACGCCGCAGCAGGCGAGGGAGCGGTTCCTTGCCATGCAGCAGGCGATGCGTGCTGCCATGATGAAGCAACAGCAGCATCAGCAGCAGCAGCAGCAGCAGCAGCAGCAGCAGCAGCAGCAGCAGGCGCAGCCACAACAACAGTCGCAGCTCTCGCAGCAGCCTCAACAGATGGCACAGCAGCAGCAGCAGCCCCAGCCGCCGCAGCCCTCTCAGTCCTTGCCTCAAGGCTTGGGCGGCCCAACGATGCCGCCGCAATCGCAGCAACCGCAGGGCGTTGCACAGACGGGCATGCCTGGGCCCTACGGCATGACGATGCCCGGCCAGAGCGCCGGGATGCCGGGCTTCCCGGGGCAACCTGGGCCGCCGATGCCACCACAAGGGATGCCCGGCGCGGTACAGTTGCCGGCAATGTTTCCAGGTCAGCAGGGGTCCACCGGCCCGATGGCGCCGCCGCCAGCACCCATGGCACCGGGCGTTGGCGCGCCGGGCTCGATAGACATGACTACGGCCATGCCAAAGGTCAATGGAGCCGATCCGAATGCGCCGCCGCAGTGGCCTGCCCAACCTACCCCGACCAAGGCCAACGGCGTCACGCCGGCGCCACCGCAAGCCGCACAGACGCCCGCACCAAAGGAACCGAAGCGGGAAAAGAAGAAGCGGAAGAAAAACGAGCCTGAGACGCCGACGGCCGGTCCAAGCACACCAAAGCCTATGTCGCGATCCGAGTCGCAGGGCCAGGTGCCCATGGACGGGACCGCCGAGATGCAGGCCCAGCAGCAGGCTGCCATGCAGCAGAGGCAACAGATGCAAGGCCACCACCCGTCGCCGGGCAAGCAGCTATCCGAAGGCGTGACACCAGCCCCCGCCGTGCCAGCACCCTCGCCGGGCAAGTTCAAGATCGAATACCTGCCGCTCCGGAGAGAGGTGCACACCTACGGCGGATGGGACCTGAACCTCGTCGAGAGCCAACTCGCGCCTGCGGCAGTCACGCGTGGGCGGCCACGTAGCATCCGGGAGCTGGGCACCGTCGACGTTCACGCCATGACCATGTCGCTGCGGTCCCGCATCGAGATCGAGGTGGCATACGCGCTCAACGCCCTGCTGATTCTCTCGACCGGGCTAGGGGCGCCACCGTCATTTGTCTTTCCACTGGAGCCATGCGAGGATCTCTTGGACGAGCTGCTGGACCTCCTCGAGGACTGTACATTCGGCAAGAACAAGGGCGGCACGGCAAGACCTACCGCGTCGCAAGGGTCTGCCATGGAGCCGTCCTCTGTGCAGAAGGGCGCGCAGAGGAGGTCGCTGCCCACCTATCGGGACTGGCTTCGAGCTGCGACCGAGGAAGAGGCGGAGCTTAAAGTCTGGGCCCGACGCAAAGGCGGGCGCTCTCGATCGACGGCCGGCAGCGTCAGCGAGATCGACTCGAGCGACGCACGATCGACCATCACGGATCTGTCCATCGACTCGGCCACCACGACGATCCAGACCTCGGGGGTCGAGGCCGAGCACGAGCGGCACGCCGAACAGAGCGCCGCCCGCGCCCTCACCATCCTGACAATCTTCAAGAACTTCTCGAGCATGCCGCCCAACATTGCCTACTTCAACGCTAGCCCGGGCTTCCTCGATCTGCTCGCCAGGATCTGTCAAAGCGACGTCCACCGAGCGCTGCCGGTCTCTGCCACGCGGAGCAAGGACAACGCCAGGCCTGCCAAGCGGAAGAGCGACGCGCTCGACGGGGATCACGCAGAGAGCGAAGGCGAAGGCGATGTCGGCGCAACGGGGACCGTCTTCACCACTGCCGAGGCCTTCCGCGTGCGCAAGGAGGTGCTCGCGATCGTCTCGAACCTCGCCGGCGATTCGCTCTCGCTGCGCAACCGCTCGAGGCAGACGATCCGGTCCCTCTTCGACCTCATGACGTCGTTCATCTCCGAGGCCGCGGTGGTCGAGGATCTCGACCACGACGGCGACCTGGCGGACCTCCGAGCAGTCTACCCGCCCGGGACGCCGCTGCAGAACCTGCCGCCCGTGCCCAAGAAGATCCCCTACTACGCCGACATGTCGCTCGACGCCTTTTCCAAGCTGGCGCTGCCCGACGACAACCGGCAGGTGATTGGCGAGTCGGTCGAGAGCGAGGACCTGCTGCGGCTGGCCGAGGAGCTGGTGCACATGCTGCCGGTCTCGGAGAGCGACTACCAGATGCTCAAGACCGAGCCGCGGCTTGGGTACACGGAGCGCGTGGCCATGTGCCTGTACGACCTGGCCTTCCTCGCGCCGCCCGAGGTCAAGCTGTCGATCCGAAGGATCCCCGGCCTGTCCGGCATCGTCTTCCGGCTGGTCAAGCGGCTGGCCAAGGCGATGCCCGACTTCCGCAGCAACCCCTTCAGCGTCCTCTGCCGTCGGCTCGTCGAGGCGCTGCGGCTCATCAGTGATGGGCAGGACATGTTTGGTGCGCCGCCGCTGCTCGGTCTCGGCTTCGCGTCGGGCCCGGCAGGAGGATCTCTGCAGTCGGGCTCAGGGTTTGGATCAAAGGGACAGGTCGGGCTGTTGCTTGACGACGAGGAGGGCGTCGTCGACATGCTGGCCACCAACGAGCTGGACCCCGTCGTCATCTCGGAACTGCACGCGCTCTTGGCCCTCGGATAGAAGGACTCAATCTCTTGTTGCTGAAGGGGGAAAATCAGGGACCCGTCACTCGCCCGCACGGCTTGCTAGCCGGGGGGCCCAGCCGAGCAATGATACACATCCAGATCCACCCGGGCGAGTCATGCGCACGCACCCTCCGCCGCTGCTGCTGCTGCCGCCGCCGCTGCGGTTGTGAGATGGCGCAAGTCTCTGTGCACCAGCCCGCTGCCTTTGCACCATTGCTTCCTCTGCGCCATAGTGTCGGCCCTTTGTGCGTTGCACGCCCTGCGCCGCGGGGCGGAGCGAGGGGTACTCGAAGCTTGTCGAGTGATACGACACGCCCTGCCGTACGCGCAAGCAAGGGCGGGGCTCCGGACTTGAGGGCGAAGACGACGCCCCGGACCAGGCTCGACAGAGACCGGGGGGGGTGGGTCACCGCTCCATACCGCCGTGCTCGGCGCACGGCACAGACCTCGAAGCGTCGAAAACGCGGCACATGGAGTCGTGCCCGACCGGGACGAAGCTGGGTCCCTCCGTCGGATGACACACCAGAGCACAGCGATGACACACCGCACAGAGCGCGAGTACGAGCTAAGCTACATGGTGGACCGGGACGCCCAAACATACGGCGTGGCGTAGGCTAGGATAGGGATGTAGGTTTTGCTGTCGCTGCCGAGCCTGGACCGAGAGATGCCGTGTCTGCGCGAGCGGTGCATGCCGTGATCCAGGCAGTGACGGTGTCGCGGGCGGCGGAGGGAAGGGAAGGCTCAGAGAGACAAGGAAGGCAAGAAGAGGGATGACGATGACGGCAAGAGGGTGAGTGACAGGAGATGCTACGAGGCTCGAAAGCCGTGCGGAAACGCTGAGGCTGGGTTCGGCGCGGGATCCGTGCCGCACCTACAGATGTCGACGCTCGCCTCGCCGCGGTAGAGGCTCACGACCGGACTGAGCGGTGCGGCCCACGCGCCCACCCGCTCATCCCCCCTTCACCGCACACCTTGATCCTCGAGAAGCTCGCTTCACGCAGATCCTTGTCCCGCCATCGGCCAAATCACCAGCTACGACCTTCGAGCGGCTAACCGGACCGATCCGCCGGGCTACCCTCCACGCCATTACCGCCACCGCCCTAGACACGCGCGTTCGCTGAATGACTCGGTGCGGGGGGCGGTCTTCCTCGACCTCAAGGTTGTGGCTTCGCCAAGACCGTCGCAACAAGCCCGCCGCCGCCGTCTCAACACGTTGAGGCGCAGCCCCACCAAACCCGAGACCGGACCGTCACCGCAAGCGTTTGCTGCTGACACTCCAGAGAGACGGTGACTGCCCTGCGCAGCTGTGCAGCCGCCGGCCTTTCCGAGCTTGAGGTAGATGCGACGCGGTCTCTCGTCTCCTCCCGCTCCCAGCAAATAGTATGTACGTGGCGCGCAACACCGACCTCTTTCACGGTCCCAAGAGACGCCACAGGCCGGCTGACCACGCCTGCTCGGTCACCTGTGCCTCTGACGGCAGCGTCAAGGGGCGATTTGGCCGATGTCACATTCACCGTAAGACAAGCAAGGTTGCGTCCCGGCTAGATACGTATCGCAAGGCAACCGACGGCGGCGAAAGTGACGCCTCGAGGCGGCAGAAATGGCTTCGCAACGTAGCCGACGCCGACGGCAGTTGACAGGGCACGCCAAGGACCAAACAGGGTGGCGCAGCAACGGCTCAAGCTTCGCCTGCGCTTCCGGACGGGGCGCCATCCCGTCATCATCCGCCAGTCCCCCCTCCCCCTCTTCCGGGGGTTTCGGCCTCGGTGACGGCAACGGCATGACTCTGCCAAGGCTATGGTCACGCGTTCCGCTGGCCCAAGGTCATCGTGTGGCGGCCAAAGCGGTCGTGGCCGATAAGCAAGGCCATATCGCGGGGCTCCGCAGGGAGAGTCCCCGCTCGCCGTTAGGCCTTGCCCCGAAATGAGGCAGGCAAACAATGGCGAGTGGAGCCTTAGGCCGGTCGCTCGCTGGAACGACGTTGAAATGAGGCGGATCGCTGCTCCTGCTGTTGCTGGCGGGTCGATGCTCTGCTCAGCTGCTGTTTGTCTCGGACCTTTGGGGCGTCCTCTTCGCCGCCAACGCTGCCTGCGCGGAGCCTATCGCTGCCTTCAACGAGCTGGAGTCATTTGCCCTTATCGCTACGTCCCCTTCAGCATAAAGGGAGCGGGTGCATGCCCCGGAGATCGACCATCCCCATCAACAAGCAACGAGCCCCTCTCCCACCTCGCGCCTGCGCACCAAACAAAAGCTCCTTGACGAGCATCGCCCCTCGCACCCACCGACCGGTCCAGGATACGATACGGCAGCAGCCCACAGCCACGATGCACTCCCTCAACGTCTTCCTCGCTCTCATCCTCGTCGTCATCCTCGCCGGCAGCAACGTCGAAGCCGCACCGCTCCCCTGGCTCACGCCGGGCGAGACGACGCCCATCAACCCAACGCCCCCCGTCAACCCGCCGCTCTACAACGCCCCTCTCGACGGTTCGAACGAGGAGGTCCCCACCCCTCCGCCGCAGCCCAAGGGCCGTGCAGGTGAGAGTCAGGATAGGATAGACTGGTCCATCGAATGGGGGCGCGTGTTGTGAAGTACAGCCAAGCTGACGAGGCCGCTCGCTCTCAGTTTGAGACTTAAAGGCCCAAGAGAATCGTAGGCTCCTTGCCGTTCTGGATCCCGCGCAGCCTCTCCAAGTGGTTGTGAGAATTGTTTTGTCGGGCGAGGGCGGCCTCGAGCTGGCTCGAGACCACGGTCCGACCCGCCCAACATCGCTTGCTAGAGTGCCCGCTTTCCCCTTCATTGGCATCGAGGGCGCACTCTGTAGACGTCGATGCTGAGCCTCGGCCTCAGTCCAGGGCATGTCCAATGGCGTTCATGAGACGGTGAGGCCAGTGGAGATGTGATTGACGACTTGCTAGTGGAGAAATCGGCGAGGAAAAGTGACGAGAGGAGGGCAGCGGCCCTACGCGCCTGCAGTAAGCGGGGCTGATAGAAGAGGATCTGGCCTTGCGCTAAACAGTTGCACTCCATCGTGCACGGCCCCTGATCTATCGACGGGGACACAGACGCGGCGGGCGGCGCTATCACCGGTCCAGCAGCAGAGCAGATGGGTCAAACGACATGAATAAGAGGTGGAAGGATGATGAAATGGCCAAATAGGCTTATCGGAGAGAGGGGATAGACTAGTCGGGAGGACAAAGCTTGCAACAGCAGCTACCAGGGGGTGTTGAGCCGTGCAGACAGAGACGACAAGTGATGCGAGATGAGGTAGGAGCAGAGCCGCTCCAATACCTCGAAGCGGGACCGATCCGGCCGTCCGCTCTGTCAAGCGCGCAGAAGCCATGAATGTCTCACGGTCCCCGCCGAGCGCTCAAAGATATGGAGAGCATGGGTCGAAGGACGGGCTCGAGACTTGGTTCGATTAGCGCGATCGCTCAGTTGGGCGAACCGCACCAGGTCTTGACGGGCGATCCGGGAGGAGCGCAGTAGGTAATGACGAGGTAGGGCGCGCTGAAAGCCTCGGGAAACACGTTTGCGTACGTGACGGGCTCGAAGGAACCGCCGTTCTCGACGTGATTGTCCAGCGCCGTTCGCTTGGAATGCTGGCCATCAGCGCCCTTGGTGCCGCAGCGCCACTCCTGCTCGTTTTCGTCCCCGCCCCACTGCGCCACCGCATCTCCGACAGGGCCGTTGAACTGCATCTTCCAGACAGGGCGGTTGCAGCTTTCCATGTCGCCCTCGTCGAGATCGGTGCAAGGCTGGGGCTCGGCCGAAACGACGAAGGGGGCAGGGGTCGACGTGGGCTCTGCGCCAAGGGAAAGATCGCCCGTGGCGTTGTAGTAGCTGTTGACCCGGACGGGACGAGCGTGGGTCTCGGACTGCTGGTCGAAGAGGGTGAGGTTGACGCCGTCACCGACGGGCACGCTGACCACCCAGGAGCCGTTCTGTGGCGATGGCAACCGGACAGGAGGACCGAGCGGCGTCAAGGACAGCTCTAAGCAGCGTGGCACAAGACTTGGCGCAGGCCTTTTGAGACTACGGACACTCACCGTCAGATGGAAACCTTGGATGCAACCGGGCGACTGGCCGTACGAGGCCAGAGCCGGTGCGGAAAGCTGGAGGTCGAACCCTTTCTCGCTCTGACAGTTGGACGTGTCAATCCTGATGTTGAAGCGAGTGCTGTAGGGCGGCTGCAAGCTACAGAACGACCTTTCCGTCCCTTGAGGGAGCTTTGGGATCAGAGGAAGCCTCGGCGCAGTGGCTCCGGCTGGCACACCGCTGAGACTGGTGGCCGCGGCGAGCGCCGGCAAGAGGATCAAGGCCTTTGCGAAAGAGACAAGCTGCATCGTTGAGGATCCGAACAGACGCGAAGGATCAGAGGAGAGGAGAGGAGAGGAGATGAGAGGAGATGAGAGGAGAGGAGGGCAAGTGGCGAGGTATGCCGTCCAAGGGAGAGGGCCGGTCACGGTCGACCTGACGCTTTATGTGGCTTCCGACTCCTCGCTCTCTCCGTGATGCTTGCCCACCTAAAGCGGTGGGGAGAGAGGCGGTGCTGGCAAAGCCACCCCACCTCTCTCTTTGATCGACCACGATCTGTATGCACCTACTTCTTAGTCGGGAGGTCGTTCCGGCTGGCACCCACAAGGCCGCCCCATCTTTATTGTGGCGCGGGGTCCCGCCTGCCGCGACGAGGACCTCCTATCCAAGCTCCAGACCCGTCGGAAGCCTTGCATCTTCCTCGTACCGGCGCACGATGGGTCCATCTGGAACAGACTCAAGATGCCACCGGTCCGGGATGGCGCGTTCGGAATGAGCGTTCCGTGCCCTGTCCAAGGATCAGAGCATGAAGCACAGCTCGGACGCCTCCATCCCCTCCGTCCCTCGCGGCAGCCACGTGGAGCAGATCAGCGACTGAGTGTGGACCTTACGCTGCGGTGCTGACCGAAGGCTTCACTATCTGGCTGCGAAGAAGCCGCTCTGAGCTTGCCGGCGCATTGATCACAGGCCGAGGATCAAATCATCCTTCAAGGGGGCAAGGTCGGATGGAAGCGTTGGTGATCAAGAAGCGGAGTCGGGGTAGAAGCTGGCGAGGAAGAAATCGAGACGGGCGTGGAGGTCGTGACGGGACTCAGCTTTGAGTCACAAGTACGCCCCAACTCGTCAACATCGAGGCGCAAGCTGCGAGAAACATGTGAGGGTCAGACGGACGGACAGAGCGGGCTGATGATACAAGCCGGCCGTGTCAAGAATTGATATCAGAAAGGTTGGAGGGTCACTCGAAGCCAGGAACGAGCAAATTGAAGCGTGGCGTCTGTCAATGCAGTAGTCCCACCCGTTGTCGAAACATGTCGAGAGCTGCCTTGAAGCGCGTCGCCGAAGATTCCGCAGAACGGACAGGATCGAAGGTGGCAGCGCGCGGCGAGCATCAAATCGTCTGATGACTTGAGGAAGCTCACTTGTCCTTGACAAGGCACCAATCCTGGTCGACCTCCGGACCATCGGGGTTGCACAGCCGGATGTCGAGGTAAGGGAACTCCTTGGCGGAGGGAGGTCCGGTGTAAGTGAGGGGGGCCCAAGGCTCGTCGGACGTGCGATAGTTGTTCAGGTTGTCTTGCTGGTTGGCGGAGCTGCAGCGCCAAGCGTCTTTGCTGTCCTTGCCTCCCCAGAGGGTGTACTCGTAGACATAGGTGGATTGCGGCTTCGGCTTCGCCAAGAAGCTCATACTGTAGACTGGAAGCGTGCAGGAGCCATGTTCTTTGGGTGCTTCAGCAGCCGAGCAAGGCTCCGGTTCGGCATTGGCGTAGAGCCTGGTGTCCGACTCCACCGGAGTCGAGCCACGGACCCCTTGACTGATAACGTAGTCGCTTGCAATCGAGATCGAGCGCGCATGGGCGCCAGTGCTGCGCTCGACGGGCACAAGCCGGACACCGCTGTTGGTCGGAATGCTGAGTGTCTCGCTGGTACCCTGCAAAATCGAAGGCGACGGATGAAAGTCTTCCGTGGTCAGATCGCACCACGACTGATGGCTACTGAGCTTGGCTCGCGGGAAAGGGGACGGTATCACTCACGTCAGTTGACCTTGCAACCGAGTAGATGCACCGTGGGACGGCCTCGTTGGAGCTGACCGCTGCCAGGTAGATGTCGAAGATGCGGTTGGGTCCGCAGTTGTCCCACTTGATTTGCACGTTGTAGCGCGGTTTGCTGGGGTCGCATCCGTCGCCCTTCAGGAAGGTGCCCAGGCTAGGAGCAATGAGACCCTTGGTGGCGTCGCCCTTGGGCAAGTTGACACTGATGGCGCCGGCAAGCGCGGGGAGGACGAGGAGGGCGGCAAACTTGGCGCTGAGCTGCATATTGGCCTTCGAAGTGGGAGACTGGAAAAGGGACGGTCTTCTTTGGGGATCGGGCGGTACTTGAGGGGGGAACGGAAGAAGTCGAAAGTGGTCTGTTGTTGGAGATGCTGAGGACGGACGAACGGGCAGGCTTTATATTTTTTTTCGACCGGGGTTGTACGTACAGCGAGCGAGCCCCCACACGATGTTCTGAGACAGTCCTGGGTGAAGGTGAAGATGTGGGAAGCCCCACGTACGCAGTTTCGTAATCGCTGGTCGTTGTCCTTGATCGGTTGCTAGCTCCGGTCCCACCCTCTTGGCCCACCTAATCCTTCGGGTATGCCCCACCACCGTCCCGACCACCGGCACTTGAGGCATGCTTGCGGTCATCCTTGCCGCACCAATTAGGACACCTTGGTCAACGCATGGTCATCGGCCGGCCCCCACCGCTTTTGCTGTTCTTCATGAGGCCCATGACTGCAACGTGTATGACCATCGTCAACGCAACCCACTCCTGCTTGACCCGCTTCTGCGCGTCGGGTGTTCGGGATGGTCGGGATGGTGGGACGCCTCTCGCAGATTTCCGGGAAGCCACGCATTCGGACAATGTCTCGACAAGATGCCCGACGACTCTGCCGTATCGCAATTTGCATCGATTGTGTCTATCTATCGAGCGGGCGATCCTGGCTCGGTGTCGTTGGAGCTGGAACGACGACAATGCCCGCGATTTTTGCTGGCCTGTCTGCCACGCAATGGAGGCATACACACGTTTGGCGAACCGCTCGATGGGGAGGAAAGGTTAATTGATCAAAATGATGAGCGGGTGCCGCTAGCTTAGACTAAGGTAGACGGCGCAAAGGTAGATGGTGATCAGATTGACGTGACCGAAACGCAGTGAAGCGCGGTCGAAGAGAAAACAATCGGAGCGGGAGATGTTATATGGAGTGCGACGTAGCGCGACGGGTCCAGCTGCGCCTCGCCGGCATTGGTTCCGACGAGGAAAGACGAGACCGTCGTGCTGGCCGTGATCTCAGCAAGCCCGTCCAGCAGGGCAGAGCGCGCTTCCGTGTGCCATCGCTCAGGCCTTGCACCAAGAGTTGATGTCTGCCACGGCAGGAGCGCAGTAGTCGAGCTCGATGTAGGCGGGGTGACCGGGGTCGGGCTTGCCCTTGTAGATGTCGACCTTGCCGCCGCCGTTGCTCAGACCTTCCTTGACAGGCGGCCCCTGCGGGCTGGCGCAGCTCCAACCCTCGCCGTACTTGCTGCCGCCCCACACCACGGACGGCACGGGGGCGTTCTTGTTGCCCAAGGTCATCTTGAACAGCGGGAAGCTGCACGAGGCAGGGTCGACCTTGTGGGTGGGGCTTGGGCAGCCCTCCTGCGTGGCCTTGACGTAGGTCGGGTAGGATCCGGTGTGACGCGGCTGACCGGGCTTGACGTTGCCCGTCGCTGCGGTGAAGCTGTCGATCCTGACCTTGCGGGCGGGCGCCTTGGATTTGTTGTCAGAGAGAACCAGCGTCGCGCTGCTGTCGGCGGGCATGGCGACGATAAAGTATCCCTGTGGTATCGGGTGCGAACCACATATGCCAGTCGACGTCGGGAGAAGGAAATGGCGTCAGAGTGGCATCAGAGCAGTATCAGGGGCGAAGATCCGACTGAGAGCAACTCACATCGGTGCCTGTGACATCGATGCATTCCTTCGAGTTGCCGTTGGGCACGACGGGGTCCTGGATCTTGAGGTTGAAGGCGCTCTTTGGCCCACAGTTGGCGGTGTTGATCCTGACGTTGAAGTATCCCCACGTGTCCGGCAGATTGCAGGGGCCCTTGGTGCTCGCAGTCTCTGGCGGCGGGCTCCTGGGGTCCGTCGGGTCACGCTCGGCCTGCGACGACGACTTGTCGCCGATGCTGGCCGCGCTGGCCACGCCAGCGAGGGCCGGGAGAAGAACGAGGGCCAACTTGAGCTGCATCTCGGGAGGCTGGACGGTCTGTTTGGGTGACGAGGTCGTTGCGAGTGTGAGAGAGACGAGTGGAGCAGAGTGTTGTGCTGTTGAGGAGAGGGGCTTGCTGTGCTCTTGAGAAGAGGGGCTTGCTTCGCCTTGGGGAGGCACCTTATATACCGCACGCCCCCTCGATCGTTGGCCAAGGGGGGTAGAAGCTTCTTGCCATCTTGACGACTTCGGCCGGCTCGCCACAAGCCGCCCCACCCTGGTGTTCAGATTCAAGCCCCTCTCTTCGAGAGCTGTCCGCTCTTTCGAGACTAGGGCAGTACCATGGCGTCGGGCTCGTGCGCCGATCTGCGCATCTGCGAGGTCGGGGATTCGGGCCATTCCCTAGCTGGTTTGCACAGAAGGTTGGAGCACGGGTTCCTTCTCGATCTCGGAAGCGTCGCCGACAAGGACATCGGTGGTTACGGAGTGGGACAGTCATGAGTGCCTGCACGACTTTGACCGCACAAAGCGCCGGCAAGCTCGAGCCTTTCGTGCGTCGGACCTCCGCTTTGCTTCTTGGTGGGTAGGCCACCATGCAACGTCTCGATCGTGCAGACTAGGGATTTGAACGGGACCTGCCACGGTGGCTTGCAACCCGTAAGGCTAGGAGCAGTGAAGGCCACGAGGTGGGACCGGGTGGGGAGCAGCCCACCTCAGTCGCCGCCGCCGACCGGCGCCGAGATGGCTTCCCCTCGGACCAGCAGGATCGCACAGACATCACAAAGGAAGGTGGCTGAATGGGCGTCGCGAGTTTTCATTGCATCAGGCGTACAAGGCGGACTCACTGCGTACCCTGAAGCACATTGTCGCGATGACGACGGCATCGAGACGAGCCAGGGATGTAGGCAGACTACTATCTAACGATCCTTCATTGACCGGAGTCTGAGGGTGATAGCGAAAGAATGCCTTTCTTTAGGTCGCCCTGACCCGGAGGCCGGGGCGACGTTGATCTCCGCTCGAATGTAATGCCGAGAGGCGCGGGGTGCGATCCTCTCGGGATAAGGATATCGAGCGGGAGCGGGAGCGGGAGCGGTGGCGGGGAGGTGGGGCAACGGAGCCAGGCCAGGGGTTGGTGGGGCGGATCGAGGAACGTGGGCAAGGGGGAAGCTGCGCCTTACCTTTTCAAAGCAAGAAGCTGGCCACTCTCAGCACAGTGCGGGTCAGGAGTTCACGATGACCTTGCGTGTTTCGCCAGAATGGGCGTGGCTGTGTAAGCATCTGGGCCCCCTCTCGTGACGGGAGCGGGGGTGGGCGGGTATAGTTGCGCTGGTGATACAGGGTGCATGCGAAGTGAGTCGAGAAGTGGTCCGTAGGCGGGTTGCGTGTTGTACAATGTTGGGGAGCCCGGCGGTGCCGATGAACGAGTCGAATGGTCGGATGGGAGGACGTTGGGGCGGTTGGAAGGTGTTGCATTCTGAGGTTGTCGAGTGTCGGGCGGGGATCCGCTGTGGCTACTGGCCGCCGCGAGTCTCACGCTCCTTGATCTTCTTCTCCTTGAGCTCGCGGTACAGCTTGATTGCCTTGTCGCGCTCCTGGTCGAGGATCATCTGCCGGGCCATGCTTGGCTTCGCTGGCCTGACGCCGGCCGAGGCGAGGTCGGATGGATCGTCACCCCGCTTGCGCTTCTTGGCGTCGGCCGCAGCCGCGGCCTTTTCCGGGATGCGGCCCTTGAAGCGCGCCTTTTCGTCGGTGAGGACGCGCCGAGACGCCTCGTCCTCGTCCGTGCCTCCGATCTTGGCCATCAGCTGCGCCTTGCGCAGCTTGGACTGGACCGTCTCTCCTCGGGGCGCCTTTGTGAGGCGAGGTGGGGCTTGCGCGACATCGTTGATCTTCTTGACCTGGGACGCCTTGGCAAAGTCCTTGACCTCGGCTCCTGCTTCGAGGGCCTGGCGCTGCCGCTTGAGGTCGTTGCGCGATGGCTGTGCCGCCTCCTTGGCGGCCGCCTTGTCGGCGCGCTTCTTGCGCAGATCCTCCTGGTCGGCTTCGTCCTGCGAATCGGCGTCAGGGTCGAGGCCTGCCTTCCTGGCGGCTCTGCGCGCCCGCTTCTTGGCGTTGGTGGCCGACTTGGAGCGGAACGTGGACGAGATGTCGTGAGCCATGGCCATCTCGACGCGGCGGTTGAAGTCGCGGAGCTTCTCGCCGGGGCGGATCTTGAGCTCCTGGGTCGCCGACGAGTTCTCATTGTCGTTGCCGTTGCCCGCCGCCTTGTCCTTGCCCTTGCCCTTGCCCTTGGCCGCAGCCGTCGAGGCGGCCGAGGTGGGGTTCTGGGCGGCTTTTGCGGCGGCGAGCTTGCGCTTGCGGTACTCCTCTTGGATCTGAGCGCCCTGGAGGATCCTCATGGCGCCCTTGGGCATCGAGTTGAAGTGGTAGTCGTCCTTGCCGGTTGGCGGGGGGAGGTTGGTGCCCAAGGCTGCGCGATCCTCCTGCCGCTTGGAAAACTTGGCCCGCTTGTGAGGCATGACGGGCCGAATGGAGGGGGAAAGTGATCGAGCTCGATGGCGGTGGGAGAGAGATTCGCCGTTGACGGCGGTGGTGGTGACCAGAAGAGGTGGTGGTCCATAGGGAAGGGCAGGCTGAAAAGAGGCCAAACAGAGCGCAGAGGCGCCCTCGAGGCTGAAAATTGGAAAAATTCCAGCGGCGAGAAAGAAATCGGAAGACTGCGGTCCTCAGAATCGGGGCCAAACCGTTGACACAATCGGCCGCAGCCCGATGACAGCCATCTTTTTCGAAGGCCTGGCACTGCGCGTGGAAGCCGGTCCGAGCCGGGAAGGAGCAAGCTTAAAACCTTGGAGGTCACGACCGTACGCTTGCCCCTGGCCGTCTTCCAGCGCCAGCAGGACGGCTGGGGCCGAAGGGTGGGTCGAGCCAATCACGACGTTTGCTCGAGCGTGGTGGGTGACTCGTCCTTGGAAGGCGGGGTGCGAGGCCAGAGGAGAGAGGAGAGAACGAGACCTGCCTGTAATGGTAAGTGCAGGCAGGCGGACGGGTCGATATCGAGGGCCAGGCGGAGTGGGCTCCGAACAAGCAAGAGGCTAGGTTGCGGCGCTACGCCCGAGACCGGCAATTCCGCTTGTTTCGAATGGGGTTGGGCTTGCGGGGGGAGAGGGCCAGGCGGGGCACAGACCTCCGCTTTCTTGCCTTCCTCGTGTCGACTCGGCCTCGCCGCCTCGACCTCCTCCTTCCCGTTCTTCTCTTTCCCTCCCCTCTCACCGCACCATCCTCCATCTTTGCGTAGCGGCGATACTGTCTCGCTCAGCACCTTCCACAGCTCCTGACTACGGCAAACATGCACGCATCCAACGTGGCCGTACGGGCCATGGCCAAGGCCACTGCCGGCGCGCTGCCCTCATCATCCCGCGCTGCTGTCGCATCCTCAACCAGGGCCATGTCCACCGCCGTAAAGGCTGCTCAGGGCGCCAGGACCCTCCGTGCGGCGAAGCCTTGCATCACGTCGATCCCCTCTCGCCTACTGCACTCGTCGGCCCCTGCTCGTGCCGACACAAAGGGCGAGGACATGGGCCTCCCCCAGGCACCCCTCACCCCGGAGCTCTCCAAGACGGGCCTCTACGACTTCCACATCAAGCACGGCGGCAAGATGGTCCCCTTTGGCGGCTACCTGATGCCCCTCACCTACGGCGACGTCGGCCAGGTCGCGTCTCACCACCATGTCCGCACCCATGCCGGTCTCTTTGATGTCAGCCACATGGTCCAGCACCGCTTCACCGGACCCGGCGCGCTCGACTTCCTCCAGTACCTTGCACCTGCCTCGCTCAAGTCCATGGCACCCTTCAACTCGACCCTCTCGGTCTTGCTCTCGGAGCAGGGCGGCATCCTCGACGACCTGATCATCACGAAGCACGCCGATGACCGCTTCTACGTCGTCACAAACGCCGGCAGGCGCAGCGAGGACCTCGCGTGGATCGGCGGCAAGATGAAGGAGTGGAACGCCTCAAAGCCCAAGGTCGAGCACGAGGTCCTCGAGGGCTGGGGTCTCGTGGCGCTCCAGGGCCCCACGGCGGCCCAGGTCCTCAAGAAGCTGGTCCCGCAGTCGTTTGACCTCAACGCCCTCACCTTTGGCAAGTCCGCATTCGTCAAGCTCAGCGTCGGCGGCAAGGAGGTCGAGTGCCACGTGGCGCGCGCCGGGTACACGGGCGAGGACGGCTTCGAGGTCAGTGTCACGCCTAGCCGGGAACCAGTCCGGGCTCCAGGGGACCGGGACCAGACAGACGCATGAAGCCGAGCGCTGATGGGCCTGTCGTGACCTTACTTCCTTGGCTTTTGCTGCGCCTCGACTCCTAACAGATCTCGATCCCGCCTGAGTCGACCGAGGCCGTTGCAGAGGCGTTTGTGTCAGACCCGGAAGTGCAGCTGGCTGGCCTTGCTGCGCGAGACAGCCTGAGGCTCGAGGCAGGCATGTGCCTGTACGGCCACGACCTCGACGAGTCGGTCAGCCCTATTGAGGCGGCGCTGGCGTGGTGCGTGGGCAAGGACCGACGCGCCTCGGCCGACTTCCTGGGCGCCGAGCGGGTGCTGCGGGAGCTCAAGGAGGGGCCGCCGCGTCGCAGGGTGGGCCTGGTGGTCGACGGCGGCATCGCGCGCGAGAATGCGCGCATCCTCTCCGAGGACGGCACCAAGGTCGTGGGGCGCGTCACGTCTGGCATCCCTTCGCCGACGACGGGCAAGAACATCGCCATGGCGCTCGTCGAGAACGGGCAGCACAAGAAGGGCACCAAGCTGCTGGTCGAGATCCGCAAGAAGCTCAGGCCCGCCGAGGTGGCCAAGCTGCCCTTTGTCGAGAACAACTTCTTCCGCGGCTAGCTGGCGGGCACGGGCTGGGCTCAGACCAGGTGCGGTGGCGGACTCACAGGGATGAGAAGGGTCGCCCGTACCGGTAGACCTCAGTGATGGTCCGGGGTCAGCAGGACACGGGCACCGCACCCGACGCATTGTGACGGAAGGGCGAAGGATTGAGAAGGAGGGGGGCAAGGGACGTGGTAGATTTCTCTTCGCTACGCTAGCTTGTCACGGGAATCAGTCCAGCCACAGGTATCCCATCCGCCTCTGCCTGTCAGCGCCCTCGTCTGGGCGGAAGAGACAAGCGCAGCGACCGAACGCGGGTCGAGGGCAAGAGGAGCGATCCCGTACGTGAACATGCGGTGGGCGCGAGCCGACGTACCGATGGACCGACAGAGAGCGGCTTCCACTCGGCTGGCAAAAATGGCCGCCAATACGGTGCCACCTCCATCTACCTTTCGCACGCACGTTGCCTCTTGCCCACGACAAAGGGGCTCGAAGCAAGTGCATCCGACTAAAGTTATCGTATCTCCATTGTCGCAAATCGCCTCGAGTACGTCCGCGCCGACAACAAGCTAAAGTGTCTTACCTCAAAGACGGCGGCTCTCTTTTTTCAAGGCGCGCCAACGCGATCTCAACAGAGGCTAGCAGATGGCAATACCGATATGGAACACGACCATCCGGAGGCGGACCTCACGTACCGATGGACCTGTCTTTACAAGGCTTCTCTGTCGGCATCCTGGCCCGATACCATTTAGAGCCAGGGCGGCATCGCCTGAGAGGGGTTCCGCGTCTTCCGGTACCGCGCAAAGGCCTCTCGATGGAGACCATTCTTCAGAGTGGAACGGAGAAGATGGCGCCCTCGTTCGGCTCATGGGCGGACCGGGATCCCCGGTTTCGCCGGCCGACTGTATCCCGGCTTGCTCGATCCATCGCCTACATACACCTTAGCTTGCGCTCACGGCCGATCGGCGCGTTCCTAGTGAAACTCTCCAGCGGGATCGTGTGGTTGCCCTTGTCCACGTTCGCGCTCCTCTATCGCTCGCACAGCCGCCGCTTCTCGCTGTCCGGAGACTGATAGCTCGTCTCTTCCTATCGGCGGCGGACGGCGAGCCTCCTGCCGGTGCCAGGTCATATGATGGACTCGTCCGTCTGTGATACCGGTACGACGAGCTCAAGCCAGTTCTCCCACACAGCTGAGTTGCGAGCACAAAGAAAGGGTGGAACCGAGAGAGAGGCAACGATGCCGTGGGTGCGCAAGGGGTTCGAGGTTGTCGAGGGTACTTAACCAGGAGGGACCGTACCTACATCAGGTAAACAAAGATGGACTTGACATCCGGTAGGTGATGGTGAGGCAACATACGGTGGCTTGCGCTGGGTCGGGAAGGGCATCGGTGGTTGCTGCCGCTGCTATGATGGTCTCTTCCAAGACGATTGTGTCGGCGCTCTGGGCTCTGGGCGGGTTGTCGTGCGATTGGCCCATGACTGCTGTAGGCGCCGCAGGGAGGGCGCTTGTCGCACGCCACCGTTGCGCCCAAACCTTGCTTGCGCGACCTCCTCGCTTCGTCCGGCCCGATTGTACGTCCGGCATGGTGGGTAGCCTGGGCAAAGCAGACCTCCTCGCCTTGGCCTGGCGGCGTTCTCTCGCGCTCCTGGCCGACTTGGCCAGCCAGTAGCCTCATGGGTTACCTACGAAGGTACGTATGTACGTGCGGGCGGCGGCCGTATTGTAGACGACGGCGGCGTGCTTCGATCGTGAAACCTCAGCCAGCCATGCGTGCCTTGCCTGCCTGCCCGCCTGCCTGCCTGCGGGCGGATAGTTACAGAAGATACGCCAAGGGTTCGATGCGCCTCTTCCTGCTTGCTCGGTGCGGTGACGGCTGCGTCGCAATCTATCGTGACAGGCGCGGCAGCGTGCGTCGTTCGAATTAGCCGGCGGCAGAACCATGCACGCGTCTCGTCTAGTACGTCCAGAGGCCGCCGCCATTTCGCCGCGCCACTCAAGTGCCCGTCGTTGGTCGTTGGCCATTGGCCAGGTGCGTGCGGATGCACGTCGGCGTTGGAGGGCCAAGCTCAAGGCCAGGCCAGGCAGGAAAAAGGAACGACCCGTTCCGAACCGTGGCTGGGCCCGGACTCGCCTTGCCTAGCGTTGCTTGCTCGTCGCCTCGCTAGACTGCTGCACAGGCGGGCTTGACCGGCATGGCTGCTTGGCTTGCTCCTGCCAATGGTGAGCTACCGGTCGGTACTGTGGCAAGATGGCCGGCAGGCAAGCTGATCCGCGCCGCGCCGCGCGTTAGACGACCGGCATCTTTCGCGCTTGGCGCATCTTCCAACAGTCGAGGGTCTGACCAGCGAAGCTTGCAGCCTAGCCTGAGACCTTTGACAAGATTCTTGATCTTGCCTGGAGCCGAGGACCACACCCTTACCTCGGTCTCATCGAACAACCCGACACCATACATCGTACGTCTTGCTTTGGTCTCCACCACCCCGCCGGTTGTCTCGCCAAGCCAGCGACGGCATCGAGCTCAAGCATAGCATGACCGACTCTGCCTCTGTTGCTCACATCGTGCTCAACAGCCATATTAGCATCCAGAGCGAGCTAACAGAGGCGATCCTTGACAGTCGCTCGCCCCCAGCTCGACGCACCGAGGAGGGGTCGCGCTGACACCCTATGCACACACACCGGGGCGCACCGGATCAGGCCGAAGCTAAGCCTGATGCAAACGTTCCCTGCCTGCGGCCCAGCATCGCATCGGCTCTACGGCAACGTCCGCTGTGCTCATCTGTTCAGCCACAGTTCTGTACATACAGTACAGCACTTAGCGCCGGCTGCAGCCTTCTCTGCCGCTGTTCGTGCTTCGTCGTGCGTGGGTCGCGGGCGTCGGCCACATCCTCGAGCATGCACGCCTCGTGATCCCCGGATCCCAGGAAACGACGAGGGCGAGGCGAGGCGAGAGGCATCGAGCGTTCACGATGTTCCTCTGACAACGTTTACGACGTCCATTGTTCGTCCGAGCGTACAGTATGTACAACATACTCTACTGCTCGGGGCGGGGCGGGGCGTCACGGCAGCTTCATGGTCGCGCCTGTGGGGACGTCCAGCAGAGACAGGGCCCACGCTCCGGGAGGGCTCCCCGCTGCCTCCCGCCTTGTCATCGAAGGCAGCACGATCTGCTCTCCGTAGCAGCGGCTGTTGCGCAGCAGCGGCCGAAGAACCTGCATGCGCGCAGGCTCTGCACGCCGCCGTCGACCCATGCCGATGGGACCGGTCCACCGTTGCCGGGCCGTCGTCTCTGTCGCCGGTCCCGCCGATGCCAACACAGCTTCGACGCTGTCTCACCAGCATTCGCTCGGCTCGATAGCTTTCGCGCAGCCTAGCCTTCTGGCGATCTCTGAAGCAGCGAGGCGCTAGGGAACCACCGGTCGCACGTCCACACGGTACAATGCCACCGAAACTGACTGTATGTTCTCGAGGAGCAAGCTGGAGAGCATAGACGAGGACGAAGATATAAGGACCATCAGATCCCCTCTCACCTCGGGTCGTCTCGTCATCCAACCAGCTTGGTCTTTTCCCCTCCTCTCTGCGGCGCCTACTCCCGTCCTCTCGAATCCTTCCTCCCATCCCCCCTACCATCGTTGCCCCATCCTCCCTTCTAGAACCATGAAGTTCTCGGCTCTCTTCGCGTTTGCTCTCCTCGGCGCCGCCTCGGCCACCCCGCTCGGATTCGGCGGCTTCCCCGGCTTCGGTGGAGGCTCTGGTGGCGGATCCGGTGACGATTCGGGCAGTGGATCTGCTGGCGGATCCTCTGGCTCCTCGGCCGGCGCTTCCAGCTGTGCCAGCTACAGTGAGTCCCGGATTTCTGTCCCCCACGACGGAGCGAAGTGGGCTTTTGCCGACACACGAGATCCCCACCCGTCGCGCCGCCCGTTGCCATACCAACCCTTCTGACGCGACCGTTTCCCTGGTCTCTGCTCTCTTGCCGACCCTTGGTGTACCGTTGCGCAGCTATCATCAGCACTCGCGGTACCAGCGAGCTGCAGGGACCCTCTGCCGGATTCCGCACCATGAACTCGAGGCTGACGTCGTCGGTCTCCGGTGGCAAGGTCGTGAGTACATACACTCGGGGTGGCCTTTCTTGGAGCAACGGCTCCGCTGAAGCTCAAGCTTTGACGCCGATGGCTGTTGCCCCCTGTTTTCGATGCTCTTGATCCCATGACCTCGCCAGTACAACACCGTCTACCCCGCCGACTTTTCTCAGATCTCGACTGTCGGAACCAACGACGTGAGTTCGACGCGGCCTTGCCGTCGTCCGTCTTGCACTCTCCCGTGGAACCGGTGCTGACCCTTCACACGACGAGTCCGCACTCGCTCACCTCCGCATCAACGACCATCAGATTGTCAACAAGGTCAACAGCGTCCTGCGCACCAACCCGAACGAGTGCTTCATCCTCCAGGGCTACTCGCAGGGCGCCGCCGCCACCACCAACGCCCTCCCCAGACTCACGGGAGCGGCCTTTGACGCCGTCAAGGGGGTCTTCAACATTGGCAATCCCCTCCACAAGCGTGGGCTTGCCTGCAACGTCGACTCCAAGGGTGGAACCACGACGAGGGATGTGCAGGGCCTCTCTGCCCTGCTGGGCCAGGGCATCCCTCAGAACTGGGTGTCGAAGACCATGGACGTGTGCGCCTTTGTGAGTTGAGTTGGGAGCGACTGTGGGGCTGCGCTGTCGCTGCCATGTAGCTGTGAGGTCGACCTGTGCTGACACTGCCTCTTGAACTGGTGCACTCGCGACGATGCGAGCGAAACAGGGCGATGGTGTCTGCGACACGACCCACGGCTTTGGCATCAATGCGCAGCACCTCAGCTACCCGCTCGACAGCAACGTGCAGAACATGGGCTTCAACTTTATGAAGAAGCAGCTCGGACGCTGAGCAGTGTCGTCCCCTCTTCGCGGGAGGGATACCCTGATCTCCGTCCAGTCGAGGCCGTCGCGGCAGAGGCTGTTCAACGCATCGCTGGTCCCCGCGGCCGCTTGCGCCTCCCCCCTCGTTCTCTCTCTCTCTCTACCTCTCTCTTCTCGCGGCCCATTCGTTCCGACCCCCTCCACTCCTTGTCCCACCCCTCCCTCTCCCTGTGTATCGAGACAGCCTCAAAAGTGAGGCAATGTCATCCTGTTGGCTGCCAGCATGCTGGCGTTGCTGGGCCACACTCGTTGAACCAGGTCGGGCTCCCCGCGTGTGTTGGGCGCGTCGAAGGCTGTCGGATTGCGCCGGGCTCGTGGGACTCGGATCTGCCGCGGCACCGCGACGGGCACATCGGGGGCAAAGGGACCTGGCGCTGCACCGGATCGGGGCCCGACTTGAGAAGAGCTGTTAGAGGGCATGGCCGGCGGCGAGGCTCTCTGCCTGCCAGCGACCACCTTGACCTCGATACAGGTCGTCGGATCCAGGCCGAAAGGGCGGACGGCAGAGCCGACGGCGTGCCCGAAGCGGGCGGGCGACTTGGAAGAGGTGAATCATCTGGGCGCGGGCTCGCAGCGTCTTCGTCTCGACGGCGCCGATGGGACGCAGCGAATAAAGTGGAGAAATCCAAAGAAATTTGGCTCCAGCTCGGGCCAGGCCAGGCCAGGCTGGGCATGCACGATTAATCCCCACGACGCCCTGCCTACGCCCAATGGCTTGATGCTGCTGATTGAGGTCGGCAGAAGCCGCCAACCAGCTGCTTCCCGGCCTCTTGACCACCACATCCTCTGCTCCCTCGCTGCCTCTCGTCTTCATCGCCAGCGCCATCGCCATCGCATCCCCATCTCTCGCCAGTCAGCAAACACTCACCGCAACGGCATCATCTCCTGGCCTGTCACTCCGACATCGTCCACTGGTCCTCCGAAGCGCGCCCCCTCTTGACTCTTCAGACAGCCTACAACGCCACTAAGTACTCAGCTGGCAGCGCTCGCCGACACCGGCCACACACAACTACATCCACCGCTACCACCACCTTGACCACCACCACCACCACCACCGACGTCACCTGCCCTCGCCACCACCGACGACGACGCTGGCTGCGCCCCGCCCCATGACCGGTCCCTCGCCTCGAAACGGCGGCTCCCCCCGCTCCGACCCCGCCGGCCCTGCCCTCGACTCGAGCTGCCGACAGTCGCCCCCGATGTCCGGCGCAAGGCTCATTGTCGTCTCCAATCGCCTCCCCGTCACCATCAAGGTCGACCCGTCCGTGCCCGGCGGCTACACCTTCACCCTCTCCTCGGGCGGCCTCGTCTCGGCCCTCTCGGGATGCAAAAAGACGATGAACTTTACCTGGATCGGTTGGCCGGGCCTCAGCGTGCCCGAAAAAGACGAGGCCTACATCGAAAAAAAGCTCATGGACGAGTACAGCTGCCAGCCCGTGTGGATCTCGGACGAGATTGCAGACCGCCACTACAACGGCTTCAGCAACTCGATCCTCTGGCCCCTCTTCCACTACCACCCGGGCGAGATGAACTTTGACGAGACAAACTGGCTCGCCTATCGCGAGGCCAACCTCATGTTCGCCGAAAAGGTCCGCAGCGTCGTCCGCCAGGGCGATATGGTGTGGGTCCAGGACTACCACCTCATGCTCCTCCCCCTCATGCTCCGCACCCTCATCGAGGGATCGTCCAAGCAGGGCGCCACGTCGCACCGCGAGCTCGAGCACGTCCGCTACGGCGTCGACGGCACCTCGCAGCTCGACGACCAGGACAAGCTGGCGGCCCCAGCCGCGCAGCGGCCCATGTCGCCGCCCGCCGACGACGACGAGGGCAACGATGCCGACGACGAGGATGCGCCACCTTCGTCGTCGGGCGGCAGGGCCGGGGCGAGCGGCGCCCGCGATGCTTCGCAGCAGCAGCACCATCACCAGCCGGCCGGACGGGGCCTGGGCACCAGCGACGGCTCAAAGGGCCGCGGTTCGATCAAGATTGGCTTCTTCCTGCACACGCCGTTTCCCTCGAGCGAAATCTACCGCATCCTGCCCGTGCGGCGCGAGATCCTGCTGGGTCTGCTGCACTGCGACCTGATCGGCTTCCACACCTACGACTACGCGCGCCACTTTTTGTCGTCGTGCACCCGCATCCTCGGCCTGCCGACGATGCCCAACGGCGCCGAGTTCGAGGGCCGCTACGTCCACGTCGGCACCTACCCGATCGGCATCGAGCCGTCGCAGTTTGAAGAGGGCCTCAAGCGCGAGAGCGTAAAGGAGCGCATCCGCAGCCTGCAGCGGCGGTTCGAGGGCGTCAAGATCATTGTCGGCGTCGACCGCCTCGACTACATCAAGGGCGTGCCGCAGAAGCTGCACGCGCTCGAGACGTTCCTCCAGGATCACCCCGAGTGGATCGGAAAGGTGAGCAGCCGTGCCGGGGGCGCGGAGGGAGGCGTTGGACTGCGACTGACGTACGAGGACCCGCGATTGTCTTCTCCTCTCCTTCTCCCCATCGCGCTCGCGGCCGCTTGTTCGCGCAGGTGGTCTTGGTGCAGGTAGCGGTCCCGTCGAGGCAGGACGTCGAAGAGTATCAGAACCTCCGTGCCACGGTCAACGAGGCCGTGGGACGCATCAACGGTCGGTTCGGCACCGTCGAGTCGATGCCGATCCACTTTTTGCACCGCTCCGTCAGCTTCGACGAGCTGTGCGCCCTTTACGCCATCAGCGACGCGTGCCTCGTCACCAGCACGCGCGACGGCATGAACCTCGTGAGTGCTCTCGATCCCGCCTGGTGGGAGGACGATGCGGATTCGTCGTGGCTCGTCACCCGGGCGCGTGCGACGTGCTCGCTGACTTGCGTTCGTCTCACCGTTTCCGATCTCGTCCGCCTCCCTTGACCTCCGCTCGATTGCGGTGTCAGGTGTCGTATGAGTACATTGCCTGCCAAGCCGAGAGAGCCGGCGTCATGATCCTCTCTGAATTCGCAGGTGCCGCACAGTGAGTCCCTACCTGTCAACCCCCCTCCCCCTCCCCCTCTCCTTCCAATACGACCCAGACACATCCTCACTGACTCCCCTGTCCCCTCTCCCTTCCCTTCGCTTTCCCCCTCGGCAGATCACTAAACGGCAGTCTGATCTGCAACCCGTGGGACGCATTCGCCGTATCGGACGCCATCCACGAGGCGCTGACGATGCCCGCCAATGTGCGGCGCGAAAACTTTGAAAAACTCAGTCGGTACGTGCAGAAGCACACGGCGAGCTGGTGGGGCCTCAGCTTTGTCAATGACCTCAAACAGATCAAGGTCGACGAGGATTCCGTCGTCTCGCCCTCGACGGCGACGGGCGGCGGTCTCGACGAGGGTCAGCTGGAAGTTGACCCGCTCGATGGTCTTGGTGCCTAGCCTTGCCGCTCCTAGCCCACTTCGATAGGCAAGAGGGTGGGCGGAGAGGAGGCGGCGCCCATGCACGGACAATTTCATCACCATCACCATCACCATCGCCATGACCATCACGCACGCCTGTCGGCCCGACGCGGGATGACCGATCCTCGATCCGTGCCACTCTGGACAGGTTGGGCATGCTGCACGGTTCGTATTCAGATGCGGCAGCAGGAGGAGGAGGCGGAAGCTGGATAGACGGGAGGATAACGGTGCAGCGGGCGGGGCTACTCGAAGACCTTGCCAAAGAGGGGTTGTGCGATGCTGAGGTCGTGTCCGGGGACGATGGTGCCGCCCGTCGTCTTTTCGAGGCGCTGGAGGCGCTGGTTGGAGTTGAACCAGGCCGGGTGGTCTCGCTGCGGGCAGGAGGGGGAGGGGGGAGGACGCAAAGGGTAGAGCGGCGCGGGGGGAAGAAGCAATGATGGACAGATGAGCAAAGAGACCGCCGGCAAACGACCGCCGGCAAACGACCGTCGGCAACCGAGCGTCGGCAAGAGGCAAGAGTGTCGACCAGCCGCCCGCTGCTAATGCGGACACTCACGGCGAGCCAGCCCTGGGGCACACCGGGCTTGTAGTTTTCGAGGACGTGTGCGTGGTCGCTGGTAAAGATAAAGGTGCCGCTCTTTTCGAGGTTGACCTGCATGCCGACGAGACCGTCGGTGTGTCCGGGGAGGTGGTGTAGGGTGATTCCCTGAGCAAAGTCGATGGTGCGGTCGTCGAACGTCTTCCAGTTGAGCTCGTCGACGGAGAGGTAGCGGGCGAGGTAGACGCCCTTGTCTGCGCCCGTGGCGACGGAGAAAAAGGCGCTCTTGAGCTCGCGCTCGTGGACCCAGATGGGGATGCCCGTGTTGCGGAAGGCGTTGAGGCCGCCCGAGTGGTCGAGGTGGAGGTGACCGATGACGACCTGCTTGACGTCCTTGATGCTGTAGCCCGCCTTTGCGATGGCGGCGTCGAGCTCGTGCTCCGGCTCGTAGCGGGTGCGGGCAAAGATGTCGTTGAGGGGTGCCCCCCAGACCTGCGGGTAGTCTTTGCCGGAGCCCGTCTCCCAGAGGATGAGGCCCTCGGTGGGGTGGTCGATGAGGACCGAGTACATGACCAGGTCGCGGCGCTCTGGCTTTGCGGGACCCGTGGGGTCCGACATGGTCGAGGTGTTGCCGCCGCGGAAGAACCAGCCGGCATCGGCGGCGAGGTAGCCGAGGCAGATGACATGCATCTTTGTGCCGGGCGGGGCGCGGTTGAGGACGTGGGGCAGCACGACGCCGTCCTGCAGCTGGTGGCTGGTAAAGGTGGACATGGTCGCAAGTGGGAGGCGGGCGTGGAAAGGGCTGTTGGGTATGGATGGCTGGTCGGCGGCGAGGACGAGGGCGAGGGCGGGGAGGCGAGGATACGATGGTGAGAAGGAGGCGTGGCGGCGAGGCGATTCATGGCGTCGTCGACGGTGCGGCTTTTATACGCCGTGGTGCTAGGCTTGTCGGTGACGTCGGGCGTGGTAGCGTGACCGCTTGGTGGAGCGAGGAGTGAGGACGAGGAGCGAGGAGCGAGGAGCGTCGGGTGTCTTGTGACAGGCAGGCGGCAGAGGACCGCCAGAGGAGAGTCCAGGTGCACGGTGCGCAGTCCTCGCCATGCACCGCAGGCCAGGCCGAGGAGCGGCTCAACCAGGGCGTCGAGGTAGGGTAGGGTGCAATTGCCGCTCGCTCAGAGAGGCTGGCTGGCTGGTTGGGATCAAGAGTGGGCCAGCCAGACAAGCCCAAGCTGCGGCCAACATATCCGCGTCGTCGGCCACCCACACCCACACCTGCAGCTGACCCCGCAAAAAAGAAAAAAGAGCGGCGGCGCGGCTGCAGGTCAACGCTGAACGCGGGCTTTGGGTGCGGCGATAAACGGGCGCCCCCTTTCGAGGGCCCGTGCACTAGGAGCTAGCAGTGTGCGCTCAGTCGCCAGCCAGCAGGCGCAGGCAAGCATCCTCGTCTGTCGGTTCCGAACAGAGGCTTGACGGGCCGGCAAGGGTCTTTGCTTGCTTGCTTGGGGGCTGGGCGCCGATACGGCTGTCGGGTGACGTACCCAAAAAGACGCACGAGCCAGACCAACACCTTCCAACCCGCCCGCCACCGTCAGCTACCACGGGTCACCGTCATACCACCTCGAGGCGGCCCCCGGTACTTTTGGGCCAGGCAGCCTCCATCCAGCCTGGAAGAAATCGTCACGACGGCGACGGCAACGGCGACGGCGACGAATACGAACCTGCTCGCCTTCTCTCGCTCGCACCCCTGCCTACCAGGTCACGCCGCCTGCCTCGTCGTTGGCCCCTCCCTGGCTTGCTTGCTGCCTGGCTTGTTCGCTCGCTCGCGCTTGGACCAGCTCACCATTCCTTGCCCTTCGCTTCTTGGCAGCGTGCCACGGCTGCACCTTGCATCCTCACCGTAGCCTCTCAGCCGGTCCTCGCACGTCTCTTGCCTCTGCCACACCATCATCCCTCTCCCGCTCTGCACCTGACCAGCCCAGTCCTGCCCACCGCCACCCCAGCAGCTGCGGCAGTTGCGTCGCCGCCCAAGCCTCGGTCGCAGCCAACCTCTCACCTCGGGCCACCATGCCCGCCGATTCGCCCGCCGACATGGCTCAATCCCAGTCCAGCTCGCATCACCACTCTTCCGGCTTCCACCCCTTTCGCTCCATCAAGCACCATCTCGAGGGCCACGACCACGACGGCGACCACGACCACGACCGCAATGGCCACGACAAGGCATCGGATGTGCCCCAGTCTGGCGAGGCACAACAGGCCACGCAGCAGGTCGCATCCGACATCGACGCCCCCACCGAGAGCCAGCGACAGAGCATCGCCGCAGACGAAGCCCGCATGAACCCGCACAAGGACAGGGGCGGCCAGGCAGCAGAGGTCTTTCAGGGCCGCTCAGCCGATTGGAGGACCGTACAGGACCCCATCACCCGAGCACCCCTTCGCCAGAGGGACGTCACCGAACAAGACTACCGCCGCGGCCTCGACCAGTCCGACAGCGTCCAGGACGGCATTCGAGTTCCCCAGCCCGGCGCAACCAGCCAGAGCCACAACCGCGATGACGACAAAGCCACGCCAAAGGACCCCTCAGAGATCCCAGAGCATCCCGCCGGCGCACCCTCGGTCCAGAAGGGTGGCTCCGCCCTCATCTACCAGCTGCCCACCACTGCGCCCTCCGAGGGCATTGTCTCGAGGGTCTTCCGCTCCATGGCCCGCACAGAGGCCGTCCTGTTTGCCGGCTGGTCGGTCCTGTCGCTCGCCACCAACCCGCGCATCTCGACCGCCCTGACCCTCGCAGCCGGCGGCGTCTTTGGCGGCTGGATACAGCACCTCGTCTACCGCCGCGTCATCGACGGGCTGCGCGACAACGAGCTCGAGCGCGAACGCCGACGCGGACAGGCCGTCGACGCTGCCAAGGTCCCCGAGAGCGCAGAGTGGCTCAACAGCTTCCTAAAGGTCCTCTGGCCCCAGATCAACAGCGAGATGTTTGACGGCATCGCAGACACGCTCGAGGACGTGCTCCAGGCCAGCCTGCCCGCCTTTGTCAACTCGGTCAAGGTGTCGGAAATCACCCAGGGCACCACATCGCTCCGCATCCTCGCCGTCCGCCGCCTGCCCGACGGCCGCAAGGTGGACAAGTCCTCGCCCAAGCAGAAGCACAAGATGGACGGCGAGAAGCACGCCAGCGAGGCCGCCCAGCAGCTCGGACTGGTCGACGAGTCAAAGCGCGAGATCGAAGAGGCCATCAAGGCCAACGAGAGGAAGCCCGGCGAGCCGCTGGCCCTCGACGAGGAAGAAGACGACGGCGCAGAGTACATCAACCTCGAGATCGCCTTCGCCTACCGCCCTCCCGCCCACACCGGCGGCGACCCGTACAAGGTGCCGATCCACAAGCGCACCAGCGCTCACATGCTCCTCTCGTTCTTCGTCAAAACGGGCGTCGTCAACGCCCCCATCCCCGTCAATGTCAGCCTGCGCGGCCTGGTCGGCACGCTGCGCATCCGCATCCAGCTGACCTCGCAGGCGCCCTTCCTCGGCAAGAGCACGCTGTCCTTCGTCGGCCTGCCCCGCGTCGAGATCGATGCGGCGCCGCTCCGCGCCGTCTCGATCATGGACGTACCCGTCATCTCCAAGTTTGTCCAGAACGCCATCGACGCGGCCATGGCCACCTACACGGCGCCCGGCAGCCTCGATCTTGATCTTTCGCAGCTCATCAGCGGCGACGACATCAAGCGCGAGATTGCGGCGCTCGGCGCCATCGTCATCTTTATCGAGTCGGCCGAGGCCGTCGAGCGCAGCGACGCTCTGTTTGGCAGCAGCGACCCCTACGTCACCGTCTCGTTTTCGCGCTACGGCAAGGTCCTCTACTGCACCCGCGTCGTGCTCGACGACCTCAACCCGAGGTGGCACGAGTACACCGCCATCCTGCTCCACCCGGAGGTGGTCAAGGCTGGAGAGAGGGTGGCGCTCGAGCTGCGCGACAGCGACCGCACCTCGAGCGACGACCTGCTGGGACGCGCCGAGGTGTCGCTCACCGAACTGCTGCAGAACCCGGGGGAGCTCATCGAGCGCACCGACGAGCTCAAGGGCGACACGCCCGGATCCAAGCGCGGCGGGCGTATCACTTGGCGGGCGGGCTACTACCCCAAGGCCCCGGTCAACACCAAGCTATCCCGCTTCGAGCAGATCCTCGATGTCGGCAACGATGGCGCCGCGGCGAAGGACGACGGCAGAGACAGCAAGGGCACCCAGGCGACGCCGAAGCCGATCGAGGAGGAGCTGCTGCACCGCGCGGAAAAGGCGGGCAAGGTGCCGGTCGAGTACACGCCGCCAGACCCCTCGCTACCGAGCGGCATCCTCTCGGTGACGGTGCACCAGATTGCGGCGCTCGATGTCCCACAGCGGTCGGAGAGCAAGGTGCGGCGCCGCAAGCTGTTCGAGCCGGGCCAGGAGGTGCACGACGAGATCGGCGATGCCTCGCCCGAGGCGCCATCGTCGTACGTCGAGGTGCTCATCTGCGATGCCCTCGTCTACCGCACCCGGACCAAGATGCAGTCGCGCGCGCCCATCTTCCAGGCGGGCACCGAGAGGTTCGTCCGCGACTGGCAGACCAGCACGGTCGTTTTTGCGGTGCGCGAGGCGCGCATCAACGAGGCCGACCCGATCATTGGCGTCGTCGCGCTCCGACTCGAGGCGCTCTTCCGCGACAAGTCGCAGTCGACGGACTGGTACCCCATCTCTGGCGGCATCGGCTCCGGCCGTATCCGCCTCTCGGTCCTCTTCCGCTCGGTCGACTGCAGGCTCGAGAGGCCGTTGCGCGGTTTCGACATCGGCACGGTGCAGGTGCACGACGCCGTCACTCTGCATTCTGTCGACGCTCAGACCCGCAGCGACCTCGGCGGCTGCTACCTCAAGGTGAGTCGGATGAAGGAGTCGAGAGGGCGAGAGAGAGGCGGGCATCCGGGTATCCTTGAGCCGACCCTATACTTGAAGCTGACTCGTCGATTCGATGCCGTTCTTGAACACTCGCCGTGCGTAGCTGCGCACCATCGCCGGCAAGGCGTCGATCTCGTCGACTGCTTCGTCGAAGCACTCTGGCGGTACCGGCGACGATGCCGTGGTCTGGACGCTGTCGGACAAGAAGAATCCGCTCCGACTGCCGGTGCACCGCCGACACGCATCTGCGCTGCTGGTCGAGTGGCGAGCCAAGAACCAGCTGCGCAAGACGACGGTCTGGGCGGTCGCTGCAGTCTGGCTGACAGAGATCGCGGACTCGATCGTGGGCGGCAGCGGCAGCGGCAGCGGCAGCGACACGGGCGGAAACAAGGTCGCGACCATCCAGGTCCCCGTCTGGGACGGCAAGGACGCCAAGGTGCTTTCGAGGCTGAAGCAGAACTTCCAGAGCTTCCACGACGCATCGCAGGGCGAGGCGCTGGGCGGCAAGCGGGTGGCGACGCTCGAGCTCAAGCTCGGCTTCCGCGCGGGCATCGACCGCACGCACACCAAGTTTGCCGCGCCCCGTCCCGACACGCGCGCTGCGATGGAGGCGTGGCGAGCCAGTGCGGCGTCTTCGGGCACCGAGGCCATGGCCCAGGCCGAGATCGAGGAGCAGTACGGTGGCGGTGGCGGCGGCGACACGAGCAGCGATAGCAGCGATAGCAGCGATAGCAGTAGCGACAACGACGACGAAGACGAGAGCGGGGACGAGGTGGGAGGGTCGGGAAGGCGTGGCATGCTCAGGCGGATGAACAGGGACCGGAAGGAGAAGGAGGAGTGGACCCAGATCCAGGACGGCTCGGGCGCAAGGGAGCTCAAGCCGGTGGTGAGTTTCCCCCCCCCTCCTCCTGCCCCCCTGCCCCCTGCTCCGTGGCTCGCTATGCTCCGACTCGGCTGACGTCCGGCCTGCTGACGACTCTTTGCCCTCCGCCTGCCTCACGCTCCCTTTTGACCCTGTGCAACTCGACGACTGCGCTGCGGACACGACGCGCAGAGGATGGTGGACCAGCTCAAGGAAAAGGCCATGGACACGGTGGAAAAGGTCAAGAGCGAGTTGGATACGTCCAAAAACAAGCTGGGCGGTCAGGTCGAGACTGAGGTCTGACGGCGGCGGGGACCAGGACGAGGATCGGGACGAACAAGCGACGGAGCACTGGCATCGGTGGTCCAGAACCTGGCCTGACGAACGACAAAAACGACCTGCGTAGCGGATTTGACGGAGTCCCTCATGTAGCACCCCTTGTTCTTGACTCGCAGCGTAGGTGCGGCTTTGCAAGCCACAACGAACGGCGGCATTGCGACACGATGCATCCCGAGGCCAGAATAGGCGCTTGGAGCTGCTCGTAGCAGGCGTGCGTGCAATCACCGCGGGCGGGTTTGCATGCCCGGCAGGCGGATGCCCTGCCACTCAAGACTATCACTGCAGAGCAGAGCAGGGCAGCTCACTTCCCTCCCGAGCAGGCGCTGACCAGGTGCAGCAGGGACGGGGACAGGGACAAGGATAGGTGCACCTTGAACGAGAGGATGTGCCACGGCACCATGGGAAGAAGGGGGGGTGGGACGGTAGAAGTGCACACAAACTGCCGGACCCCGCATCGCCCCCGCTCAGTGCATAGGAACACTGCCGATCCGTATCCGACCATGCCTATCTCCCTTGCAGACCACCTCAGAAGACTCGGCTGCCCGAAGAGCAAATCAACATAGCCAGCCGCCATCTCCCGCCCCCTGAAAATCCACTCGACGCGTGCACATCCACCCAGATCCAAACCGCGGGATTGCGAGTGGTTCCGCCCCCGCTCCAGCCCGTTCGCACAGCTTGGGATGTACACCGTGCCCCGGTGTAGAACGCCTCTGCTCCTGATTGCATCCTTGATCGAGTCGTTGTCCCGGAAACGAGGGGAAGAGCGCGGCGGTTGCGGTTTCGTACCCGCTTTTCTGGGGGGGGGAGGGCATGCCCTCCGCGCATTTCGCCACGAACGCCGCGTTTTGACGGCGTTTGGCCGCCGCTTTTGATTGGCATGGGTTAGAGAGTGTGTGATGCTCCATCATGACTAGTACATCTTCACGAGGGCAAGCCAGTGGTGCCGTATCTCTTCTTTCCCAGTTGGCTCTCGGGCCGTCTGGACCGCGACGCGACCGGTCTCGCCCGTTTCACTCGCCGACCTACCGCTCCACTTGACTTAGCGCGGCCTATAGAAACGGGTCCCGTCAAGCAGACACGCTGGCCCGGCTCCGCAGACAAAGTAGGGACGGACAGAGGCAAAGAGGCGGGTGGCAGCACCCCGAGGGGATAGCATCTTTGATTCGCTGCTGCATCGCCAGCTCCATCCCCGTCATCCGCATTCACAGCGACCGCGAGACGTCGGCCAGCATCTCCAGGAACGACGTATCCTGCTGGTGCTGCGTCCTCGTCTCCCCTCCCCCTCCTCCTCCGCCCGTAGAGTGGGCACCGTCGTCGCGCTGCTGCTGCCCCTCGCCATCCGGCAGCTTAAACGATCCCCGACGATGCGAGTCTCCGCCACCGCCCCCACCGCCACCGTTGGCCGGTTCGGCCTTGAGCCGTCGCCGCTCGGCCTCGTCGACCCCCGCAGCGCCGCTGGTGGCAGCCTCAAAGACCGAGCTGAAATCGTACCCGCCCGCCGCCCCGTCCGCCGCGCCAGAGACGCTTGGAGTGCCATCGGAAAAGTTGCCCAGCCCTCCTCCGGCGGCGCTGCTGCCGTCGTTGAAGAAGGGGTTGCCCAACCCTCCTCCTCCGCCGCTGCCGCCGCCGCCGCCGCCGCGCGTCGAAGACGAGGGGGAGATGGAGGGATCAAATGCTCCACTGCCGCCTCCTCCCAGGAACCCGGATGTCGAGTCCAGGCCCCATCCTCCGCCCTCGTACGGCTGCAAAAGCCAGTTGTGGAAGCCAAACGTGGGGCCGGTGTCGCTCGTCCCGCCGCCTCCGTTCTGCGAGCCGTTGGTCTGGTTGCCGTCCGTCGTGACGCCGTTCGAGCCGCCTCCACCGTTGCCGCTGTACGTGCCAATGCCGCCGCCGCCGTGGCCGTCCTGCCCGTTGCGCTGCACCGTCGAGGGAGAGATGGACCCGAGCACGACGGGGCTCAGCGCAGCCATGCCAGAAAAGGCATGGTGGCTGCCTGCGCCGCCCACCGAGAATCCATCTTGCTGCGCCTGCCCGTAGCTTGTGGTCGGCGCTAGAGGCGGCGAGCCCTGCGCCGTGGTGCGCTGCTGCGAGATTGCCGGTGCCGAGTGAATTGCCGACGACAGCGAGGACGTGGGCCGCTGCAGCTGCGAGTACACGTTGCGAGGGGGTGCGGCCACGAGGATCGTCGAGCCAGGCGGAGCAGAGTTGGACGCTGCCACCGTGTTCCACGTGGCGTCCGACAGCCACGTCGGGCTCATGAAGCTGTTGGGAGCCGACGAAGTGGGGAAGGTACGCAGAGCCGGGCTGCCCTGCCTCGCGCTGCGGAGCGAAGAGTCGAAGCCGCCGCCGGATGTTGTTGCCGCCATCATGAGGGCACCGCCGCCGCCGCTGTTGCTGCCGCCAGCCCCGCTGCCGAGTCCAGCTGCACCGGCACCGCTGCTGTTGCCGCTACTGCTGTTGCTGCCGCCGCCGCCGCCGCCGCCGCTGGTGCTGAAGCCGCCATGGCCCGTCGTGCCGCCCATCATCGCCCTCAACGGATTCGGCATCGGCGTCAGAGAACCGGACACCGTCGACTCAAGCACGGTTCCGCCATTGGCGCCGCCGCTGCCGCCCCGAGAAGGCTCCAGGATGATCTTGAGCACCGCGGCCGCCGCGGTGTCGAACGTGTCGCGCACCCGTGTATTGTACCCGTCCTCGAGCGACGTCAGCGCCTCGAGAACCGACGTGCAGCTCTGGACATTGAAGATGATGTCGACGAGCGACGTCGGGTTGCTGAGCCCCTGCCGCGCCAGCTTCTCGAGCGAGTTGAGGTAGGTGAGGCCCGAGATGAAGAGGTTGTGCGTCGCCAGCCACGGAAAGTTGATCTTCGAGGTGCGATGCATCAGCTTGTAGAGCTTCATCACCTCGCCCGAGGCGACAAAGGCGCGCCGCAGGCCCTGCTGGTCGGGCCGCGGGTTATTGGGCGAAGGGCGGAAGAGGAGGCTTAGCGTCAGGTTATAATTGAGCTCCATCCACTCGGTCGTCACAAAGGGGATGGCCTCGACGGAGAGGTCGTTGAAGCTGCTGATGCCGCCGCCGCCGACACCGCCGCCGCCGCTGCTCCCCCCGTGGACACCTGCGCCTCCGCCGAAGCTGCTGCTGCCGGCATCGTTGGTGCAGGCGGCGCATCCGGCACGCCAATCCTGCAGCTTCTTGACCATCCTCTCCTGCCACGCCACGTTGGGCGTCGGCGGCCCGTACTCCATCATCGAGGCCAGGTTGCGGTCGGGAGGCAGAGGCTGCGAAAGGCTGATGCCGTCGTGGTCGAGCGAGTAGTCGCGTGGGTTGACGCTGTGGAGGCGGCAGTGGATCTCGGACTGGATGCGGCGCAGCGCAATGTGGGAGCGGTAGGACTGCTTGAGCCGGTCGACGTTGCCGTTGCTCAGATGGACGGCGGAGGCATTGCCCGAAGCGGGGCCCTGCTGGATCAGGTCGTGATCCGAGCGCAGGCTGGGCAGCTGGACGTGGATCCATGCATCCGACAGGCCTGGCGGACGGCCGAGGGCGACGGCGAGGCTGCGGTCAAGGCAGTAGGCCGTCCAGAAGAGCCGGCGCCGCGTGTCGAGCATCTCGGCATCGTACTTTTGGTGCGTGACCGAGTCGGCCTCGCGGTCAAAGTGCAGGTTGAGCTCGGTGATGAGACGCATCGCCGCGCCCGAAAGCTCCCACACGCTGCCCGACTTGGGTATGAGGAAGGCGTAGAGGAGCTGCAGCAGAATGGCGCGCAGCTTGTCCAGGTCGGCCACCTTGCTGAACTCGGGCATCAGCCTCTGCGCTTCGCTCCAGAGCTTGTTGCCGAGCCGCTTGAGCTCGGAGCTGAAGTGGTGGGAGCGCGAAAGCGAGGCCAAGGCGATGGCCAGTGCCATCAAGACCGTGTACCGCTCGGCCGGCTTGGGAGAAGAGCTGCGCGTGGCCGCCCGTCCGGCGAGGCGGAGCTCGAGGTCGGCGCGGTAGATTCGGTCGGTCATCTCGCGCAGCCGCACCTCGTTGATGACCGGCAGTGCCCCATTCATGTAGACAATGTAGCGCTTGACCAGCCGGTCGATGAAGCCGCGGTCGTAGGTGCTGATGTTGAAGGTCGAGGCGGCCGATTTCGATCCGGTCATCCGCCGCGACGTGCGTCCGGCATCGTCAAGGCCGGCTTGCGGATGTCGGGAAGCATGCGGAGCTGAAGGGTCGGCGGCGTAGCCAGGCTGTCCGGACGCTCTCGACGACCCTGTTCCCGCGCGATCCACATCGTGAGCGGCACTTGCGTTGGCACTGGCCAAGGGTCTACGCCGGTCGCGTGGCCGTGCAGCAGCGGGGAGGTTGGACGAGAGCGTCTCGAAGATGGTCGAGGTCTCTTGTATGAGGTCGTTGGGCGACGGCTGAAGCGAAGGAGAGAGGGGCGGCGGGTCCTGGGACGACAGTCGGCCGCGGTCTTCTCGGGCGTCGCTGTCATCGGCGGTGCCGTCGTCGGCGTGGCTGTCCGTCTTTCTCCGCTTGGCCGTCCTGCCGGAGCTTGTCGCAGCGTTCGCGGAGGGGGGCATGGAGGATGACGAGGAATGCGCGGCCAAATCATGGTGGGACTGCGAGAGGGAGCCACGGCGGTCCGGGTGACGATGGAGGGTGGCATCGTAGCTGGCCGAGTGGTGAAGGGATGCTGGTGGCTGTGGGGCCGAAGTCGACGTCGATGCCGAAGAGAGCTTCTGCTCGAGCTCGCGCACCTTTTCCTGAAGCTCCCAGATGAGGCCCCTGGAGACGCTCGAGGTCTTGTCGCGGCCGACGCACTCGCGTTGCGCCTTCCTGCAGGGTGTGCAGGCGGGTACGAGGGCGTCGCACTTGATCTTGCGCGAGCGGCATGCCTCGCACGCCGGCAGACGAGACGACTCCTTGGACGAAGAAGAAGGGGCGTTGGCTGTAGCGGCGGTGTTGGATCCGCTCGGCTTGTTTGCTCGCGGCGAGGCGGGCGAAGGCGAGGAGGGTCTGGATGGGTTCCGGGCATCGTCATGGTCCTCTGTGCGGGGCAGGATGTGCTGTAGCGACGACGACGACGAGGATGGCAGTCCGCTGCTTGCGCGGGCCAGGCCATGTACGTCAGACGAAGAAAAAGAAGAGGAGGAGGAGAGTGGTGGTTGTGGTGGTGGGGCCGCCGCCGATGCCGTTGTGGCTGTGGCTGTGGCTGCGGTACCGCCGGCCGACATCGTGGGCGAGGGCGAGACCTAGCTCGACGCGCGTGGCCGGTGCGGAGCGAAAGAGGGGCGAGGCAGCTAGGCCTAGGATATGCCAGGGTGACGAGGGTTGATGGTGGTGGTGGGGCGGCAAGCGGCCGAAGACCTTGGCCAGCCAGGCCGGCCACTTTGAGCCGACGCTTTTTCCTCTTCGGCCTTGGGCCGACCCGCGTCTGAGCGCCTTCGGCCTTGTCCCGACGGCTGCCCGGCACAAGGCCGAAAGGCGTGGCGTGGCGCGGCGCGGCGCGAGACTAACACGTACCTCACCTCTGCCACCCCTGCCCCTCGTCCGAGCGGTGAGTCGCCCTTGTTGAAATAGGCTGGCCTCGAGCCCCTCCCACCTTCCGAGACGCTTCTGCTGCCTACGCCATCGACAGGCTCGAGGTCCTCATCGACTTCAACGTATTCGAGGCCGTCCTCGAGAAAAACGAAGGCAACAAAAGCGACTTCTCGACCGTCATTTGCGCCGAGTTCGTCGATGGTGTTGGTGGTGTTTCGCGAGATGGACGCCGCCCTGCGAGTCGACAAAGTGACCCGTCGTATGGCCGCACCGCCGTCGTATCCGGGACCACTAACCATCTAGCGAGCGACTTGCCCCATGTCCGATGTTCAGGGGTCGCGAGGACCTCCAAGCGCTGGACTCGCTGGGCTCGTGGCTGGAGCAGATCTCAACCTTTGAAGACAACCGGAGCACCGACTGGGATACGTTCAAGAGCTCGACAGAGCTCAAGAGATCGAGGTGCGGCAATCAAGCCATCGACAAGCAGGAAGCCATGCGACTCATCAAGGACATGGTCGAAGAGCGCCGCCGCCATTCGACCCAGGTCGCCGAGGCCCTCAACAAGGTGAGGACGACCCCCGGAACGCGGTCCTACATCAGCCAACGTCGCTCGCTGCTGAACCTGGCTCCCCGCCTGTTTGACATCCCTGCTACCTGGCAGTCTCGCAAGGATCGAGGGACGCCGCTTGACGCTCTGCAATAGCGTCACGCTCGTTCAAAAGGGGCGTACCGTCGGCAAGTGAACACGCAGCCCGTGGCCCGCCCGGGCAACGAGCAAGCGCAGTGACTCTTTTCGACCTTGGAATCGTACCGTGGAGAGGGATTCGTACAACAGATGGCGTGCGTGCAAGACGAGGATACCGTGCGAGGAGAACGGCGATAGCGGCCGAGGCGACGAGGAGGTCATGACGAGAAGGCGGAGGCGAGGGGTAGGAGGAGAGGTTGGAGCAGGCGGGAGCGACGGCGGCGGCAGCAGATCATGCCGAGGTCCGCTCCGCCTGCCAGACCAGAGCATGCTACAATTGCAAGACGAGGCGCTCGATGTTTGCCGGACCGAGACTGGGAACTGATGGGCTGCATCGAGACGGCCGTGAGACGTGTTTGAGATCGTCGAATGGGTGCCCAGGCCAATTGATCGTGTCGTCGGCGAGCAGGGCGATGACGAAATGGCGGCCAACCCGCGTCGGGCCGACATCCGAGCACTTTCCTACTCAGTCCTCCTGCACATCGTCGATCAGGCTCCGCCGCTTCTGCTGCTTGGACGTGACCGACGGATCCCGGGCGCCGTTGACGTGGGGTGCGCCGTTGTTGGGCGTGCGGACCCGTCTGGGCGGCGCGCCGTTGAACGAGGCATGGGGCTTGCCGTTGGGCGTGCCCTGCCTCAGCATGGGCGAAGAGGCGCTCGTCGCCTCGTCCGAGTCCTCGTCGAGACGGGTGAGGCCGAGGGCCTCTTCGTTCTCGTAGGCATTAAAGAGGACCGACGAGCCGGCGCTGTCCCTGCGGCCGTGGTGGTGGTTGCCGTAGACGCTGCTCCGTCTCGGCGCCGAGACGCCATGCCCGCCGCTAAAGCTGGCGCGGTTGCTCCCGCCGCCGCCGCCGCCGCCGAGGCTATGCCGCGACCGCCCGTGCTCGGCCAGCAGCCGCTCCTGGTGCTCCGAGTAGCGCGTCGTGCCCTCGCCCGTCATGAGCGACATTCGGGGCTGCTGTGTGACGGGGTCAATCAGCCGGTTGAGGTTGAGCAGGTAGACGCCCGCAAAGATGACGAGGAAGCCGCCCAGCAGCGACACGGCGGGCGCCGCGCCCGAGGTGTTGAAGCCGCGGAAGAGGAGGAACGAGGCGAGCAGCGTCGACGTCGTAAAGGTGACGTAGTAGATCGGGTTGACGCTGTGCGAGGGCAGGGGGCGGTCAGGGGCAGCGATCAGGGGCAGGGCAGTCAGTCGCGGATCCTCGCAACAGGGACGCGCCGAGGGATCTGGCAAGCGAGCGTCGCTGCTGGCCCACACTCACACGTTGGTGTTGAACTGGTCGAGCGCCTTGTTGAAATAGTTCATCTGGGTGAGGATGCAGACCACGACGACGATGAGGAAGCAGTAGGTCGAAGGGTGGCTGAACTGGTTGTTGCCGTCAAACGTGAGCTTGAGCGCCACGCCGAGGCCCTTTACGCTCATCACCGAGATGGAGCCGACCAGGCTGCAGATCGAGATGTAGACCAGCGGCGTCTTGCGCCCGTACTTGGGCACCATTCGGAAGATCATGAAGAGCGCGAACGCCAGCACAAAGAGGCAGTAGAACATGAACCCGGGCTGAAGCGCGTAGTTGAGCATCTCGTCGACCGTCTGGATCTCCTTGTCCTCGGGCGCGTTGACGACAATGATGACGGTGCCGACCAGGCACAGGCCGCAGCCGACGCGGCCGAGGCGGCCGAGCTCCTCCTTGAGAATAAAGGACGCCAGCACCGCCCCGATCAGGACGCTCAGAGCCCCGAGCGGCGTCACCAGGATGGGCGGGGCGAAAGTGTAGGCCGCAAAGTTGGCGACTGCAGAGCGAAAGACGGGGGGCAGAGACGAGATCGACGCCAGACGTCAGCCGGCGGTCCGTTTCCGGCAAAAGAGCCACAGCGCCATGCTCCTTCAAGGTTGATCACTCACCTTCACCAACGATCACTGCAGGGAGGGAAAGCGAGAGCGAAGGAATTAGGTGAGTCGACGCCTTGCCTCGATCAGGAGAGAGGAACCCCTACCCTCAGATCAGTCGGACACATCATCGTCACTCACTCGTGGCCATACCCGCCCACCAGATGGGGTTCTGGAGATAAGTGTGCCCATCAGAGGCCAGTCCGCTCCCTCTGTCCGCAGCGTCCATCAAGCCCTGCCACAGAGGAAGAAGGGAGGGTCAGCTCGAGTTGGGCGGGTCATCGTTGGCTGCGATCGCGATGACCGCCGATGACGGGCTTCACCGAGCCAACGCCCACATGCTCACCTTTTTCGTGATGATGAAGCTAGTGCCGATGGCGAGGCTGCTGCTGATGGCGAGCGTCAGACCGATCCACTTGTCGCGCGTCAAGGAGGAGAAGCCAGACATCTGGTCGTCGGGCAGCTGCGACTGCGAGCCAGAAAAGTTGGTTCGGTCGGCATTGTATGGCGAGGGCATCGCCGCGACCGGCGCTGTCGCAGAGGTCAGACATAGCAAGGCGAGCAGCATGGCAGAGGTGCGGAGCTGTGCAGCCGCGCGCTGCTTCCGTTGTGCCGTCGGCGAAGTCGATCGTGGCGGTGCGGGTCTGTTCAAAGGTCGTTTTGGTGGCGCCTTTGCGGTCTCCGCTGGTGGCTGGTGTTCGTCGCCGCGTTCTCGCAGAAACGAGCGCAGCGGTATGCCGTTGCCCACGAACAGCATCACGAAATGTTGTTTGAGGGCGTATATGAGGAGGTTCGAAGAGCCAAAGGAGAGGGCCAGGAAGCCCTGGCTAGACGATATTGCCGGGCACCGTGTCTATGGCAAGGCGTCTTGCGGCTGCTGAGGGGTGAAAAGACGTCGGCGAGATCAGTCACCGAGTGGGTGGAGCTTTATGGTGGCGTGAACCGGCGCAAGATGCGACGGGTTGGCTGGGCGGTATCGTCTGCTCGAGGGCAAGACGAGGTCGCCGGCGTCGGTGTCGGTGCGTGCGTCGCGTCGTGTCTCGTGTCGCCGGGCGGTGTGGTGTCTTGAAGACGGGGATGCCGAGACGTGGCGAAGCCGGGAAGGGAGGCAAGGGGCTGGCTGGCGTACAGCGGACCGCGGGGATCCAGACGATGCTGTTGGTGGTATTGGTGGCGGCGGCGCGGGGTCCCTCGGCGGCGGCGTGAGGATCGTGGAGGAGGGTTGGAAAATAGTGACGAGTCGTGGTGGTCGAGCCAGGAAGACGACGGCGGAGCGGGGAGAGAGAGGCGGGCCGGCTGGCAGGCGTGCGGGCAGGCAAAGGGAGGTTGAGCCAGACGTCGGGGCTGCCGCCGCGCTGCATGAAGGCACGTCTGCCAGCCAACCAGCCAACCAGCCAGCCAGCCAGCCAGCCAGCCAGCCAGCCAGCCCGGACTAGTCAGGGCCTGCCCGCCCTCGGCGCCGTGCCCTTTGATCGTCGGCCCAGCCTGGCCTGGCCTGGCTCGAGGCAGGGCGCGTAGCGTGCATCACCCTCGACCCTGGCTGGCAGAAAGGCAGGCAGGCTGGCTGGCGTCGCTCTGCTGTCTGACGGCACCGCCCGCCTCCACCTCGAAAATGCTAGCGCGACGCCTGCAGCCAAAACTAACCTAGCCTACCCAACTGTCTCTCCATCGCCCTACCTCCTTGGTCTTCTCAGCCTATCACCCATCCATGGTACACAGAGCCTATTTGTGGTGTAATCTGGTAGTTTGTGAAGCAAAGTGCAAGAAGCGCTGCAAAATCATTGACATCCTTGGTTCTGCAGAGACAGCCCTGGAAGTCTCCACATCTGCCCAGGAAGGGGCCCTGCAAGCTTGCTCATCTGCCAGTTTTGATCCTCAAGCTTGCAAAGATGCTTTCAGCAGCCTGATTGGAGCGCTGGAAGGCACTTTGTGTGGGCAAAATGTCGAATTCCAACGTTTTCCAAGCGTTTTCGACACTTTGCCCCACAGATCTCCACATCTGCCCAGGGAAGGGCCCTGCAAGCTTGCTCATCTGCCAGTCCTGATCCTCAGGCTTGCAAAGATGCTTGCAGCAGCCTGATTGGAGCGCTGGAAGGCAGTTTGTGTGGGCAGAATGTCGAATTCCTGCATGTGCAAGGGTCAGGAAAGAATAGGCAGCTATGCTAGGTCGCTATAGGTCTGTGTGCAATGGGCCAAGGAAGCATGGTATGCCTAGGGAAGGCGGTGCCGATGTGTGACTTGCATTCGTCTGGCCAGGCCAGGTAGCCCTACTGGCAGATGTCGTGGCAGGTGCAAAGTGGCCTCACCCGACCACTGTACGCGCCCTGACGCGCGGCAGCAGCGCAGGCCGTCAGCCGACGCGCTTTTGCTGGAATTTTGGTGGAGGCCAGCCCGAGAGGCCGTGCGTGTTGGATTCCGGGTGGCGTCGATTGGCGCCCTTGTCGACTCAACCACCAACACCGGCCGGCCCCCTTTCCCCTTCCGCACGCCCATCGGGTGGCAAACCTGCTCGTCGCCTTCAGGCTCTCGTCGGACCCCACTCTTGAGGCGCAAGGAAGATTTGCTCTTCTTCGCGCCACTACCACCTACAGCCTCTCCCGCCCGCCACCTTGATCCATGTCGGGCCTCGCCAGTCCCACCGCGCCAAGTCGCGACCACAGCTAAGGACGGCAGACCGTCTGCGCGTTGACAGTCTGGAGCAGCGATCCAGGGTCATCCCTTGCCCTCTGGCTGCGCTTGGCCTACAGCACACATCCTTTGACCACTGCACTGCCTCGATCGAGCGACCGCCTGATCAACCTGATCAACCGACCAGACCGACCATGTCCGACGAGTTCGACGAGTTCGACGACGGGCTCGACCTGGCGCAGCTCGACGAGGCAGAGCTCGAGAGCCTCGAGCGCCTCGAAAAGCCGCAGCCCATCGCAGCTCCCGCCGTCGTAAGGTCGGCCGCCATACCGCCAGCAAACAGGGCTGCGCTCCAGCAGCGAGCCTCAACGTCGCACTCGTCGAACCTCCCTCCAGCTGCTTCCACGCTCGCACGATCCGCAGACGACACCTTCGACCAGGACGATTTCGACGATGATGTACTCCTCGGCATCGACGAGATCGACCCGCCCGAGAGCCGCGCCGCTCGCGCGCACGGCAGCTCCGGGATACCTCTCTTCTTCATGCCCAGCTCACCCGATGTCCAGCCTCTGTCTGCGGCCAAGGCCGACGGCGCTGGCCACAAGCTGGCCTCTTCCCGCATGGCAGCGGGGCCAAGCTCGCGACCCGCCAACCAGATCGGTTCGGCCCGTCCGATCGGGCGCACGCTGTCTACTTCCTTTGCCAGGACGTCCTCCGGCAGCGGTCCGGCGTCGAACCGCACCAGCTCCGGCGGTCACCGGCAGATGACGCTTTTTGGCGAGGCCGTACCTTCCAGCACACCGGCCAAAATCCTTCCCATATCGCCCGGCCACATATCGATCTCGGCCAGCAGCAACACGTCCGGCGGCGTCGGCTCCAACGGCGGACTCAGACAGCGGCAGCCGACGACCAAGCAGTGGGACAGGACCGCATACGCCAAGAGCGGGAGGATGTCGAAGAACAAGGGAAAAGGCAGGGCAAGGGAAAGAGAGAGGGACGAGTTCGGCGCCTACGTCGACGGAGATGGAGACGACGACGACGACGACGACGACGATGACAACAACAACAACGGCAGCGACGGCGGACAGGGGGACTGGGACGCCAAGTCCGGCTGGCAGAACAAGGCGACGCCGGCGCCAAAAGTGCACCTGCCCGAGCCGGCCAAGACAATCAAGCAGCAGATCGATCGCGAAGCGGCCAGGACCTGGATCTACCCGATCAACATGGAGAGGCGAGACTACCAGTACAACATCGTCCAGCGATCGCTGTTCAACAACGTGCTCGTCGCCCTGCCGACCGGCCTGGGCAAGACGTTCATCGCGGCCGTCGTCATCCTCAACTTTTTCCGCTGGTACCCCGAGGGCAAGATCGTGTTCCTCGCGCCGACGCGGCCGCTGGTCGATCAGCAGAAGATCGCCTGCCACGGCATCTGCGGGCTGCCCTGGAACACGGCCATCGACCTCACCGGCAGCACCAAGCGCGCCCTTCGCGGCGACCATTGGAAGGAGAAGCGCATCTTCTACATGACGCCGCAGACGTTTGAAAACGACCTCGCCAGCGGCGCCTGCGACCCCTCGGACGTCGTCTGCGTCGTCGTCGACGAGGCCCACCGCGCAACGGGCAAGTTTGCCTACTGCAACGTCATCAGCATGCTCATGCAGACCAACCCGCACTTCCGCGTGCTGGCGCTGACGGCGACGCCGGGCAGCAATGCCGAGAGGGTGCAGGAGGTCATCGACCGCCTCCACATTGGCCTCATCGAGATCCGCACCGAGGCCTCGCTCGACATCCGGCGCTACGTCCACAAGAAGCACGAGGAGATCGTGCGCATCCGGCTCGGCAGGGACCTCAACGCCGTGCGCGACAAGTGGGGCCGGCTGATGCGGACGCACATGGAGACGCTCAGCAAGCACGGCATGCTGCACCAGAGGGATCCGATGATGGTCCATCCCTTTGCGGTGCGCTCCCTCCTCAGCGACCCGAGGCACAAGGCGGTGCGGGCGCAGAGGCCGCAGCTCTTCACTGTCATCAAGGAGCTGGCCGAGATGGCGACGCTGATGCAGCACCTGCTGGAGCAGTCGGCCACCATGTTCTACAACCGCGTCCTCACCAAGCAGCGCGGCATCGACGAGCGCGGCAAAAAGGCCGGCACCAAGAAGCAGACGATGTCGTCCAACGCCAACTCGACCATCCGCGAAATCATCCGCGAGCTCGAGATGATGCAGAACGAAAAGGGCCAGATCATCCACCCAAAGATGAGCGCGCTCCGGCAGCTCGTTGAGACCCACTTCAACACCCACTGCGCCCAGCAGATGCTCGCAGAGGACGTGGCGGGCAGCAACGGCGTCGAGGGCACCCAGCACGAGACGCGCGTCATGGTCTTCTGCAGCTTCCGCGAGTGCGTCATGGAAATCGTCGACTACCTCACATCTTCCGGCCTCAAGGTGACGCCCTTCGTCGGCCAGGCGACGACCAAGAACGGCGGCAAGGGCATGTCGCAGCGCGACCAGGAGCGCGTCATCCAGCAGTTTAAGAACGGCGACTTCAACGTGCTCGTCGCCACCTCGATTGGCGAAGAGGGCCTCGACATCGGCGACGTCGACCTGACAGTCTGCTACGAGGCGGTCAAGGACTCGGTGCGCATGCTGCAGCGCGTCGGCCGGACGGGCCGCAAGCGCGACGGGAAGATCGTCGTGCTCATGTCCGAAGGCCGCGAGGAGCTCAACTGGCAGCAGTCCAAGGACTCGTACAAGGCGGTCCAGAACGACATCAACTCGGGCCTCGCCGTCGAGCTGTACGACGACGTCAAGCGCATGGTGCCCGACGACATCCGCCCCGAACCGGAGCTCAAGCAGGTCGACCAGCCCAAGTTTGAGCCGTCAATGGTCAGCGACGGTCGCAAGGCTGCAGGCAAGGCAAAGGCTACCGGCCAGAAGCGGCAGCGCAACAGCGATCCAGCGCGCAACGTGCCCGAGGGCACGCTGATGGGCTTCTTCAAGGCTTCAAAGCTGACGAGGAAGCGGAAGAAGAGCGGCGACGGCGACGGTGGAGGCGACGGCCAGGACGGCGACGACGGAGACGATGACGACGACGACGACAGCAGCGACGATCCTGCCACGGCGAGGAGGAAGAAGCTCCTGCTTAGCAGCAGCCAGTCCGAGTCCGAGGCCAAGGGCGCCGACGACGACGACGAGGCCGACCGGTACATCGAAAAACTTCTGAAGCGTGGCCTGTTTGCCACCGAGCCGGCGACGGCAGAATCTGGCGGCTCGTCGGCTCCTGCAAACAGAGGCGGGCGAAGGCAACCCTCTCTGTCGGCCACATCCTCCGCAGCAACACCGTCCAAGGATCGCCTGACCCCGAGCGATTCTCAGGTCAGCGAGCAGCGATCGACCCGCCGGCGTCTGGGCACGCGGAGAGTCTCTGCCGCACCGTCTGCTCCTGCGGCCCCTGAAAAGACCAAGGCAGACTGTATCGAGATTCTCGATTCCTCGCAGGACGTGGCAGCGGCCTCTCCACGCACGCCCAAGCTGGCGCTGCAGGAGTCGTCGTCGGCCAACCTCGCGTCGGACCTGCGCAGCAGCAAGCCGCGCGCCACTGCCGTCTCGTTTGCCAGCAGCACGCCACGGCCGTCGAAAAAGGCACGGGTCGTGAGTGCAGACTCGGACGACGAGTTCGGATCGCTGCAGGTCGACTCAGACATCGAACGACAGATTGGCGACATCACCCAGGCTGCCAAGCCTCGGAACACAACGCCGACACTGGAAGCGGCGGACTTGGCAGCGCTTAGGTCGCCCGTTCTCGACGCCGCTCCGACATCACTGCTGCTGCGAGGCGATGCCGATGCGAGCGCGACGTCTCCGCTGTTGCCGGACACTCTCGCATCGCATTCGGAAGCCGTAGGCCTCAGCGTGCTGCAGCACACGGCCGAAATCGGCGTTCCCGGTCCAGCTGGAGATCGACACGAGGTGTCGAGCCCAATCAAGGCAGCGGGTCGACGTCGGCGCGACGACACGGCAGCTCGGACAGCGGCGCAAGAGCGAGGCAACGGCAGTGACTCTGATTCGATCGTCGATGTCGCTTCCGACGCTGAAGGATCTCGGCCAGCCGGCGCTGCGCTTCGCAGACGGGCAGCCCCGCGCCGGATCCTCGCCACGTCGTCGCAATCGCCACCGCCAGTAGGGGCCGCGACGATGGCCTCGGGACCGCAATCCGCTCCTGGCACGATGGGCCCCCCGGACTCGATTCCTCGTCGTCGCGCCCGGGTTGCTCTTCCTGATCCGGACGAGTCGCCACTCTCACGACCCGTGCGGCCGCGTCGTCGCTTGGTCCCCGCCGCCGCCGCCGCCGCCGCCACTTCGGACGAGTCGGCAGAGGCCGCCGGTGCATCAGCATCGTCCATCAAGACGCCTCCCCTCGACTCTCAGGCATCGAAGAAGAAGGCAAAGGGGGGCGCGGCGGGCGCGAACAAGAGAGCGGCCAAGACGGGCAAGAAGCGGATCGGGGCGTCGCCGACGTCGCGTGCCCTGTTCCGGTACGAGGCTGAGCGGTCCACCGACGAGTCTGTCCACGGCGAGGGCGACGAGAACGACTCGGGCCTTGGCAGCAGCGACGAGGACGACGAGGACCGGAGGTACGTGGGTCACTTTGAACCCACCCAGGCACCGCGCGGATACAACCAGACGAGCGTCTACATGGGCAGCCTGCTGTAAGTCTTGACCGCATTGCCACCCCTTCCTCCAAGTTGCCTCGCACGAGCTCGATCCACTGACACTTTCTCTCCTCGACGACGTCACACCCCTACCTTCTTCTGGGATGGCAGGACGCAAAACGCACCTACGCCATTCAAGAACCGACTGGGCAACCGTACCCCCTTCCCTGGACTCGGAGGTCGATTCGGTCAACAGTCCCCCGCCGCCGCAGGAGGAGGAGCGGTGGGTTACACCCAGGACAGCCAGGATCGGTACAGCCAGGACTCGTTTGTCGTCGCCGACGACGATGAGATCGTCTATGATTCCGACATCGACGACGACGACGAACGGTAACGCCGCACTCGCCCGCAGTCACGAGGCGCGAATACGTCTCTGGAATCGTTGCACGTCACATCGGCATGCGATGCGGTGCGGTGCGGTGCGGTGCGGTGCGGTGCGATGCGATGCGGTGGTCATGGCCATGTCGTGCATTTCGAGCGCGTGCGAGTGCGAGTGCGCGTGCGAGTGGTCAGGCTGTGTCGTCTCTGCGGTACTCTCGGTGGACATGGGGAGAAGACGAAGGAGGACGAGGTGAAGCGGGTCGAGGAAGCTTGGGACGGGACGGGACGGGGTGGGATAGTACAGAGATACAGCAGGACGGGCGGACGCAGCAGAGGCAGTAGCGATGGGGGCGCGGTGATGCCCGGCCGCGTGGAGACACGGGCATTCTAAGCGGGTCGCAGATCGGATCGAGATGAGGGTGCGGGACCGGAAGCACGGATCGGGGAGAGCAGGGACGGGTGAGGGCAGAGCGCGGCGGGATCACATCAGCTGGCCCAACCGAGTCCCAGACCAGCTCGAGACGGGTTAGGCGCGGCGGCGGGCTTGGCACGCGACTCCCACTTCTTGATGGCCGAGCCGACGACCGAGTCCTCTGCGGCCCGGCCGAGCGGGCGCGGCGGCGCGAGCTCCATCTGCGCCGTCGTCGGCGACACCGAGTGCGGATTGGGCAGATTGCCGCTCGGTCCTGCTGCTGCGGCGGTCGAGGCGGGGGCAGCGGGCCCGGGTTTGCTGGCGTTGGCGAGCCAGCGCCCGGATGCGTAGGGTTTCGACGGTGAAGGAGGCGAGACGTCCTTGTCCTTGTCCTTGGTCGGCGAGGCTCGGCCGTTGTGGGCCGTTACCGCGACTTCGGCGCCGCGGAACAGGTTCTGGTGCGCCGGGATGGCGGGTGCGTTGGTCGCCGCCGTCGTCTGGGCCGACTCGCCGCTGGCTACCACGGCCCTGACCCCTCCCGCGCCAGACGGTTGCGGCGACGCAGCTTCCTCCTCGATCGACGACTGACGAGCGGGCACCAGGGAGTGGATAAATTGGCCCGAGAAGCCGTAGCCCGTGCCCAGGCTGCCAAGCTGGTAGGTCGGCGCGGGCGCCGGATTCCGCGACGGCATCAGCCAGTCGGTGATGTGGTGCGGCAGCGCGTACCGCGCCGCCGTGGCGAGCGAGATGTAGCGCGCCAGCTCGAGGTGCATCGGCGAGTAGTAGTGCTGCGACGAGCGGCGCAGGTGCGCGACGATCCGCTCCATGCCCGAGGCGAACAGGTGCGCGTGAAAGTCGTACGCCGACATGTCGGGCCGTGTGGCGACGGGGCCATGCCCCGCGGGCTGCGCCAGCGCTTCGCCGATCGAGTTGATCAGTCGGAAGTGCGTCGTCTGGAACGAGAGGCGGGGTTGGGCAGGGCGTGCGGGTCGCATTGGAAAGGTCAGCATCGGTGCAACGCGGAGCAAGATCGATCAGGCAGGGCTCGCAGCGTGGAGACACTCACAAGATAGCCCATCGCCTCGAACTCGACGCCGCCCGTCATCCCACCGGGCACCTTTGGCGTCTTGATGGTCTCGACGTCGAGCTCCTCGTAGCGCCAGTAGCGGTTCTGCGAGTGACAGAAGACCCAGAAGTAGTCGCGGCAGACCGAGGCCAGCTCGGTGAGGTAGACCTTGAAGGGGCGCGGCGTGTGCGTCTGCTTGATGAAGTCGACGACGGCCTCCTTGGCCGGGTCGACGGGGTTCTGCAGCAGCTGCAGCAGAAAGTTGAGCGGGCTCGTCGCCGACTGCGCCGTCGCGGGGAGCTGCAGGTCGAGGACGAGGGCGACCAGGTCGACCATGAGCTTGCGCGTCGGCAGCTCGCCGGGCTTCTTTTCCGAAAAGAGGAGGTCGATGAGCTGCTTGAAGGGCGTCGGCGCCTGCTGCTGGAGCGCCCCGCGGCCGACCTCGGTGGTGCTCAGGGCGACAAAGCACCTCAGCAGCTCGTGGAGGAGCTTGTCGTCGTGTTGCTCCTCGCGCCACTCCATGCTAAGCAGCTCGTCGAGGCGGACCAGCATGGCGTCGTAGCCGCCACACTCGGGACCGACAAACTGCGAGATCCAGGCGGGCGACTCGGAAGACACGACGGCCCGCATTCGCTTGACCTTGTCGACGTCGAGCCGGCGCGCATCGACGCTTTTGAGGATGGCGGCGAACGCGTCCGGCGTCTCCTTGCCGAGCGCCAGCTCCTTGCCAAACGACATGGCCCTTTGCCTTCCGCCTGTACCCGTGGCGGTGCTCTGCAGCGACAGGAGCGACCCGCCCTGGCCGAGGTTGGGCGACTTGAGGCCGCCGCGAAGGCCCTGGAAGACGTCGATGCTGCCCCTCTTTGCGCTATTCTTTGCGCTGCTGTGCTCGGAGCTGGAGCTGACCGAGCCACCGGAAGCGCTTCGCGAGTTGCGACCGCCGCCAAAGATCTGCGATCGGTTGGGCGGCTGCAGGGCCTCGCCGTCGTCTTCGCCAAACGCAGAGCCGTGCTCGTCATGCAGGTTGGCGCTGCTCTTGGTTTTCCGCATCTGGGCCGGGATCGGCTGTCGAGACTTGGTCGGCGACCCGCTGGTCGAGTCGTCGAATCCCATGCCAGACAGGCTGAGGGTGGCCTGGCCTTTGAGCATCGAGAGCTTGACTGTCGAGTCGAGCGAGAGGAGCTTCTTCCTGAGCTCTGGCTGGACCTGCATCTCGTCGAGGAGTCGCACGAAGCTGTCGTCGATCTCCTCGCGCGTCTTTGGCGGCTCCTCGATGGGTTCGGGCGAGGCGGCTCTGCTGCTGCTGCCGCCAAACAGCCGGCTGCGGCTCCGGCTCCGTGCCCTTCCCTTGGACGGGCTGTGGGACGAGGAGGCGGTGCGGATTTTGAGCCTAGAGCTGCTGGCCGTTCGCTGGGTGTCTTCGGGCGAGTTGCCGCGCAGCCGATACTTGGGGTCGATGACCGGGTTGCTTTTTGCGATCGAAAAGCCGCTGGAAGCGGGTTTAGAGGGGGAGCTTGGCCTTGCTGCAAAGACGGTTGGCGGGTTGTTCTCCTTGTTTGGCGCGGTGCGGGGATCGATGCTTCTGCCGCCCTGGCCATCGCTGCGGTCGAGCCCGCCACCCTGGGATAGGATGCGGAAGGTGCTCTTCGAGGGGCTGTGAGGCTCGAGGGGGGCCGAAGTCTGGGTGGGGGCCCTCGAGTACTGTCCTGGGCGGATCGCCGGGGCCATCTTTTGCGGGCTCGCTGTGTGGGCTGCGGTGGCTGCGGTTGGTGGTCGTTGGTTGGTAGCGCTGGCCTGGAGCGCGTGGTAGGGATAGGCGGTGGCGGCAGCAGCGGCGGTAGCGAAGGTGGCGCTCATCGTCGGGTCGAGCCCGTGCGCACTTGGGCTCACTGGCAGGGATGCCAGGCTGCTTGCTTGTCGACTGCGGACGTTGGTGACTGCGTCGGGAGTCCTCTTCGGGCGTGGCAGGGGAGCGAGCGGGCCAAAGAACAAGGTTGGGAGTGAGGGCAAGCACCTTGGCGGAACCAAGAGAGAGAGAGAGGCCAGAGAAGAGAGTGTTTGATATGGAGCGCAGGTTGGTCGGAGGCGAGTGGCGGGCGGAGGGGAGAGAAGGAAGGTATGGGCGGGAAGGAAGCAGCAGGCCAAGCTCTCTTCAGCCACGGCCTGCGTCCTTGCTCTTGTGTTTTGGGAGCGCGGGCGGGCAGGGCGGGGCTGAAGAGACGTTGGGCCCCCCCTCCTCTGCTCCCCTCCCCACCTTTGCTGTGCGCGCCTGTCCGGATGCGCCGACGGGCGTCACCCGGGGTTTTTCGGCGTGGCCTTCACCGCTTCTCTCTCTGGCTGCAGGCAGGCGAGGTGTTGGAGTGTTGGTCTACGCCCTTCGGCGACGCGCCGGCCGGCCTGTGGGGACGCGTCGGCCAGCACCGCGTTCCGGACGCCTTGCCGGACGACGCTCGTAGCATCGAGGTGGCTGTTGTCCGAGACCAGGCCTTGAAGCGACGACCACCGCCTTCATCCTGCTCAAGCATGACGGCAGATGGACGCCAACGGACCGAGCAAGAGGGAGAGAGGCGTGGGCCGAAAAGGCAAGAATGGGCACGTGCAGGAAACACGCCCCCACGGCACGCGTGCGTTGGGCGGCAGCGGCTGCAAGCAAGGCCAGGCCTGGTGGTAACCTAGACATTGACTCAACTTCTTCTCCCCGCTCGTCCGTCAGCCTGCCTAGCCTGTCTGCTGCCCCCCATCGGCCGGCGTCCAACCGCGCGAGCATGCCATGCACAGCGAGCGTAAACCGGGGGACCCTGCGTCATCCGCCCATGCTTTGCCTTGCCTACCTCTCATCAGGGAGCCGCAACTGCCCGCTCCAAACAGGCTGGCCGCGCCTGGTCCCACCACGCCTCTTCTGGCTGTCGCGGCACGGTGGATGTTGAGTCCGCCGGGCAAAGCCTCAAGTACAGCTTTGCTGGCCGCCACGCCCCGCGCTGCATATCGTTCCGTCCCCTCCATCATCAGCTTCATCACCATCGCCGTGCCCCTCTGCCGCTGCATCGTCCGTCGAAGCCTGCGCTGCGACTCCGCCCACATCGTCGACATTATTGGGCTCAAAGCGTGCTGCTGCGCTCGCCCGACGACATCACCGCCGCTCGTTTGCACCTGTCATCCGGCCACCTGCCTCTTTCGGGAGCATCCGACGCCCACCCCCGTGTCTCTGTCGCACGTCGACGCACTCTGGTGGCGGCATCGGCCCGGCGCCCGCGACCCAATGTTTCTCTTTCGAGCCGGACTGGCACAGCCCCGCCCAGACTCCAACGCAGCCAGCCCCTTCACACGGCCCATCTCCACCACGACCACCACCATCACTACCACTCCCACCACCACTACCGCCGCCACTGCCACCACGGACAACGCCGCGCCATCGCCTGCAACATCCGCCACCATCCCAACGACCATTGACTCGGCCGACCCATCCCCCAGCGACGGCCCGGCACCTCACGCCTCAAGCGGCGACGGCAGCGACGGCGGCAACGACGACAACGACGACACCAGCGACAGCGACAGACACGACAGCAGCAACAGCAACTCTGCCCGCTCGCAGCAGCCCTCACCCCTCCCGGAGCCAACAAAGGAGCGAAGGGCATCAACCGCTGCGTCTGCCTCCGCTTCGGCCGGTACCAAGCCCCTGCGCCAGGGCTCGTCGCTCGGCATCATCGCAGCGGCCCGCTCCGCCTTTCCGGCAAAGATGAGCGCCGCCCAACCACCCATCCCAGAGAGCGAGAGCACATCCTCGATGCTCAGCTCCGCCTCCAACGACACTCCCACGCCAACCACCAGCGCACCCGCCACGCCAAAGAAGCGCAGCAGCAGTTCCGCCACCACCCCCAAAAAGGCCAAGCTCTCAATCAGCGCAAAGTCGACCCCTCGCAAGGTATTCAGCCTCAAGCCCTCGTCGTCCAGCCTCGGCGACTTGGACCGCGCACCCCCCCGCCAGAATGTTGTCGTCTGCGTCCGCATGAGGCCATCCAAGGAGGCGGACCCCGCCGACCAAACTGAGCCCATCTGGTCCCTCGACCAGCAGCAGAATCAGATCGTCCCCACCGAGCACCACCCGTCCCTCTCCAAACGCGCCGGCTCCTCTTCGGCCAACGCGGCCCTGCCCGCGACCGCTTCGACGACCGACCTCGGCGACGATAACCCCTCATCGTCGACCTACAAGTTCCAGTTTGACAAGCTGCTGCTTGGCGACGACACCACCGACGACATGTACGACTCACAGATCGCCCCGGTGGTCAAGGCCGCCATGGACGGCTACAATGGCACCGTGTTCGCCTACGGCCAGACAGGAAGCGGGAAAACGCACACCATGAGCGGGACCGACGCCGAGCCGGGCGTCATCCCGCGGGCGGTGCAGCAGGTCTTCAAGACGATCGAGCAGGAGCCCGGCCGCGAGTTCTTGCTCCGGGTCAGCTACCTCGAGATCTACAACGAGACTCTCAAAGATCTCCTTGCCCCGCTCGGAGCCGCCGGCGGCGTGACCGAGGGGATGCGTCCGGCATCGCCCACCAAGGGAGGCTCGACGCATTCGGCGGGCAGCTCGCAGTCGTCGTCCCTGCGCATCGTCGAGGACCAAAAGTCGAGCCGCGTAGTCATCACGGGCCTGCGCGAAGAGATCGTCACCGACCCCACCACTGTCCTCGACCTCATCCAGAAGGGCCAGGAGGCAAGGCACGTCGGTGCCACTGACTGGAACGAGAGGAGCTCGCGCAGCCACTGCGTGTTCCAGGTCACAATCGAGAGCCGCGCAAAGGCCGAGGGAGGAGCCAGCGAGGGCAAGAAGGGCGGCGCCGAGGTCCGAGTCAGCCAGCTCAATTTGATCGACCTCGCGGGCTCCGAACGGGCTGCGAGCCAGGTAGAGAGGAGGAAAGAGGGCGCCTTCGTGAGTGCTCCGGAAGATGCAGCCACACCCTTACGGCGAGCGAACCAGCTGACAGCGTCCTCATATCCTCCTTTTCCCCGTCGCTCGCCCGCAGATCAACAAGTCGCTCCTCACCCTGGGGACCGTCATCGCCAAGCTTACCGAGCCGACTGCGCTCGGCGCCTCGTCGAGCGATCTGCACATCCCCTACCGCGATTCCAAGCTGACCCGCATCCTCCAGACGTCGCTCTCGGGCAATGCCAGGATCGCCGTCATCTGCACGCTGAGCCCGGACGTCAAGCACGCGGTCGAGACGCTGTCGACGCTCAAGTTTGGCAAGCGCTGCAAGATGGTCGTCACCAGCGCCAAGAAGGGCACCAGCATGGACGACAAGGCGCTGCTGCAAAAGTACCGCAAGGAGCTCGATGCGCTTCGGGCGAAGCTCGAGGCCGGAACGCCCGCGATCAAGGCGCCAGCCGAGGCGGACGAGGATGCGCTCGCGTCGTCGAGAGAGTCGAGGCAGAAGCTCGATGCGCTCAACGAGGAGCGTGAGCGGGCGCAGAAGGAGGTGATGGAGATGGAAAAGAAGCGCGGCGACCTGCGCGGCCAGATCGACCACCTCACCCGCCTCATCCTCACCAGCCAGAGCGTGGCCCAAGAGCGCAGGGAGAGCGACGCCGCGGCGGGGACCAATGCCGACGGCACACCGCGGAAGCGCAACTTCAGCGGCATGGAGAGGCGCGGACCCCGCCTGAGCGATATCCACTCGTTCTCGGGTCGCGCCCTGATTTCGCAGAGCCCCTCGCTCGACGTGCTCTCCTCGACGCCGACCCTGAGCGGCAGCAAGCCGTTTGAGCTCGAGGCCGAGCTGGCTGCGCTTCGCAAGCAGCTGCAGCAGCAGATCGAGTCTCGCCAGGCGCTCGTCGCCGCCCACCAGGCCGAGCTGACCTCGAGGGATGCCAAGGAGAAGGAACTCGAGGAGGTGATCCGCATGAACGAGGAGGAGCTCGACGAGGCCGAGCTGGCCTTCGACCGGCTCAAGGCCGACCGCGACGAGGCGCGCAAGGTCGCTCTCAAGGAGCAGGAGCTGGCACGCGAGCACAAGCGGGCGTGGCTCGAGGAGCAGGAAGCCAACCGCCTGCTCAAGCTTGTCGCCCAAAGTCGTGGCGCCGACGCCGACGACGGCTGGAAGCAGCAGATCGAGGCTCTCAACGCGCGGCTGGAGCAAAAGACGACAGAGACAGAGGAGCTTCGCACTGGCCTCGAGGCTGCCACTGCTGCGAAGGACGAAGAAAGAGCCGCTGCACAGCGTTTGCGGGAGGAATTGCAGGCTCTCAAGGCCAAGACTGGCGACGATGACCCCCAGGCCGAGTTCCAGGACCTCGTCAACGGCGGGCAGAGGACAATAACCGAGTCGTTGCGCGAGAAGGAGGAGGCCCTGGCTGAACGCGAACGACACCTCGAAGAGGCCAGGCTGGATCTCGAAAGGCAAAACGCCGATCTCGAAGCGAAGCAAAGCTCATCGCGCCCGCTGCCCGTCCCTCTGGGCGGTGCACCGCACGCGCAGCAGCTCGACGACCTCGAAGCGGCGCTCAGCATCGCTCAGGCGCAGAACCAGGACCTCGCCGACCAGGTGTCGCAACTGCGAACGGCGCTCAGCGACGCCGAGGCGGCGCAGACGCGATCCAGCCGCACCGAGTCCAAGCTGGCCGAAGTGCAGATGGAGCTGGAGGGCAGCAAGAGCCAGGTGGCAAAGCTGCAGGCTCAGCTCGAGGCCGAGAGGGCCAAGCCTTCCGAGGCCTCGGCTCGCACCAGCAGGCCTCTGCCCGTCCCGATAATGTCGAGCCCGGCCGCCGGTGCTCGTTCGACGCCTTCCTCGCCGTTGAAGGGCTACGGCGTCTCGCGACTCCGCACCGGTAGCGACGCGGCGCTTCCTGGCGCCACCGGCCTCCATCGGGGCGGCTCGGTGCGCGAGTACCGTCGGTACCAGCCAGCGTCGGAGGACGACGTCTTCACGGGCAACAGCGGAGCGCCGGCGGGCCACCGGTCCTCGGTGCTCGGCTACAAGGCCATCTTCGACGGCATGGACTCGGCCAAGTCGTCGTCTGCCTCTTCGTCGCACCACCGCGCCGAGCGCGAGGAGATTGAGCGGCTCAACGCCGTCATCCAGTCGCAGCGCGCCATCATGTCGGATCTCGAGAAGAGCGTGGCCAGCTGGAAGAGCCGCCTCAAGGCGCAGGCGGACCTGATCCACAAGCTGGCCTCCTCGAGCGGGGGCGCCGGCGGCGGCGGCGTTGTCGGCAGCGGTGGCTTCGCTAACATCACGCCTCCGATGCAGGACGGCGAGCTCCCTTCGCCCGTGCGGTCTCGACCGCTCGGCGAGGTGCAGCCGGTGGCTTCGCCGACGAAGTTTTCGACGCAGTTCGAGTCCAGTCGCTCGCGGTTCGCTGGGGGCGCGCCGTTTGACAGCCCCGAATCGACCTCGTCGCCGCGCTACGGTGGCGGCGGCGGTGGCGGCCGCGACTACTCGACGCTCCCGCGCAGCGGCAAGGATCAGCCGTACTATGGCGCGCACACGTACAACCGCCCGCCCTCGACGATTGGACTGGGCGTGATGCCCGGCTCGCCAACTAAGGTTTCTTCGTCGTCGACGCCCGTTTCCAGCCTCTGGTCGCACCAGCAGCAGCCGAGCCCACTTCCGCCGCCGCCTTCGTCACCCTCGGCCGCCGCGAACCCCTCCGCGAGGGGAGCGGGTCGGAGGCGTAAGCCTCGGATGACGATCGAGAACGAGCTCCTCGCCCTCAAGGCTACGCCGCGAGTCGAGTCGAGCAGGACGAGGTTCCTCGTCGATGAGAAGGACGAGGAGCCCGTCGGCCTGCGGGCCAAGACGAGCTCGGCCGCCTACTACATCTGATCGACCGCCGCCAGTACGATCTGCTGGGGCACGAGGACAAGGTGCTGGTCCACCGTTCCTCGTCGCTCCCACGTCCATCCTCTTGCCCGCGACCCCTCCTACCTATCCACTTGCTTTGGCCATCACCGGGCCTCCTGGCGACCCGACCCTCGAAGCATGACTGTATCCAACCACACGTGTACTTGTTCCCAAACGGCCCTTGCCCTCATCCCGTTCCGCCTCGACTCGACCCGGATCCTGCTCCCTCCTTTCAATCTCGCTCCCCCGCGGCCTCTATTCGCCTTCACTGTGTCGTTTTGCTTTTGATCATCACCTTGCTTTTCGAACTTGCTTCATAGTCTTGGCCGGTACCGAATGAAGACGTCGTCACACACACAAGGGGACCGCGATCGAGATGGACATGAGTGGCTGCATCGCGCTCTCGCTCCTCGTCGTTGCTCTGATCAAAGGTTGCCATGCTGGGGGCTGTCGGGAGTGGTGGGCTTGGAGCGCTGGACGGAGAGGTGGGGCCGAGGGTGGCCAGGAATCGCGTCGGGGAGGGAGCAGGGCAACCTGACGAAGGCCGCTCGATGCGAGCCGCACCACGCCGAGTGAGGGGTGGCCCGTGAACCGGCGCTTCCGGCTGCGGCTATCGGGGCTGCTCCGACGGGTCGCGGACTGTCCGCCGTCGCTCGGGTTGGCCGAGGGTGCGCGCCTTTGCTCGACTGGGCTGCAGCCGAAACCGCACCGCACCGCACCACACCGCACCGCACTCCGGCTATCGACCGGCCAGCCCAGCAAGCAGGCCCGGGGGGCGGCGTGCGCACGGATTCAATCCAAGCCACCACGCTGACTCCTTCGCGCCTTCGCGCCTTCTCTCCGCTCTCCGCACTTCTCACATCTCACCATCCCTCGGCCACACTATTCCTTCGGCGCAGACATATCGGGACGCCACCATTACCACCATTAGCTGCCATCGATAGCCCGTCACTGCTCTTACGCTATCTTTTCGCTGGCTTGCTGAAGCTGCGCTACGCAACCTTCTGTCTCCCTGTGCCTATCGCCCACGACCCTCGCCGACCTAGCCCCGGATCTCGCCGAGGCGTCAGACCGCGGGAGCCATAGCGTACCTCGGCGCTTGCAGGTGGCGGCCCTTTGCCGTCCAGACCATCAACCCGACCACCGCTTTCTTGGCCTCTGCCAGGCTCCCACCCGTCCCGCCGCAGACGCCGCCTCGTATCCTCCGCCGCCCGCTGCCGCCGAGCCTCGTCGCAGCGTACAGCCATCGCACCCCTTCCACCATGGCGGTCCAGTGTGAGTGCCGCTATCGGCGCCGACCAGGGATGCGATCGATCCACTGACGATCGATATCATCCTCTACTGCCCTTTCCCGCCCTCGTCTGCGCGCGACTCCCTCCAGCCAACCCCGCCATTTTGGCGCACCTCTCGCACGCCCTCGCCCGCATCTCGCGCATCCCGCCGCGCACGATAGCCAGCCCACCGACCCAGCCGCGGAGAGCCAGCGTCGCCATCCTCGTCCGCGTCAGGCCCTCGCTCGAAGACGAGCGCTTCCTCGCACAGCAGCACGAGCGCGATCCGGAAGCCCAGCAGGCCTTCCAGCCCGCCGCCTCGGCCGACCTCTCAGCCAGCGCCGCGACCGACGCGCTAGGGCAGAGCGGCATCCACGTCAGCCAGGCCTCGCTCGCCCCCGGTGCCTCAGAGGACCTCTCGATGTCAGCAGCGACCACCGCCGACGTCCACGCCGCCGGCAGCAGCAGCAGCAGCATCGGTCCAGGCAGCACCTCGTCGCCCGACCTGCTGACCACGCTCAACGGCTTCTTTTCGCAGCCCTGGGTGCAGCGCGGCACGCCCGAGGTGCTCTACATCAAGCGCGCCGCCCGGATCAGCGACAAGTGGTCCGCCCACGTCGCCTTCCCCGGCGGCCGCAGGGAAGAGGGCGACGAAAACGGCCTGTACACGGCCATGCGGGAGACGTGGGAAGAGGTGGGCATCGACCTGGCCGAAAAGGAGTTCCAGTGCGTCGGCCAGCTCGACGACCGCGAGATTACGACGAGCCTGGGAAAGAGGCTGCTCATGGTTCTCAGCCCGTACGGTGAGTGGCGGCGGACGAGGACGCGAGGCACGCAGATGGCTCACAATCTCGGGCGCACCGCTGACCTGTCGTTATTTGCACCATCGTGGCCCTCTCCTCCCCCTCCTCCCCCCTCCCTCCCTCCTCCCCCCCTCCCCCTCATCGTCGCCCCGCAGTCTTTGTGCAGACGTCGCCCTTTTCGCCGCTGCCGGACCTGCAGCCGTCCGAGGTGGCGTCGGCGCACTGGATCCCGCTCTCGCTCCTCTACACGCCCTCGCCAAAGTGGGGTACCGAGAGCGTCGACATCTCGAGCCGGCTGGCGCCAAAGAGCCCGCTGGTGCGATGGATGCTGCGCGCCCTGGTGGGCAAGATGGACTTTAAATGCGTGCTGCTGCCCAACGAGCCCGTCGCCGTGGCCGAGTACGACGAGGAGGAAGAAGAGCTGGCGCGCGCCGAGGCCCAGGGCTACAACAGCCGCGCCCAGCACGACGGACAGGCGGGCGCCAAGATCGCCCAGGCCGAGTACGAGTCGCCCGACCGACCCGAGCTGAGGCTGTGGGGGTTGACGTTGGGCATGACGCTGTGAGTGGTTGCAGCACCGTGATGGCGGCAGTGCCTTTGCCCGCCTCCTGACATCTTGCCGGGACCATTGCTTTCTTCTGCTCTCACCTCTCTCCGTACTCTTTCTTCGACGCGCAGCGATCTGCTTTCGCACATGACGACCTACCGATCCGACACCACGCTCGATTCGAGGCCGGCCTCGACGGGCGCAACGACGCCGTTTGTCTCGCTTCCCTCTTCGCCTCGATCTGCGCCACCGCCGGCGCCGGGAGCGGGTGCAGGACGCGAGGCGCTGCCGACGACACTGCAGACGCTCCTGTCTGAGCCGCTGAATACGACCAACCTCAACCGGATCCTGACGCGGATCCGCGACGAGTTCCACCTCAACCCGCCGCCGCAGGCGCACGCGCTGGCGCCCAGCCTCTCGTCGACCTTCCCGCGCTTCTCGTACCCGGACGTCAACTTTTGGATCTGGGTGTTTGGCTACCGCTACCGATCCGTCGTGCGCGGCTGGACGGCCAGCGTCGGTACGCCCGCAGAGCGCAAGGCAAACTGGAGCGGAATGGCCCTCGGTGCTTTTTAGTGCGTGCACGCTATGTGGCCTCCCTCCTCCTGCCTCGTCGAGCGTCGCTTCCGGATTGGCCGTGGCCGCCTTGCGTATGCCGTACGGGTAGACTGACGATCCTGTCCTCCTCCTTCTTTCGATCCCCCTCCCCTTTGGCTCTTTGCGCACGCCTGCCGCGCAGCTCGGCAGTGAGGAGGGCGCTGGTGGTCGCCGTCGTGCTGCGGGCTCTGGGCATGCTGAGCACCGCATCAGTGGCGGCCTGGCTGCTGGGTCGACGCATCAACCGCAGTCGCAAGGGTCTTGCCGGATTCGGGCTCGACGAGCTGCTGGCGTAGCTTGCAGGAAGAGCGGCCCAGCGCGCGAGCCTGCGAGCAGCGGCACGGCAGCAAGGTGGAAAGAGGCTGGGCGCGCCAGCCGTGGGCCGATGGGGTGGCGTTGAAACCGGGGAATGCCTGCAACTGCGGACCGATGCGCATCCTACTGCGGCTGCTGGCCCTTGTTGTCGTGCGACGACGACGACTGCCTTGACACCTTGTTGACCTCGTCCCACACCCTGCGCTCCCACAGCTTGTCCCTCGCCTCGTCGTCGCGCTTGCGCTCGTGGGCGTCGTAGAGGTGTCGGTGGTCGACGTACCTCTCCTGCACCTCGAGCGCATCGCCCCATCCGAGCGGATCGCCTCGATCCGCCGTCGAGAAGAGGGCGCGCGCCGATGCGCCCTGCTTCCACAGCGCCAGCCCGGCCGTGGCAGCCGCCGATCCCGACTCGTACCTCCCTCCCCTCTCCTCGTCGCCCTCGCCACCGTCGTCGTCGTCGTCGTCGGGGAAGGGTTCTTCCCCCTGCCCGACGTAGACGTAGCCGACGGCCTTGTCGAGCACCTGGAGCAGCCGGAACATGCTCCGCCGATCCTCGACGGCCAGCGTCTCGAACTGCACCAGCCCGAAATCCTCGACCAGCTCGCAGATGGTCCGGTTAAGCTCGGCGAATCGCGCGTCGCGCCGGAGCGGCGGCTCTTCCTCTTCGTCGTCGTCGTCGTCGTTATCGTCAGAGGAGGGCCCGCGTCTTCTCCTCGAGCCCGACGACGAGGGGCGCAAGAGGAGGTCGTAGAGGTACGAGAGGTCTTGGACCTGTGTGTAAAAGTCGAGGTTGAAGGCGAGGTCGCCCGACAGACCGCCCTGCATCCCTGTGGTGCCCGCATCGCTGCCGTCATCGTCGTCGCCTTCCTGGCCAGGGCGTCGAGCGACGGGATCGAGTCCGCCGATGCTGCGGCTGTGCTGTCCGAGGAGGTCGACCTTGGAGAGGACGTTTACGTGGGGCAGTTCGAGGGCGAGCATGGCGCGGAGGGCGAGGAGGAGGAGGGAGACGTAGCGCGACGGGTCGGTGATGTGGGTGGCGTCGGTCATGTGTACGGCGACGAAGCGGAGCTGGAGCTGCTTTTCCAGGACGCCGAGGATGCGCCGCAGCGACGGGTGGTTGGTCGACAGCTCGACCTGCCCCGGCAGATCAAAGACGAGGTACTCGGATCCGGCGGGAACGGGGTCGATGGTGGTGTGCGTCGTCGTCGTCGTCGTCGTCGTCGTCGTCGTGGCGGTGTCGTGGCTGGTGGGCTCGGTGTGGACGAGACGGCCCTGCCTCTGGTGGCTCATGACGTCGCCGAGTCGGTCGATGAGCCAGTCGAGGTTGGTTTCGAGGTACTCGATGCAGTAGAGCATGGCGGCGTTGGGGCCCAGGTGCAGCTCGGCCATGACGTCGCGCACCGAGATGAGGTGGTTGATGTCGATGGCGCACGGGTAGGGCAGCGAGTCGTTGGCCGGGTCGAGGTTGATGATGGAGCAGGGGCGCGAGAGGAGCGGGAGGAAGTGCGAGAGGCCGTTGCAGTAGGTCGACTTGCCGGAGCCCGGCGAGCCGATTACGAGCTGCGCAAAGGGCATGGTGGGCGGCGGCTGAAGAAGAAAAGGAGGGAGGTTGATGATGGTGGTGGTGGTGGTGGTGGCGGTGTCAAAGAGGCAACCAACCCACCGCCCGCCTCCACCTCGGATTTTTGGGGTTTCTTCTACGCCGCTTCAATGCGCGACGGCCGAACCAAAGGGCGCGACTGAGCAGCAGACATACATCCCTCTCCCACGTCTCTTTGCCTCTCGACCACCACCACCACCACCACCGCCATGCCACAATGACCTCCCGCACGCCCGCCACCGCCTCCGCCACCGCAAGCAAGCCGTCGACGGCACAGCAGCCAGGCCACCCAACACGCCTGCCCGGCTCAGTCTCGTCGCTCAAGGTACAACTCTCGGCCTCGGAACTGCTTCGACAGCAGCAGCAGCGGCAGCCCCACCCCGCCCCCTCGTCGCCCTCGCCCTCGTCTTCGTCCTACAGCTTCACAACGCCCCAGCAGCTGCGCAACCAGCAGCGCGCCGGTCACCTCGCATCCACCCTCACCGCCTCGATCCAGCCCACCGACGTACAGCTGCTCGCCACCTCGATCCTGGGCAACCAGCAAAGGCAGCGCCTCACCCTCGAGTGGTCCGAGAAACTCATCAACCTCCCCGCCTCGTTCCACCCGGCCCACACCGGAGCGGGCAGGGGCGTCAGCCGCGAGACGCTCAAGCGCGCACTCACCTTTCTCTCGCCCTCGTCCTGGCTAAACGTCCTCGACGAACGGTACCTCGCCGGCTCCTGCCCTTACCCCTCGTGCGACAACGCCGCACCCGCAGCGACAGCGGCATCAGCCAAGGGCTCTTCAAGGGTCGGCAGCAGCAGCAGCAGCAGCAGCAGCAACACCGCCAGCGCCAGACCCGCGCAGTATCGCATCTCGCTCAAGTCGAGGACAGTCAGCCGCAACACTGCCGAGGATCCCGGCGATCGACAGACATTCTGCTCGCAAAGATGCTGGAAGCGATCCCAGTGGGTCCGGCAGTGGGTCCTCAAAGATCGAGGCGAGATCGCAGCCGGTCCCGATCTGAATGCCGCGGGCAACGCTACCGGCGATCAGGGAGGCCGCTTCGAGAGGCTCATGGACCAGGACGCCTGGAGGGAGATTGAACTGCTCGAAGATCTCGAAGAGAGCGGCGAGATGCAGAGACTCCTCGCGCGGCCAGAGGAGGCCGTCCCACAGCAGCAGGAGCAGCAGGGCAAAGGGCCACTTCAGGATCGAGCGCAGGCCGGCGTCGTTGTCGCTCCCCCGCCGAAGTCGTCCGACGCCATGTGCCCTGCAACGGCACCAGCAGCGCCGAGCGACGCGCGCAAAGCGGCAAAGGACCAAGTCGCCCAGCTCCTCGACTCGCTCACCATCTACGAACGTCCCCCGCGTTCCGGCTCCCCTTCATCGGCTGCCCCACCGCCGCCGCCGCCGCCATTACAGTCACAGTCGTCGCAGACGCCAAAGACGACCAAAAAGCCCGCATCCAAAGTCGACTATGACACCGACCTACCTTCTTTCATCGGCGCACGGTTCCACGGTCAGCCCGCCACCACCGACACCGCCAAGCGGAGACCGACACTCGGTCGGACATCACGAGACGACCAGAATGGCAAGATAGACGAAGGCCACGACGACGACGACGACGACGACGAGGATGCCGATCTGGTGCTCGGCCTCACGTCGTCGTCGCGCAACATGGGCACAAAGCGGGGCGTCCAGGCCATCCTTGCCACCTCGTCCCGTGCCGTCGACGCCGACGCCGGAGCCGAGCATGATGACGGCGGCGATGACGATGACGAGGGCGACGACGAGGCAGAGGTGGACCCAGAGGTGCTGCAAGAGCGGAGACAGACGCAGAGGATGCTCGACGAGGCGTTGCAGGTCAGGCGGCAGCAGAGGGAGCTGGGACTCTTGGATTGAGAGCAGCGCAGGCCGCTGAGACGAGGCGATAAAGATGAAAAGCAGGGTCGAGCCGTAACAGGTGAGAAGCCGGCCGCGGTGCGTCGCGCGGCGGGTCCTCCGTTGATGAAGCGAAGATTGAGGCGAAAGGAGGGGAGGGAGTTCTACGTCGCTGGATCCGGTTGAGATCGAGTACGTTCAAAGAAGAGGAGAGAGATGGAGCAGATGTGGCTGGGAGGTGGGACGGCCTGGAGATAAGACGCGCGGCCAAGCGAGCAGGCGGGCAAGCGGGCGCGAGGAGGCGACGGCGCACCAACTACTTCTTGCTCGAGCCAGCCGACTCGGAGCGTGCGAGGAGGTCGCCGTTTTCGAGCTTGCGGCCGTCGTTGGGGTTGCCGCTGCCGTGGAAGCCGGCCCATCCGGCGGGACGGTCCTCGGGCAGGGCGAATTCGGCCGTGTTGAAGTCGCGCTGCTCAAACACGCGGAACGGCTGGCCGGTGCGGCGGCAGTGGACGTAGGTGACGAGGGCGCGCAGGCCGCACGCGACGAACGTGAAGCCGACCGAGCCGAGCGGAGCGGCGAAAAAGGCGCCGAGCACCGAGTAGTCGGTCACGTACAGGCCCTCGGGCAGGGCGAGGAGCGCGATGCCCTTGCCCGCATCTCCGTCGTAAAAGACGGTGCCAAAGACAAAGACGGTGAAGAAGCCGCCGACGGCGCCGAAAAAGGCGTCGAAGCCGTTGAGGAAGTTGAGCGGGCGCACGAGGCCCAGCAGAAAGGCCGGGATGCACGCGATGGCGGCCAGGTCGGCGACGAGAAAGACCTGGAGGATGTCGACGTTGAGCACGGCCATGGCGACGGCGGGCACGTTGATGGCGACGAGGATGGCGCGGCACCACCAGATGTTGAGGCGGCCGAGGAAGACGTCGTTCTGGATTGTCGAGATCTGCGCCGACTGGAACGTGTCGTAGGCCGACGACGTCAGGCAGCCCGCCAGCACCAGCACGATGCCCTGGACCCAGTTGGGCAGCGTGGCGAGGATGTAGAAGAAGGTGTAGGAGCCGTCGTCTTCGGCCGTCGGGCCGTCGAACAGGCCCGCCCACCACGCCAGCGGACCGGCCATGCCGACCAGGAAGCAGATGGCGTACAGCACGGGCGTGGCCAGCGCCACCGAGACGTAGAGGGTGCGGTCGTCCTTGGACGCAAAGGCGCGCTGCCAGAAGCCCTGGTTGAACATCTGCGAAAAGATGACGGCCGCCGGCAGAATGTACCACAGCTCGCCGGCCAGCTTGTGCGAGCCCAGCAGCTGCGAGCTCTCGATGCGCGCCGGGTCCAGGTCGAGCTTGACGCCGACGGCGACGCACGCCATAATCACGAACGCGATGATGACGACGCCGTTGACGTTATCCGTATACAGCGAGGCCTTGAAGCCGCCGTAGGCCGTGTAGATGGTCGTCGTCAGCGCCACAATCAGCGCCGCCACGGTCGGGTTGACGCCGCCCAGCAGCTGCACCGTGGCGCCGTAGGTGTTGAGCTCGACGAGCATAAAGCAGAACATGAAGCCGACAAAGATGACGGCCGACAGCACGCCCACCGGCCACCCGAACCGGCGGCGGATGTACTCGGCCAGAGTGAAGCCGTCCGGGCACATCCGTCGGATCACCGGGCCCAGCCAGGCGAAGCACCACAGCGGCACCACCGTCGAGAAGCAGTAGGCGCCCAGGCCCAGGAGGCCCGCGCCGGGGATCACGGCCAGCTGCGGGTAGCCGAAAAAGAGCGACGACGACATGTCTGGCGGGGGGGGGGGGGGGGGGGGGAGGGCGGGCGGGCGGAGAAGGGAAACGAACGGTAGGGGCG